AACTCATGTGGAAGTGGCTTCAGATTCTCAGTGCTGTGCTTTAACCCGCTGCGCCACCAGGGAGGGCCGGGACTGACTTCTTAAGAGGGAACTCTAATCATGCTGGTGTAGGCAGGACCACCAGAGGAAATACAAGCACTTGATCCAACATAAATCCACTGAATCCAGTGAGTCAGAAATTGTGATGATTCCCCCACCCCCTTCTTAGTGTGCTGAAAAGCACTCATATTTTATGAAATTAAAATCATGGTGAATAAGAAATGGCTAAGATGCTCTGTATGCTAGAAAACCTGTTTTTGCTACTAAACATGGTTTCTCAGTTTGGGCACATCTGGAGTTGCTGTGCCTATAATGACAGGTGCTCAGCACCTGCTTCTGACCGCTGCCTCCATTTGAACTTTCAAGACAGTTATAAATGCACACACACAATCCCACAACGATGCTTTACTCCCTTCACTCTGGCATTTCCACTCCTGAGACTTGATGCTTCGAGAGACAAAATGGATCTTGAGAACCATTTCTTTTTAAGGAATGATGGCAAAGAATCAGAGAAGATTCTAATCAGGGGTTGTGCCTATCTACATCACATGTAGATAGGCACTTAAGGTGATGATACTCAGGTGATCGAGATAAAAAAAAGAAAAGGTAACAGGCATCCTCAATCTCAGCTCTCCTGGCCAGGGGAGCGGTCCCTAGGCCTTCAACCTGAAGATTGAATAGGATGACAGATGTCAGAGAGTTTTGCAGAATAAAAGCTTTCGTACATACCTTACTGGAGTTGTAGCTCCAGTGGCATAATCAGTTAGTGCATGGTACTTATACAGCATATACCTGACAGGAACAGTGGTAGTAACAACAGAATTGTCACTTCTGCTACAATAAAGGAGGTCTGTAAAATCTCATGGCAACAACACTGCATTTTTAGAGTGATGCTATTTGGCAGTCCCCAGAAATAGGAAAATCACAGTCTCTCCAGTTGTACTGAGAGTTCCCTAAGGAAATCATCATACCTAGAGAATGCCCCCCTTTATTCTCTTCAGTGCAAAATCATATTGTGTACGTGTCTGCAATGAATCCTGTTTACTATAAATCACATACGCAAATCTGTATTCTCTTTTGTTCACATGTAGCTGCTTTGCTGCCTTTTCTCCCAGACTTGGAAAAACTGGATATTTCCTGGAATGAGTTCATAGGTGGAACACTCCATTTAATCACTCAGCAAATGCATCTTGTCAGCAAGTTAAAAATTCTGAGGCTGGGTGGTTGCAGACTTACCATTGACGATGCTCAAGCACTAGGTATGATGCTTCCCTGAGAAATGATAAATGTTTTCACTAGAAGTAGCTCTGTAGCCCAACCCTCTAGGGAGAAATTTATGGATTGCCACCCCATGCACAAAGTACACAGTAGGTGCTCAATCATTAATAGTGCCTTCTTTCCCTAGCCCTCATCTAAAATTACCTTTATGTACATTTTATGATAGGTTGAGCCTCTCTGCTTAGCAGCTAGGGTTGTGAATAGAGTTGCAGATTTAATAACCAACCGTTACACAGGCTTGAAAATAAAATAGTTTATTTATTTTATATTAATCTTCCCCACAATTCTTATCTTTAGAAAGCCAGGAAATAGAATATCTGTCTTGGGTCTCACTCCAGGTGCAATAACTAAAACCATTCCTGCTTTTTTTTTGTCAACTCCATCCATTTGCATGAAGTTTTTTCCAATCTCTGCACTTTTGTTTTTTCAATGTCTTTATATCTGAAGTGTCTTGTAGGTTGCATATAATTGGATTTTTTCCCTTCCATTCAGTGGCTCCATGTCTGTTAATTAGAGAGATTGGTCCATTTACATTTAAGGTAATCATTGACATACATTATTCATTATCATTTTGCTAGTTGATCTCTGGTTATATTTGTAGTTCTCTTTTCCTCTCTTCTTTCATTTTTAAATTTCTTTTTTTTTTAAGATTTTATTTATTTATCTCAGCATAGAAGAACTGAGGTGTAAGCCACAGGTGCCATGGATGAGAGGGTGAGAGGATTCATCAGAGACAGAGTGGGGTACGGAAACAGTGGGTCTACTGAAAGGCACTGCTGAGAGCAGCAGTGGGCAAGACAGGACAGGTCTTCTGCACCATATGTGGGTCAGCTCCCTGGCTGGGGATTGAACTCAGGCTGTAGTGGTGGTATCCTGAGACTTAACCCCTACGCTACCAAGGAGGCCCCACTTTTTCTTTTTCTTTACCCTTGATGTTTGATTTTTCACTATAAGGTTTTTACTTTGTGGCTACTATCAAGTGTAAGATTTTCTATAGGTATTGATCTGTAGTGAGCTGATAGCTACTCATACTTGACACATTCTCAGATCTCACCTTTTCAATACCCACTATGTTTTATATTTTGATGTCTCACTTTCAATCTTTATGTTGTTATATAATTCTTTTGGCTATTTACTGTAACTTTAGTTAATTTTACCATTCTTGTCTCTTAATCACCACTCTGCTTTGTAGGTTGTCAGTCCAAACTTTCAACGTGAATATATCGGTTTAAGTGAGATATTTTTCTCTTTCACATGTTTTCTTGTTTTTATTCAGTGCCTTTTCTTTTCAGTTTATGTGTTTGTTTGCTATAAAAATGAAAAGTGTTGGAAGAATAGTAAGGAACAAGTTCTCAATCCATGCATGATGTCGCGCATGAACTTCACCTCCTGGCATTTTAAAGGGTTCTCACTCCCATCACATTGAGGAGAGCTGAGGGACTAGGAATTACAATCCAGCATTCTGCGAATCTAACTTCCTAAAAGGGAGAGGGAGTGTCACTGGGAACTAGGAGAGAGTTAAACTGCCATGTTTGACTAATGACTGAACACATGGGCTTGGGCTCTCAGGCTTTTCTGGCTTCGGTTTGCACCTTTTTACAGCTAATGAGATTTGGAGGAGAGTTATGCAGAGGTACTTGGAGAAGAACTAGGAAAAAGGAAACACCTGGGGAAGCTGCTGTTGGTCCTTGGCAGAGATAATGGCAGCCATTATATTGACCTCATTGTGGGTTATGTGGCTTATTTTGCATCCTTCCTTTCTCCTCTTTTTTTTTGTAAAAAAAGGATTTATTTATTTATACATACAAAACTGGGGTATAGAACAGAGATACAAGTGTGGTGAGTGGATTCACCAGACACAGAGTGGGTAACAGAACAGGCAGATGCTGAGGGGAGCAGCAGGTGGGTCAGAAAGGTCTGCTGGGACATGTGGGTCAGCTCCCTGGCTGGGGATCGAACTTTCACTGAGGCAGCCATGGCTAACTTTGCAGTGCTGTGCTTTAACCCATTGTGCCACCAGGCAAGCTTTCAGGTTGAGCCTGTTGGAATGGGCATGTGCCCATGAGGAAAGGGATAATGTTTGATAATTCCCTTTATGGAATTATTAAAAAAATGAACTTGGTCTTTTGGACACTTTGTAACAGGAGAAGCACTTAAAATGACCCCTGAACTTGAAGAGTTAAATTTGTCCTGGAACAGTAAAGTGGGAGGAAACTTGCCTATGATTCTTCAGACAGTCCAAGAAGGGAGTAAAATACAAAGACTTGAGCTTGTGGATTGTGCCCTCACATTAGAAGATGGAGTGTTTTTGGGTAAGTAGAATTTGCAAAAGTCCTGTCACCCCAAAATGTGAAGACACCCATGACTACATTGCTTGGGGATCAGGGTGGGGAGAGAGGTGGCAGTGTCTACCCTGAAATGAAAGGGTGGTGCACTTTATCTCCACATCATGTGAAACTGCACTGCCTCTCCTGGCTGCCCCAAATTTCATACCCTGCACTTTTTTTTTAAAGGTTTATTTATTTGTGCATACATAACTGGGGTACAGGCCAGAGGCTCAGGGGCGGTGAGAGGCTTCACCAGAGACAGAGTGGGGAGCTGAACAGGCAGATAAATGAAGTACACTGCTGAGGGGAGCAGCGGGCGGGTCAGGAGAGGTCTGCCACGCCATGTGGTCATCTCCGGGGCAGGTGGGAATTGAACTCATGCGGAAGTGGCTTTAGCTTCTTAGTGCTGTGCATTAACCCGCTGCGCCACCAGGGAGGGCCCACATCCTGCACTTTTACTGAATTGTTTTTCTTGCTTGGATTCCTTTCCTTCCAGGTCAGTTAATACCTAGGCTGCCAAATCTTGAAGTCCTTGATCTTTCCATTAACAGAAACATTGGTGGCATTCTAACCAGTATTGCTCAGGGATTAAAAAGTGCCTCAAACCTGAAAGTATTGAATTTACATTCATGTGGATTATCACAAAAGAGTGTCCAATTTTTGGGTGAGTTGGCAATGGCTAAAATTTACACATACATAAATATTGTATACATTTAACATAAATTTTATATTTAATTTAAGCTATTTGGAAACATTACAAGATATGAATAGTGGTTATGTTTGAGGAGTAAGAGATATTAGATAATTTAAACTTTCTTTAGGTATTTTTGTTTTCTAAGTCTGTTGAAATGGATATATATTTTCATGATTATCTTAGTACAAAAAGGTCAGGATGTTTTTGGTTATAAGTAAGTAAAAGCATCTGTTCCATCAAAACGTTCCAATTTCTCTTACTTTTAATACTTTGGCATTATTCTGATGGCAGTAGACAGGTGTTGACAGTGATAAAAGAATGACTTCATTGGCATTTATAGTTAAAACTTATTCCCTCAGTATGTCCACATTAAGGGAGGATAGGAAATAAAGTTGTTTTTCTTTTAGCTCACAGAGTCTGTAATATCCTTTCCACCAGCAGTTTGAGTAAGTCTAGAATTCTGTGAAGATGCCAGTGCTCAAATAGAATAGGAAAGCCGTTAGTTGCAGGATTCAGATCAAACCCTTGGCTGACAGGTCCTAAGAGTGTATTGGAAGTCATTGTCAGGTTCATTGAGGGACAGGTTCATTGATGGTAGGGAGGCTGAAGTTACCCCTCCATCATGACTTTTGTCATCCCAGTGCATTTCGTCAGTCTCCTGTGCACCCCTGTCCCCTCTTCTGTCCCACCTTCCCACCACCTAGCAGTTAAGTAATATACTACAATGGGGTTTTGACTTTCTTCATAGAAGCTGCTTTTAGGTATTTGGGTGAGCTGAGGAAACTAGACCTATCTTGCAATAAAGAGCTGGGTGGAGGTTTTGAAGATTCATCAGCTCAGCTGGCCACATTGGCGCATCTGGAAGTTCTGGATCTTCACCAGTGCTCACTAACTGTGGAAGATGTGGTGTCACTGAGTAAGTTCTGCAGGGCTGCAGGGCCAGGGAAGAAGGTTCAGGGCCTTGGCCTATGCTTGGAAACTTGGAAAAGTTGAGATGTACGTTAAACTTTGCTTTGTGTGAAGTTACTGGGAAGATCAGATCACAAATGTTTTGTGAATGCTTCCATATAGCATATGACGTGTCTTAAGCACACCATAAATGTCAGTGAATTTAAATACCCCTCTGCACATCTGACATAACAGATGTGACACTCAAAGAAAAAAGATGAACTGTTTTATTGACTTTTGAAAAGATGGAAATGAAAATATATCCATTTATGTCTTTTTAAGAATAATTGAACATCTTTTCCTCTGACCATTTTGGATAGCTAAGAAAAAATGGAATTATAGATTATTTATTCAGTGACTCTTGATTAATCAACTAATTGTGTAGGTGCCGTGCTGTGAAATTCACAGTCAAGGAACTTCCATCTGGTGGCAATAAGCCAATAAACCTCTAAGTTATGTGATAACAAGCAAAGGGCTGTGGGGGTCAGTAGACGGAGCTAAATCTACTGGGGCTAAGTGTCTGCATTGCTTTCCTTCCTTCATCTCCTTTCTTTCTTGTCTCCTTACAAACATTTCTGCCTCCAGTGTTGCAGGTGTGATGTGCTCTGGGAATAAGGCACTTCCCAAACACAGCTCTCGCCTTCAGTGAGTGGGGACAGAAAACACAGCACGATCAGAAATAGCACGTATGGGGGGGTGCTGTGAGGAAAATGAATCAGGGCAATGTGGTAGTATTGAAGGGGTTGCTTAGCTTATGTGAGCCTGGAGAATGCCAAGGAAGAGAGCCCAGGACACAGCATCTCCTCCAGTGGAAAGAAATAGAGCAAGAGCATGGAGGCAAGAAAATGGCAGAAAGATGATGAAGCAGGGGCACTCCTGGCACAGCAGGTGTCCTTAGCACCCTCTCCAGTGCTTCACCAACATGTGTCGGTCCTGGTATCTTGATTTCCTGGACTTCCTGATATTTCTACATTCTGAGAAGAAAAAAAAAATCATGCTACCAAACATTTATTGTGCAGTCATTGTGTGCTAGACCCTGTACCAAGATCTTTATATAAACCAAAGCACTTTATCTTCTGACAGTTATGAATATTTTGAGAAAACTGAGGTTTAGTGAAGCTAAGTAACTTGTCTAAATCCCCATAGTTCTTTAGTAGCAGAAGCAGGATCAGAACCCCATCCTCTATATCTCCAAAATCTTGGCTCTGCAAATCAAACCTAGAGAGAGGCCTGGAAATGGAAGAACCCAGGTCACAGTCTGGGAAGAGTGGCTGTGTGGTGTGTGAGGAAGGTCGGGGCCTGAGGGGGAGAACCAGGATTGCGATCAAGGGGATTGTGGGTATCAAACACTCAGAAGAGTCTTAGTGAGGAGGTGACGGTTACGTGTCATTTTTGTCATTTTAACAGCTCAAGTTATACCTTTACTCGCCAATCTTCAAGAACTGGATTTATCTGCCAACAAAAAAATGGGAAGCTCTTCTGAAAACCTCCTCAGTAGGCTCCGGTTTTTACCAGCATTGAAGGCGCTACTAATCAACAATTGTGCTTTGGAAAGTGAGGCTTTTAATGCCCTAGGTAAGAGAATTCCCCAGAATGCTGCAGGCACAATATAACAGCATGTCCGTAACTCCCGAGGGGGGATGTGTCTCTTCCTTTCACTACATGTGAATTTATTCCACGGCTCAGCCACAGGCGAAGTTCCAAAGGATGAATTTGACTTCTTTTCAGGAAATATACCTCCCTTAAAGTGGCCTTTAGAAAGTTTCTGGCATTAGGAATGCTTCTGGCATTTGCATATTTAACATTAAAATTCAATGTGAATCTAGCCAGCCCTGCTGGTTTACTTCCATGGTAACTTGTAATTTCACGGAGGTGACAACATGAATTGGGGTTGCTCTGAGCCTGATCGGGAAGGGAAGTGGTCACTGGTGTGTGAACCTAGCTGACCAGTGGCATTGACTTCCCAATAGGACCTGTTTTTCTCTCAAGAATCTGAGCCTGCCCAGATCAAATGCTGATTGAATCTGAAGTTTCTGCAAATTCAGGGGCAAAGCATTGCCAGCAATAGAGGGAGCTATTTTGAAACAAAGGGACTTTGCAGCATTTTCCAAAACATACCACCCATGCAGCCTGCATTTTGGGCACACATTGTGAAGCTGGGGCCCCCACGCCACCTCCAAGTTCAGAGATTAGCAGGGAGTCCTTTTCAGTACATCATTGTACTCACAATTGAGATTCAGTTCAGTGAAAGGCTACAAAGCAAACAGCAAAAGGAAAGTGACATAAAACAAAGTCTTCTAAGAGTCCTTCCAAGGACAAGACTGTCCTCTCCAAAGACGGTGCCCAGAACACACTCCATTCCTCCAGCAAGTTGTAGTGACCTGTCAAATGTCTGTGGGTGGGCTTACCTGAACCTTAAACTTCAGGGCTTTTATTAGAATTGTTCATGTAGGCATCTGCTACTTTGCACTTACCAAAACTCTAGAGTTACAGAGTAAGCCTGCTTCGGCAGAAATCGTGTTTTTTTTTTTTTTAAAGATTTTATTTTATTTGTTCATACAGAACTGGGGTACAGGCCAGAGGCTCAGGGGTGATGAGAGGCTTCACCAGAGACAGAGTGGGGAGCAGAACAGGCAGATCTACAAAGTACACTGCTAAGGGGAGCAGCGGGCCCGTCAGGAGAGGTCTGCCACGCCATGTGATCACCTCCGGGGCAGGCGGGAATCAAACTCATGCAGAAGTGGCTTTAGTTTCTCAGTGTTGTGCTTTAACCCGCTGCGCCACCAGGGAGGGCCAGAAATCGTGTTTTTTTTAGGCACAATCAGGGAATGACAGGAAAGTGTCTACATTTCTGCCTGGTGAGCAGGCCTTTTCAAGGATAGCAGGTCAGGCCTAGAAGGTGTTTTTTTTTTTTTTAATCTAATTTTATTTAATTTATAATAGCTTATTTTTACATATTTTTGTGCATTTTTCCATCTCAGTTGCAATCCCCTTGGGTTTCCCATCACCAAATCACCCATGTGCCATCACCATAGTTAGGAGGCTTTTTTTATCTACACAGGCACAAGACTGGTGTGATAGAATCCTGGGACTTCCTTAAGAGTGATGAAAACAGGTCTTCTCCTAAGTGTCATGCCAACTGATACTTTTAAAAAATGAGTTTTGCTGCAGACTAGACAGGGCTATTATTATTGAAATTACTGCCTTTTATTAGTAAGAATAATATGCAGTCATTTAGAATGCCTATTAATAAAATAAATGCATGCTACTTACCCTAAATTCCAGGGGCTCTATATTTAGGGTCAGTTTTCTTATCAGTTAAATGAAGCAATCATCATACCTTAGAGAGTTGTAAGATAGAGATGGGTTGATGCCTGCAATGGTCCCAGAAAGGTGCCTGGCACCCAGCACATGCACAATAAATGCTACTTGTGGATATTATTATAGGGAGGGTGTATACATTTCAATTAAAAGGTCAATCAGATCATATCACTGCTAAATTTAAGAAAAGTCAGTGGCTGTTTGTGTTACCTCTGGCAAAATCTAAATTCCTGCACATCATCTATAAGGCCCCAGATGATCTGGTGCGGCTCCCCCTCAATCCCTGAGCTTAGCCTCAGCGGACTTTCTGCTCCCTTCACACCCTCCTTCTTGCCTCTAGGTATTCCTGGTCGCTGCTGTGCCCACCTCTTTCTTTCCTGGGGAGTTCTGATCTCAGACCTCGCTATAAACATTTTTTAACAGCAGCTGTTTTAACTATGCTTTTTCTTTATAGTCTATTACAATTTACAATGACATATATTTGTGTGCTTTTTAATGTCTGTATTTATCCTAGAGTATAATCTCTTTGAGGGTAGGGTTTATGTTTATTAATTGTTGTATACCCAGTGCATATTTCTATATATTAGTTAATTAAATAATAAAATTCCTAAATGGTTAGATATACACACACACACGCAAACAGTATTTTCTACTGATCAGACTAATGTCCACATAGGAAAGTTCCACAAATATTAAATTTGGGGACAACATGATGTTTCATAAATATGCTTTCTAGTTGGAAAATATTTCTTAGAAAAATTTGCTTTTAGTTGTAGTTTTTGGTTTCCTGCCATCAGAAGATATAGCTCTCTCCAATTACAGCCTTATAATGAATTATCATCAAGTAGACATTACACTAAATTATACTACCTGAAAATATAAAACTCAATTTGAATTAAGAAGTAAAATAAGGGGCCTCCGTTGGTGGGATAAGGGTTAATGTTTCAGAGTTCTCTTCCCACCCCAGTTTTGATCCTATTCTCCTTTCCACCCTCATAGAATCTCTTTGTTTTATAGTTGTTCATTGATTTTTATTTTTACTTTATTACAATTGCTTTTTTTCCCCCCAATCCCTAACACTCCTGCTATGAGAGAAAACATCTGGTATTTTCCATTTTCTTTCTGGCTTATTTCACTAAGCATGATCCCCTCCAGCGCCATCCATGTTGCTGCAAATGACATGCATTTATCTGTTTTGATTGCTGAGTAATATTCCATTGTGTATATGTACCAGATCTTCTTGATTTATTTTTATGCATTTGGGTTGATTCTACATCTTCCCTGTTGCAGATAGAGCAGCAATAAATATAGGGGTTCAGGTTTCCTTTTGAATTAATGTTTTTGTGTCCTTTGGGTAGATAGCTAGGAGTGGGATTGCTGGATCATATGGAAGCTCCATTTTTAGCAGCTTGAGAAACCTCCAAACAGCTTTACATAGTGGTTAGACCAGTTTACAATCCCACCAGCAGTGTGGGAGAGTTCTAAAGAAGCACTATTTTTATCCTTACAATTTTAGCTGAAGCCTCCATTCACCTCTCTGCTCTGGAAATATTCAACCTTTCTTGGAATAAGTGTGTTGGTGGCAACCTGAAGCTGCTTCTAGAAACACTGAAGCTTTCAACATCCCTTCAAGTTCTGAGGCTGAGCAGCTGTTCCCTGGTGACAGAAGACATAGTTCTCTTGGGTTTGTATCTCCTGATGCCAAAGCAGTCCTGGCCCACTGTATGGCCAGGGTAGAAAAGCTGCCAGCTGGCTAGAGACTGGGCCTCTAGTCTATAGGAAAGATCATGTTAAAACACAGGAGGATAATTCTAAAACTGGAAGGACAGTTTTAGAGGTGGAGGGTGTTTCATAGAAGGAGATGAAAATATTTTCTGGTGGTGGGAGGTTCTGGCCCGCTAGCTGGTGTCTGCTCCATGCCCCTCACCCATGGGTGTCTGGCTCAGTGTGAGCCCACTTCAGTCATCACTCCTCCATCACTATCCATTCAATTGCCAGACTCTGAAGCAATGAACACCCCTCCAAATAAAATTTGGGTCCAAAACAAACACAAAACAAACAAACACAAACACTGACACAGTGTTTGTGTGTATATAGAGTGATTTTGTTATAGCATGATGTGTGCCCTAAAAATCACACTATAATTATCAAAGTACTTGTGACTAGAAGCGCATCAAAAATGTCATCAAAGGCACTTTTAAGTCAACATGAAGCGGCTCTCCCTGGTGGCGCAACTGGTCAAAGTGCAACTCTCAAGCATGCAGCAGTGGCTTCAGTGTGAGTTCAATCCCCCACCCAGGGGTGATCCACATGCGAGGCAGACCTCTCCTGACCCACCCCACTGCTCCCCTCAGCAGTGTACTAGTCAGTCTGCCTGTTCTGCTCCCCACTCTGTCTCAGGTGAATCCTCTCAATGCTTCTGCCCCTCTGGCTTGTACCCCAGTTTTCTGTATGCACAAATAAGTAAATCTTAGGGAAAAAAAAAAGAAAGAAAGAAAAGAAAAGGAAGCTAATGAAAATAGTGGTAAGTTTTGTCGATGTTAAAGGTTAAGGATAAGTAAGCACCTCAGAAAGGATGACCCTTTTCTGTTGAAAATGAACTGAAGTTAACTTGTGGGCGTGGCCTTTACAGTCCCACTATCTCCCCCCAGCCTTCCATTCCCACCCCCACTTCTTGGGTGAGAGGAAAGGAACAAAGAGAGATGGGAAGTGTGAAAGAAAAAGGACATAACAGAGAAAGATAACACAAACCTGTGAGGGCAGGGAAAACAAAGTCAAGACTGCACAACCCTAATGGTAGTTTGTCAGTTTGTACAAGTGCGGAAGGGGATTACCTAACCTCAGGGAGTGCACACCCTTGAGGTGGAGGGAAGGTTCTGCTCTATGCTGTGGTATGTCTGGGTTTTGATTTTGCCTGTACTGGGCTTGGCTCAGCTAGTGCAGTTTTCTGTGTTGACTTATTGTGGGTGATTTACATGTAAGCAAATAAGAAATTTGCATTATGCTCAAATTGTTCTCTAATATATCAATTTCATTGGAGCAAATTTGCATCTTCAAAACAGGCGCAAAACTGAGAATAACTAGAAGATGGGGACAAAACATTGTGATTTTAATTTGCATTTTCCTAACGAATAATTATGCTGAGGTTACTTTTCAATGCTTATTTGTCAGCTGTTTATCTTTAGTGAAGTGTCTGTTCTTACTTTTGCCTAATTTTAAATATCAGATTGTTTTCTTATTGATGGTATAGTTCTCTAGATGTTCTAGATACCAAAAAAAAAAAAATGTAATTTGCAAATTTAATCTCTGTATCTATAGCTTGTCTTCTTAATCTTTTTTTATTAACTTATTTTTTTTTGGTTTATACCACTGTATATGATTAGAAGGATAGGTTCACACTCTTCAAATGCAAGTTACCATACCAGGCCAACACCCAGAGTATCATATCTTTTAACTGTATCTTCTGAAGAGCAAAACTATATGTTTTGATAAGATCTATTTATTTATTTGCTAATTTAATGGCTAGAGCTTTCTGTGTTTTACTTTAGAACATTTTGCAAAACCCAAGCAGTGTACTTAATCAATCTGCCTGTTCAACTTCCCATTTTTCTCTGGTGAAGCCTCTCATCACCTCTGCATCACTCCTATCACTCTCATCACTCCTATACCCCAGTTCCGTATGCATAAATAAATAGATCTTAAAAAAAAAAAAAACACTCAAGTTCTCAAGGATTTTCCCTATATTTTCTTCTAAAAGTTTTTCACTTGACTTATCCATTTTGAGTTAATTTGTGTGGGTGTGAGGTATGGATTGAGGTTATGTTTTGCATATGACTGCTTAACTACTCAAGCACCATTAGTTGAAAAAACTACCCCTCTCTAGTGAATTTCCTTTATACTTATGTCAAAAAAAAAAATCATTAGTCATATCTACATCATTGGTCATATCTATGATGGCCTATTTCTATTCTCTCTCCTATTCTGTTCCATTGGTCTATGTTTTGTTGTCTGTTTTTTCACTAATACCACCCAATCTTGGTTACTGAAGCATTAAGATAAGACTTGAAATCAGGTAACAAGTCTATTCTGACTTTGTTATTTTTCCAAATCATTTTGGTATTATATTTCTTGGTATATAATATTAAATGTCACCTTGTCAATATCTACAAAAACTCCTAGAATTTTGATTGAAATTTTATTGAATCTATAGATAAAGTCAGGAAGAATGACAAATATACTGAATGCTCTATACACTAATATAGTACAATTCTTTTCTCTTGGTTCTCTGACTCTTTCCACTAGCATTTTAACATTTTAGTTTCATTAGTTTTTTTTTTTTTTAAAGATTTATTTATTTATTTGTGCATACAGAACTGGGGTACAGGCCAGAGGCTCAGGGGCAGTGAGAGGCTTCACCAGAGACAGAGTGGGGAGCAGAACAGGCAGATCTACGAAGTACACTGCTGAGGGAAGCAGCGGGCAGGTCAGGAGAGGTCTGGCTCGCCATGTGGTCTCCTCCAAGGCAGGAGGCAGGCGGGAATCGAACTCATGCGGAAGTGGCTTCAGATTCTCAGTGCTGTGCTTTAACCCGCTGCGCCACCAGGGAGGGCCAGTTTCATTATATGGATCCTGAAAATAATTTGTCAAATGTATATGTAAACAGTTTATTTTTGTTGCTCTTATAAAAAGATACTGTTCTTAAATTTTTAAGTCCCAGTTGGTCACAGCTTTATGTAGAAATATGACTGGGTATTGATATTTATTCTGTGACCATACTAAGCTCATCCATTTGTGCTAGCATATTTTTGGTAGATGTTACAAAATTTTCTACTTAGTTGTATCATCTGTAGTAAGAAACAGTTTTATTTCTTACTCTGTGATTATTTTTATATCTTTAAATTTTTTTCCTTGATTATTTAATTGGCATGGACTACCAGTCAATGTTAAATGCATTGAGAACAGATATTCTTGCCTTGTTCCTAGTCTCAGAAGGAAAGCTGTCAATTACCAACTAATATAATTTCAGCTACAGATTTTTGTAAACATGCCCATTGTTAGGTAAAGGAATCCTAATTTGGAAAGTTTTCCAATGTTAAATAGGTACTTCAATCCCAAGATAGACTCTGGTTAGTTGTCAAGGATTATTTTTTTCTAATTACTGTTGCATTTTACTTGCCAATATTTTGTTGAGAATTTTCGTGGCTTCATTCATGAGAAATATTAGTCTAATTATTTTCTTGTAAAGCATGAGATACAAATGTTCCACTGTTGATTCCTGGAAAGATTGTATAGATTGGAGCTATTTTTTCCTTATCTGTTTCACAAAATTCACCACTGAGGTCATACTATACTTGGATTTTTCTTTGTGAGAAGTTTCAAGTCACAAATTCAATTTCAAAGATAGATACAGGTACATTAGGCTATCTCTTCTTTCTTGAGTGAATTTGGTAACTGATATTGTCCTGGAATTGACTGATTTCATCTAGGTGGTTAAACTTATGGAAATAAATTTTCATTTATTATTTTTTTAATATCCATTGTTCTTTTATTATTTGTTTAATGTCAGTGGTGACATCTTCTTTCTAATTCCTGACATTTGTTAACTTGTGTTTCTATTTTTTCTTGGCTAATCTGACTAAATAAAGGTGTATTAGTTTTCTATTGCTGTGTAACAAATTCATTTATGACATAAGGCATTTATTTGGTTAGGTCTGTCACAGCTTTTTGCACCCAGGATACTAGAAGGCTGAATCAAGATAACAGCTGGTCTGAGTTCTTATCTGGACAGTCTCAGAATAAATCCACTTTCAAGCTCATTCTTGTTCATTTCTTTTTAAACTACGTAGGGAGTCTTAGGAGCAGCTGGTTAACATCATTCACTGTAATTTGGAACATCTATCACATGGACTGCTCTAGTTTTTTTTAATTGAGTATCAATATAATTGACTTAAAATATATTTTAGTGTTAGGTGGACAACATAGTAGTTTGATATTTATATATATTACAAAATGATTATAATACTTCTATTACCATCTTAGCAAATTTCAAATCTGCAATGCCACATTATTCATTATAGTTCCCATGCTGCCCCTCACATCTCCTTGACTTAAATATTTTATAACTAGAAGTACGTACCTCTTGATCCCCTTCTTCCCTGTCACTTACACCTCCCTACCCCTCCATCCCGCTGGTAAATGCCAATCTGTTTTTGTCTTTATAATTTTTACCTTGTCTTTTTTAGTTCTCTATATAAGTGAAATCCTTAATACATGACCCCTCATCTTAAATAGCAATGGGATTTCATTGCTCTTACACTTTAAATCTCTCGATATTTCTGTGACCTCCTTCCACTATCTGAGGAAAGAAATTCTCTGCTTTTTAAAGGGCAAAGGTGTTAGGTTAACTCCACTTGGACAAACTGCCTTTCTTAAAGCCAACTTTACCATAATAACATAACCATAATATTCACAACCCCAGGGATCAGAGTTGAAATCTTGGAATCATTTTAGACTTTAGACTACTGTGTGAAGTTTTGCAATATTATCATTCTTCATTAAGAATCACCTCTTCATTACATTCCCTCCACAAATTGCTCACCATTAATGGTGACTTTATTTCATGTAAAGTCTGTAATTAAAAGTTGCTTTTTAAATTGTTATTTGTCTGCATAATTTTAGGTTTAGCAGTTATTTATTTTTTCCTTTTTTTTACAACCGTGATTTTCTCAGTTCAAATTTATATTTATACTTTTAATCAAATGTGTGCTTTTTATTCTTTCAATTTCCAGTCACTAAAAAGTATAACCATGCATGATTTTAACCATTACCACTTAATGTACAGCTTTAATTATTTCTAACAGAAATATTCTTAGAGTGTATTAATCACTCGTAGTTTATGTCTTGTATTTTATAAGTAACAGTATTATTTTTATATGGTAAGCTACAACAAAAATACTTCCATGGCCTATGATCCTGTGACCCAGATCTTAATATAGATAGGGATATAGAGAATATAAAATAGTAAACATACTAAATATATACTGAATAGGGTACTCATATGATGGGAAAATTAAAACAGTATAGGAAAGGTAAAATGATATCTGGGATTTGCTTTAAATGCTGAAAAACGAAGTAGAAAGCAGGGGATAGATGAGCTGAGATTCATGTAATAAAGACATGTAGCTAAATAATAGGGACTTGGGGCTCACTCTCCTCGTCTGTTTACTTTGAAAAATTCCATGTAAAGGGAACGAGCATGTACATTGTTTTAAACACTGAGGTCTTGAAAGTAGAGTGAGAAATGTTGGGAGAAGAAAGACAGAGGAGAAGGCGCATTAACAGAGCATAAGGGGCCCAGCCCCGCCATCGAGTCTGCAAACACCTAACTTCTCAAGTGCGTGGTGGAATCAAACTGTTACACAGGAAAGTGATGGGCCGGAATTTCCTGCTTGGTTTGGAATCTAAAATATGTGTGGAATAAATGAAAGACCAGGCATGTTTGATCCTCAAGGGGGACAATTGTAGGAACCTGCCTCTGGCCTACCATGCTGGGCTGGTCCCCGGATTGGAGGTCTCCAGTAGGCTGAGAGGGGCAACGGGTGGAAGTCACCTGGACGCAGCTCTGTGTCCATTTTACCTGTGCTTTAGTTGATGTGGTGAGTCACACTCATCAATTTTCTGATGTTGAACCAGCCTTGTGACCCTGGAATAAATCCCCGTTGGTGATGATATATGACCCTCTGAATGCATCATGAGTTCAGTTCACTAAGAGGTTGTTGAGGATCTTTGCATCTGTGTTCTTCATGGCATTGGTTTGCAATTTTCTTTCTTTCTTTTCTTTGGTGTGTGTGTGAATTCCTTATTCCTCAAATCTTTGCAAGTTTGAGAAGGATAGGTAATGGTTCCTCTGTGAAGATTGTGTGAATTTACTAGTGAATCCATCTGGTTCTGGTTTTCTGTTTTAGGGGAGACCTTTCTGATTCAACTTCCTTACTTGTAATTGACTTATTCAGATTTTCTATTTTTTCCTGATTTGGTCTTGGAAGATGTATACCTCTAATAAATTGAGAAATTGTCCATTTCTCAAGGTAAATCAATTTATTGACATATAAATATTTAGCACATAGAGTTTTTCTCCTTCTTTCCCTGTGAGCCTCGCTATGAGTTTGTCTATTTTGATTATTTTCCCCAAGAACCAGCTTTTGGTTTTATTGATCTTTTGAAATGTCTTTTTTGTTTTTGTTTGTTTGTTTGTTTATGCTCTAATTTTTATTATTTCTTTCCTTCTACTTACTTTTGGTTTTACTTGTTCTTCCTTTTCTACTTCCTTAAGGTTTGAAGTTGGATTATTTATTTGAGCTCTTTCTTTTTAAAATTTAATTAAATTGTGTGTGTGTGTGTGTGTGTGTGTGTATAGAAGAACTGGGTATAAGTGTTTGTGGAGTGTGTGTGTGTGTGTGGGGGGGTAGTGATAGGATTCACCAGAGACAGAATGGGGAAAAGAACAGGCAGATGTACTGAAATACACTGCTGAGGGGAGCAGCAGGCAAGACAGGGGAGGTTAGCTGTGTCATGTGGGTTAGCTCCCTGGCAGGGGATCGAACTCATGTTGTAGCTGTGATAGTGTGACTTAACCCCTAGGCCACCAGGGAGGCCCCCTCTTTCTTGTTTATTTATGTGGCCTGTGTTGTTAGATACTGCCTTCTTAGTGCTGATTTTGCCATGTCACATAAATCCTGGTATTTTGCGTATTCATTTCCACCTGTCTCCAGGTGGTTTTTAAGATTTTTTATTTTATTTTTAATTTACTCATGCATACAAGAACTGGGGTGTAGGCCAGAGGTAAGTGGGGGGTGGTGGTGATAGGATTCACTGGAAACAGAGTGGGGAGCAGAACAGGCAGATTGACTGAAATGCACTACTAAAGGGAGTAGAGGGTGAGACAGGAGAGGTCTGCTGCATCATACAGGGGTCACATATAGGGGTCACCTCCTTGGCTGGAGATCGAACTCATGCTGCAGTGGCTAGTGATAACTTGATAACGCCAAGACTTTAACTCCTGCACCCTCAAGGAGATCCTACTTTGATTTCCCCATTAAGTTAGCAGTCATTCAAGAGTGTGTTGTGAGTCTCCACATATTAGAGGTTTTCTTGCTTTCTCTTTTGGTGACTGCTTTCCAGTTTTATACCATTGTGATAAGAAAAGAAACTTGATGTGATATCTGCCCTCATGATTTTGTTTCACATCATTTTGTGATCCATTATGTGGCCTATCCTGGACAATGTCCCATGTGCACTTGAAAAGAATACATACTCAGCTTTTTAGGATTGTAGTACCCTATTAATGTCCAGTAGGCTACCCGAATTTATTCCTCATTTAATGCTATTGTTGCCTTTTTGATGAGAGTGGGGTGTTGAAATCCCCATACAATACTGTGTGCCTGCCAATATCTACTTTCAGGTTAATTAAGAGCCACCGCATATATTTGTATTGCTTCATTTGGGACATAAATGTGATGAGTATTATCTCTTCCTTAGGAATTATTCCCTTAATCATTATCTAATGAATACCATGTCTTTTGTCTGCTTTTTTAAGTTGGAAGTCTATTTTATCTGATATAAGTGTGATGGTCCCTGCCTTATGGTGGGGGGGGGGGAGTCCATTTGCTTGTAGGATTGTTTTCCAATCATTTACTTCAAGCCCATGTTTATTTTTGGAGCACAGGTGGGTGTCCTAGAGACAGCAAAACATTTGGAATTTTTTCACTAATCCAACAATCACTCTGTGACTTTTGTTTGTTGAATTTAGTTTATTTACACTTGGAGTGATTATTGCTATATGAGGACTTGCTGTTGCTGTTTTGCTTTACTTTTCTACTTTTATCTATGTACTCATTAAGTTTCCCCAGTTTTAAATGACTTTGGATGTTTGTCCTGTCTGTTCATATGTAGATCTAGAGATGTGATTTTGTATCTGCTGAGTCTGGGAAGGGAGGGTCTAGAGGGGTCTACAGTCCGGTGATTGTTTTGGAAGGGGGTGGCTCCTGTCTGCGCCACTGCCTTTATCTTTCCCCCATGGTTCCAGATCTGAGTCTGTGTAGATGGTGCACTCTGGGGTGAACTCTACAAGGTCAGTACCAATCTTGAGGATGGGGAAGAAGGAGTGCAGTCCATGCACCATTTCTTTCACTGGAGACCCAGCCCACTGGGAGTATCCCTTATCCTCCACACATCTCCCTTCAGTCTGTAGTATATGTCTCGATACTGCTGAGCTTGCCTTTCCACAGGGCCGCTGGCCCAACAGCATAGCCATGACCGAAACCTCTTGGCCTTTCTTTCTCTCACTGTCTTACTTAATGAAGCATGAGGTTACTTAGTGTCCATTCAGGTGTGGTTCATTCTAGTCCCCTAGGTCCAAGAGTTGGTTTTGTCCCAAATCACAGAATCTTCTCAGTGTAGGACCAGCATGGGTTATCTTTCAGACTATTTTCCCTAAAGTAAAGCAATGTACCTCCTCTGATGCCATCTTTGACCCAATGCCTCCTTCTCACCTTTAATTAAAGAAAGTCTTTAGGAAGAACTGGAACTTTTGTGGTGCAGAGAAAAAGAATTTGTCAGAAAGAAATTCCTTGGATTGGGATTTACAAAGAAAAAAGATTCAATTTCAAATTGTACATGGGATGTACAGCAAAAATGTGTTACAAGAGTAATTTAAGGTATCCTAAATGAATCTGCTAATTAATAACTCATTGTACTCATTACAAATCCATATAGAAAGCAATTTTGTAAGCTTTCCCTGGTGACACAGTGAGTTAAAGCATAGCACTATAAAGCTATCTGCAACCACTGAAGCATGAGTTCTATTCCTGGCTGGGGAGGTGTCCACATGGCAAGGCAGACCTCTCCTTACCCGCCCACTGCTCCCCTCAGCAGTGTATTTCGGTCAGTCTGTCTGTTCTGCTCCCCACAATGTCTCTAGTAAATTCTTTTACCTCCCATTCCCACCCCTCTAACCTGCAACCCAGTTCTTATATGCATGCATGGATAAATCTTTAAAAGAAAAAGAATTTGACTCAGTCAAAAGTAAAAGATTTAAAAAGAAAAAAACAAAAAAGAAAGAAAGTAATCTCATATTTCAGTATTTAGTGTGATTTTGTTTTTCAGCATCAGTAATACAGGGAGGTCATCTGTCCAGTCTGCAGAAGTTGGACCTGAGCTATAATGACAGTGTCTGTGAAAAAGGTTGGGCTGTCTTCTGCCAAAGTGTGTGTCTCCTCAAAGAATTGACAGAACTGGATATTAGCCTTCGACCATCAGCATTCCAAGATTGTGGAAGATGGTTTAGAGACTTATTATGTTCTGTGACCAAACTTCCCAAGATCACTGAGATTGGAATGAGAAGATGGATCCTCCCAGCCTCTCAGCAGGAGGAACTAAATCACCAAAGAGGCATTCACTTTGACCATGGTGGGTTTCAGGCAGATGTCCTAGGGCTTGCTAAAACAGAAAACCTCTCTAAGGGAAGAAGAGAAACTGATGACTCTCAGTGCAAATCAAAGGAGGATCAACTGCTGCGCTGTTTCACGGGATTTACTACAAAAAACCTGTAAATATTTGTGTATATAGTAGTTAAAAACTAGCATGCCTTTTATTCTCTATCTTATGAAACAAGGATGACATTTTTGGATAGATTTTCATTTGCTGTGGTTATAGAATTATTTCACTTACTGTATAGAAGGCCTGCCCCAAATGATTAGATTTTAGTGATACATTCCTTTTTCTTGCCCTGGAGATTCCTGTTGCTCCTTTTCCTAGATGTTGAATATAGGAAATGTCCTATGTGTTTTAAGTATATGGGTATATGTGTATGCTTGAAATTCTAATGTGAAAGGCACTAATGGTGTCATAGTTTTGTATCTTAGTGTGGTCTACTCATCATTTTATTAGAAGTGTTTATTCAGTGGTTTATTATTTTATATTCTGGAGCCCTTTATTTCAGATATGAACAACTAATAATAGTAACTGACACATAAAGCTTAGTAAAAAGTGGTAGAAAATTCTAAACCCAGTATCTTGTTAAAATATAGTAAAATCTTTTCTTGTTAAAATAAATGAACATATTACCTCTGAACATTTCATTGGCAGGGAATTTAATACATGAAAACTAACTCATTCATTAAACTTATTGTGTTCTAAGTGATTTTTGAAATTTTTGTTTTCTTTTATTGGAGCATAGAGTTCATTGAATGGCAGAGGTAACACCTAACACACTTCTGTTATGATATGTTCTAATCAAATTATGCATTGCTTTCTCTTATTACAATAATAACTTGTAATGCAATTTTTTTGGAAAGATATGTAGAATGTGAATCAATATTACTTCAAAAAAAAAGGCATTGGGATGAGGAAATTTGAATGACACGCAAGGGAATGTTTTGGTTAACATGGTATTCTTCATTTGTGTCTTCCCATGAATTTCATGAACATCTGCACTCATACAAAAACCTATCAAAAGATGTTCTTTTTTTAAAGATTTATTTATTTTTATGCAGAACTAGGATACAGGCCAGAGGTGCAGGGAAGTGACAGGATTCACCAGAGACAGAGTGAGAAGCAGAACAGGCAGTTTGATGAAGTACACTGCTGAGGGGAGTAGCTGGCGGGTCAGGAGAGGTCTGCAGCACCATGTGGGTCACTTCCGGGGCAGGCGGGAATCAAACTCATGCAGAAGTGGCTTTAGCTTCTTAGTGCTGTGCTTTAACCTGCTGCGCCACCAGGCAGGGCCCATTCATTTGTTCTTAATAGCCAAAGCTGGAAATACTGCAATATCCTCTGATGTGTAAATGGTAAAAGCTATGGTACAATGCAATAGTACTCAGCAATTACTTCTTTATTGTTGAAAAGTTATAACATGCTATCATTTGTATTAACTTCAGGTGAATTAGGCTGAGTAAAAAAGCCAACCCCAAACAATTACATACGATGTGATTTCATGACATTCTTGAAATAACAGATTATAGAGATTGAGAAGAGACTGGGAGAGGGCTCTGGAGTAGATATGTTTAAATAGAACAGCATAAGATTTGTGATGATGAAACAATCATCTATCTTGATTATGGTGGTAACTATATAAAGCTACATCTGACAAATTTGCAGCAACACACACACACGAATGCATGCATAGCTGCTGATATCTGTATAAGCTCCATGGACCAATCAATTTTCTGGTTTTGTATTGTACTACAGCTGTGTAAAATATCAACACTGAAAGACGATGAAGAATGCATGGATGCCCCTGTATATTTATTTCCAATTTCCTGTGAATCTGTAATTACTCCAAAAGAAAAGTTTTAAAAAGTAGACACAGTGTGTCAGGATAACCGAGTGGTCTAAGGCGCCAAACTCAAGGAGAAATACCTTAAAAAGTAGACACAGGCCCTCCCTGGTGGCGCAGCGGGTTAAAGCACAGCACTGAGAATCTAAAGCCGCTTCCTCATGAGTTTGATTCCTGCCTGCCCCGGAGGTGACCACATGGCGTGGCAGACCCGCCCGCTGACCCGCCTGCTGCTCCCCTCAGCAGTGTACTTCGTTGATCTGCCTGTTCTGCACTCCACTCTGTCTCTGGTGAATTCTCTCACCCTCCACATCTCTGGCCTGTATCTCAGTTCTGTATGCACAAAAATAAAATAAAATCTTTAAAAAAAAAAGTAGACACAAAAGTAAAATAAACTTTTATGAACCTATCATGGGCATCTACAATTATCAATCTGTGGCCAATCTTGTTTCATTTTCCCATTATTCTCCTTGACATTACTTTGAAACAATTCTTAGATAATCATATCATTTTATCCATGAGTATTCCATTATAAGATTATCTATTTTTATATGTAACATAATTCTATGAAGAATTCTAGCAGACAGCTAATTCATAGCCTTTTGCCCTTTTAATCAATCAGAGTTCATTACCTCAATTCATTAACCTAAATTATTTTTTCTTCTTTACAGGTGCTGCTTTTTCATTCTTCTTTCCTTTCTTATCTTTCGGAGAACTCCTTCCTTTCTTTCGTGATTTTAGTTCTTCATATGGTCCAAGCCCTTTCCGTACCATTAATCCACGCCACCATGCCTGAATCTGAAAATAAGAGAAAGAGCATTAGATTCTATTTCATTCTTCTGGCATGCAGTCTTAAGGATGTGGAGAATGCTATGGGTTAGAAATCCAAATCCTATTTCCTCTCTTTCTCATTTGCCCAGTCATCCAGGCAAATTTTTAAAAAAGTATTTAGTGCTTTTATGTGCCTGGCACTATTCAAGACATTTGGGAAACAGCAATTAGTACAGAGTCCTGAGTTCATGGAGGTGACATTCCATGAGAGAGAGAGCCAACAAGCACATGCATGTATAACTTGACAGATGGTGACAAATGTCTGAGACAACAGTCCATAGGACAAGAGGCAGTGCATTCCCATTTCCCCTCTCTTTTATTGCACTATCCTTGCTCTTAGCCACAGCCTGCTCTATTCTCTCTCATCTTAGAAGCACCCCTCCTCTCTTCAAACCTTCCAATGATACCTTCTCTGTTTCTCTTAGAGTACAAGCCAAAGTCCTTACAACGGCTTGCAAGTCCCTGTCTGAGCTTCCCTCTCACACCTCACTTCTCTCTGACAAGTAACTATACTTCCTCTTTGCTCACTCTACTTTAGTCACACTGGTTCCTCAGAGCTCAGTCACAGGATACACAATCTTAGCTCAGGGCCTGTGCATTTGTTACTTCCTCTGGAGCAGGCTCCCCAATATTCAGATGGTTCATCCTTCCCTTTACTTCTTCAAGTATTTGCTCAACTGTTGCTGCTATGGAACAGACTATGTTCTTCCCAGCCCCACTCATATGTTGAAGCTCTAATGTCTGGTGTGGTATTTGAAGATGGGGGCCTTGGGTGTTAGTTGATGAGGGGGAGCAATATTTGCTGTTTCTGTCATGGGAGGTCACAGCAAAAAATGTCCATCCATAAGCCAGGAAAAGAGCTCTCACCAGAAACCTACCATGCGAAACCTACCACACTGACACCTTGATCTCATACTCCTAGACTCCAGAACTTTGTGAAAATGAATTTTATTGTTTAAGCAGCTCTGTCTGTGGTATGTTGTTATGGTAGTCTGAACTCTGGACTAAGATAGTCATCTTTTCAGTGAAGTGTGGCCTGACCATCTCATTTAACTTGAAATAAACTCCCCTACACACACACGTCTGGCAACCTCAGTCTTCCTTATTTGAACCTATTTTCCAATGTTATGTATCATTTTCTAAAGCAGAATAAAGTTTTTGTTTTATATTTCATGTTTTTATTCACCTCCTACTAAACTTGAAGCATTATGAGAACAGATATTACCTGTTTTGTCCACTGATGCATATCTAGTGCCTATGACAGTGGCACATGGCAGAAGTTCAGTAAATGTGTTGAACTAATGAATGAGATGAGCAGTGAGGAAGGGTGGAGGGTACTCCTTTATATAAGGTAGGTAAAGGGTAGATTCTCTGATAAGAGGATAATTGAACAGAGATGGAACAAGTGAAGGTAAGGGTCTTGTCCATATCTGGGGGAAGCATCTTAGGGCAGAAAGAAGTTAGTGCCTTAACACTGAGGTCGGGACATGCTTGGTCTTTGGAAAAACACCAAGGATCCCACTTATGAGTGAAAGTGCGAAAATAGAAAAGATGAGATGAGAGTGAAAGCAGTAAAGCAGTTAGGGTGATGAGATTCCAGAGGAACAGTATTGCCCTCTACCGGCATTATGGAAATTTAAGGGGCTTCTTGTCTCAAAGATAAGCAAATCTTCAGTTCTGTGACATAAACCTGGGTCCAGAAAGACTTTCCAACAGGCTTATGTAGTTTGAAGGCGATTCATTTCCAGAGCTTCAATTTCTATATGAGGTAAATGTACTGTCATGTGAACTCAACTGCTGATTCCCCATTCCCAACTTTTCCTTTACATCTGCCCAACCCCTCCCCCCCCAAACCACCTAAATCAGACAAGGCTGTGCTGCCCTAGACCCTAAAAAACCTCTGGAAGAAGTATAATTTGCACTTATGTCTGTAATCAAATTATAAAGGTCTAAATTTTAAAGAATGGTTTTTGGTTTCAAAAAGAAAAAGGAAAGAAAACTCAAGGACACCAATAGAAAAAATGGGGGGGGCTTCAAAGTAACAATATTAATGTTGGCTCTAAGGATCAAGTCACTTGATCCAAGACATAAGGCGATTTCTAATTAAAACTAGACATTTAGAGATGTGTGAGCCATTGACATTTAAAACAAAATACAGGGGGCACCTCCCTGGTAGACTAGGGATTAAGTTTTGGCATCGCTTCTGTGACCTGAGTTCAATTCCTGGCCAGGGAGCTGACCCACATGGTAGAGCAGACCTCTCCTGTCTCACCCACTGCCCCCCTCTGCAGTATATTACAGTCAATTCACCTGTTCTGCTGCCTACTCTGTCTCTGGTGAACCCTCTCACCCCACCCCACCCCCCTTTGGCCTACACCCTAGTTCTTCTATGCATAAATAAATAAATAAATCTTAAAAAAAAAAAACCACCAAAATGCGGAAGGTCATTTTGATTTTTGTCAATTTAACTATGTGACAAGGTTTCTCAGTGCTTCATTTGTAAAATGAAAAATAGCTGTAGAACTGATGCCAAACCTTATCTTGTTCCAGCAATAAGTCATATTTATGCAAAGATGTAAAAATTATATGAAAAACATCTCTCATTAATTATATATATTCCCCCAAATCCTGCATGTCAAATAATTAGATATCAATTTTATAATGTATTTTATATTGTTTTGGGCAACTTTGCATAATTGGTAATTGTAATATGACTTAATATAGAAAATTAAAACCCTATAATGACAGAAAAAACTAATTTTAAGTTTTAGTTTATGGGAGTATTTTTATTACATACATATATGAAAGGATGACCTATAAATGACTTGAAAATGGTATATATCTAACTTCTACACATATACAGGATAAGTATTTTTCTTCAGAATAAACAATATTATATCAATTCTGAGAGAAAAGAATTGGAATGGAAATGCACATTCAAAAAGAAAAAATTACATAAAATTTCTATCAAAAAAGTTTGTTGAATTCTTCTGCAAATTGATATTGACTGATTTATATCAAATCAGAAAGGTATTTAGATTCCATAGGATACATTTAATAGTTCTTTTTCAATATTTGGGGGGAAGTAAATTCTTTGCAACGACTTAAACTTAGTAGCAACAAATTGTTAATATCAATTTGAAAAGGTACAAGAGAGCACACAATTTTTCAAAATGCTTTTAAAAAGTATCCAAAAAGTACTATTATAATTCTTCCAGTGCCTGTTGTTCTAGAATATGTATATATTGTGATATTTTAATATAAATTACTTTTTTCCCCTTTATATTGTTACTCAGGCATTATTTTCATGTATTAAAATTATGGATTTTAGTAAGTTATATTATCTGTGAATGTCATTTCAAAATATGACAGGAAGTATTACATAATATTTACCACAAAAGGGAGATGGTTAGACCTGATGTGACTGAGGGCCATTGATAGAGACGAATGCATTCTAAAGGCTTACTCAATATAACGGAAGTCATCGATTTCAGCAGGTGGCAAGATCTCAGCTTTGCTTGAGCAGCATTAGCACCTGAGTGTGTTGTGGGAATAGGGACACTAGTTAGAGGACTAATGCAGTTGTCCTAAAGTGAGATGAGAGGAGCTTGACCAAGTGAATAAAGAATTTGGAATATTGACTGAAATGGACTCACTCTTATCTGTTTGGGATATCTTATATCTCTAAGGACTTGGTGGACAAAAAGAATTATAAGATTTTTATCCTGTTGATGCTCATCAATGGCAAAGCAGAACTCTATTCTCCAGAACTCTGTTTCATAAATGTTTTCATTTCTTAACCTTCAGCCTTGTCTTATGACTCTGTTAATACAATTGACCAGTGAACAGGCTTAGGGGCACCAACCCCCAGCAATGGAAAATCCATGTATCTGCCATGTCACATCTGAGGTTTCAACCGACATGCTGAGTTGGATGAATCCTTGAACGTGGCACTTGGGGACAGAAAAAAATCCATCCTCTAGTTCAAACCTGTGTTATTCCAAGGCCAACTGTACAAACTTTTCACTCCAGTGAAATAGTTCAAGAACTTTAGATCCTTTTGGGATTTGAAGTTTTGGGGCTTTTGTCCCATCAGTTGTCTTGTTATCTGATGAAGAGATAAGGAATGCAAAAGACAAAAATAGTAGGATGATATTAAAAAAATCCCTTGCTTAGTCTCAGGGATATAAAAGTAAAAACCTACTTTCCAGGTGGACAAAGTACAGGTGAGTAAGGGGCAACCCCACAGGCTAAGCTGCAATGAATCTGCACTAACCCAAGTGTCTCCAAAGCTACCGTGAATGTGTTCTTAAGAATTTTTGGCACTTTTTTTTTTAAAGATTTATTTATTTATGCATACAGAACTGGGGTACAGGCCAGAGGTGCAGGGCCGGTGAGAGGATTCACCAGAGACAGAGAGGGGAGCAGAATACACCACTGAGGGGAGCAGCGGGCGGGTCAGGAGAGGTCTGCCACGCAATGTGGTCACCTCCGGGGCAGGTGGGAATGGAACTCATGCGGAAGCGGCTTTAGTTTCTCAGTGCTGTTTTAACCCGCTGCGCCACCAGGGAGGGCCATTTTTTGGCACTTTTACCTTTGTTGCCATCTTGTTCTTCTCTCTTGTTTCCTTAAGATATGCCCAGATGGCCTCATTGCCCTTGCTGCACACTTCCAGTGGGGGTTCTTCCATGGGGTTGTCCAGCAGTGTCAGAGCTTTCAAATTCACTAGAGAATCCAAATTCTCTGGAAGATGCGTGATCTTGTTGTCATCAAGAAGTAATTCTTTCAAAGCTGAAATGATTTTTTAAAATATGGATTTACTGTAAGAACAAGCAAAATTAAACCGTGCATTTTTTAGTCCAGCCACTTTGCAATCTTTGTTTCCTGGCTGTGCCATGTAACAAAAGACATTAGATCATCAGATTAACGAGGCAAACCATGCTTTCTTCATATCTTCTTTAGAGCAATTCAGACTTGCTGGAATCAATGCAAGTATGTCTCAGAGGAAGGAGAGCTGTAAATACTCAAAATTTTTGAGGATGCTACATTCTTCCAGGAACCATGGACTGGATATAAATCTATGGTTAGTAGAAATACTAATGAGTATTGCATACCTACCCTCTGCCTGCAATCACTGAATGTCTTGCGGGTAGATATGGCTTTCACTCACATTCCTTCACTCTTCTTTCATTAAAAATGAATAGTCAGGGGCCCTCCCTGGTGGTGCAGCGGGTTAAAGCACTGCACTAAGAAACTAAAGCCACTTCCGCATGAGTTCGATTCCCGCCTGACCCGGAGGTGACCACATGGCGTGGCAGACCTCTCCTGACCCGCCCGCTGCTCCCCTCAGCAGTGTACTTCGTCAATCTGCCTGTTCTGCTTCCCGCTCTGTCTCTGGTGAATCCTCTCACCAGCCCTGCACCTCTGGCCTGTACCCCAGTTCTGTACAAATAAATAAATAAATCTTAAAAAAAAAAAAAGAATAGTCAGGGTTTAAAAGCACATATATAAACCCAAAGACTCAGCACACTAAAGTAAAAAAAAAGTGATTTTTATGTGGTTTCAGAAGGAGCTCAACAGAAACTTGTGTAAAAAATGTTTGTGTATTTAAATATGAATGAGGCCCCTCCCTGGTGGTAAACAGGTTGAAACACAGCACAGGGAAGCTAGCCACAGCTGCTTCCAGAGGAGTTTGATTCCCAGCCAAGGAGGTGACCACATGGCAGCAGACCTCTCCTGACCCGCCCGTTGGTACTTGGTACTTGGCCAATCTGCCTGTTCTGCTCCCCTACTCTGTCTCTGGTGAATTCTTGATCACCCTACTGGACTGTACCCCACTTTTGTATGCATAAATAGATATTTTAAAAATAAATAAATACATACATACATATGAATGATACATAATTTTTAATGTTAATCTTGTAGCTCCAAGATTCCTCTCCATCCCTTTGCTGATTTCACTACTATGGATAATACTTTTCCTTTTATTCAAGTGACTTAGTGACCTAAGTGATGTAGTACAAAGTTACTACAAGAAATCCTAACTCCCAATTCTAGCATACATTAAGTAATCAGTAAATTGTCAATATTGTAATGACTGTATGGATGAATGCTCATTTTCTAATAGTTACATTTTTCTTTCCAATTCTCAGTAAACAGCCTGACTTTGTGAGACTCTTAGCTATATTGATCAGGGACTCGGCCTTCCCCACTTTACCTGTGACCAGGTAATGGGATAATGGTAAGCTCTCTAAGTAGAGATTAGTATTTAGTAAAGCAGGAAAGCCTTTGTGGTAGGAAATGCTGGCCTCCAACTTTAAAAGGGCCACAGTTCTACAGCAGATCCTTGAATATTGCTACTTCACTCAACGTCATTTCATTATAATGCTGATGAGAAAAAAACATCCGATTGTCCACTGGGGCCATGGTGTGGCATTTTTACACTCTCCCATATCTGCGAGTGTTTTCTCCAGGTACTGCAAGATCTCAAAGATGTACACTCTAGGATCTTTGGCCATGTCTGAATAATTGGGGTGATGTGAGTGTGGGTGTGAGCGTATTCTGGGGTAGAGGACCATCTTTTCTAAGTCCCTTCCTGTGCCCTGAGTCAGCTGCCAGGATTGGCTCTGGCCACCATGACCAGAGTAAATGGTTTGGAAAATCAACACATACAAGTTATGGCTTAATACTAGATGTGTCTTGAGTGTTTATTTAGAAGACTCAGTTTTGACCAGAAATATGCTGTAGGAACTTAACTCTTGTAAGCCTATGGTGAAATTGGTTTCATTAGAAGCTGTTTAGCTTTAAGTCATAATTTCCAAGAACTTATTTATGGTGCTAAGCAAGGACTCACTGTGCTAAAATTCCTTACCTTGTGCATAGCAAATGGAATTTGGAAGTTTCCTAAGCAAATTGTGGCGGCAATTAAGGATTTTCAGGTTGGGCATTGATCCCAAGGACACAGGCAGAGACTCCAGACAATTGTTTTCTACATACAGTTCTTCAAGATTCTGAAAGGACATGAGAGTATATCATAGTGATCCTTATCTAATACACGAATAAATAACCAGAATCACCAGTGGGTTCCCATGCTCTTTCAGTTCCTATGCATTTGGTAAAAAAAAAAAACATATTTAAAGGACCAGCATTAAAAAAAATTAAATTTTGGCCCTCCCTGGTGGCGCAGCGGGTTAAAGCACAGCACTGAGAATCTAAAGCCGCTTCCGCATGAGTTCGATTCCCTCCTGCCCCGGAGGTGACCACATGGCGTGGCAGACCTCTCCTGACCCGCCCGCTGCTCCCCTCAGCAGTGTACTTCGTCGATCTGCCTGTTCTGCTCCCCACTCTGTCTCTGGTGAATCCTCTCACCCTCCGCATCTCTGGCCTGTACCCCAGTTCTGTATGAATAAATAAATAAATCTTAAAAAAAAAATTAAATTTTGAGTAAAGTCATCAGAAGTGGTTCCTAATTTATGCAGGGGAAATAAAACATGGGAATCTACTATTTATTTGTGTTATAAAAATTTGGATTGTTCAACTATATGTCATTTGTTCCCTTATAATAGCTAATTATCTGTGGTAGTTGCTACAGATTTTTTCCTCAAATATCAATCCCACATCAGCCATATAGGAGTAGCCAACATGTACAGATAATAGACAAGTATTTTTTTTAAAGGTTTATTTATTTTGTGCTTACAGAACTGGGGTACAGGCCACAGGTGTGGTGGGTGAGAGGATTCACCAGAGGCAGAGTAGGGAGCAGAATAGGCAGACTGACAAAGTACACTGCTGAGGGGAGCAGTGGGTAGGTCAGGAGAGGTCTGCCATGCTATGAGGGTCAGCTCCCTAGCTAGGGATCGAACTCATGCTACAGTGGCTTTGGAGAGCTTCATAATGCGGTGCTTTATTCCGTTATCCCACCAGGGAGAGCCCAATAGATGACTATTTTAAACTCCCTGGGCGAAATTTAATATTTACATTTCACCCTATGATTTATAAGAGTACCATGGCATGTCAGGGGGTACAATGATGAAAGGAGTTTCTATGCCTCAGGACAAGATTGGAGAATTAGGATAAGACCCCTGTGTCTCAAGGGAGAGTTTGGGTATGTATTTCTTTGTCTTCTCCTTTGGGGAGGCTTACCTGTAGTTTTCCAATCTTCTCTGGTATACAGGTGAGTTTGACTCCCTGATCTTGCCCAAGGTACAATTTCTCTAAGGACTCTAAGGAAAAGATTTCTTCTGGAAATGAAAGGAACTGATTTCCAGTAAGTCCAAGAATCTTCAGTTTTGAAAGTGAGCCAAAGTCTGAAGGTAACTAGAAATAGTCCAAAAAGATGTTTCAAGTCAAGGTTATTTTTCACAGTAGAATTTTTTTTTCTTTTTTTGAGGCAGGCCATCAAGCACAAAAAAGAGTAATTTAGCAATGCCTACTAGTGAAATGTTTCCACAAGTATTGCCATATAAAGTGTCTATAATTGTAGTTCTAAACTCTGGACTGCTACTTTTTTCTTGAGCCTCTTAACTCTTCAAATTTTTCCATTGTTTTAAATTGGATTTTTTTTTAAGATTTATTTATTTATTCATACAGAACTGGGGTACAGGCCAGAGATGTGGATTCACCAGGAACAGAGTGGGGAGCAGAACAGGCAGATCGACGAAGTACACTGCCGAAGGGAGCATCGGGCGGGTCAGGAGAGGTCTGCCATGCCATGTGGATCTCCTCCGGGACAGGTGGGCAGGCGGGGATCGAACTCATGCGGAATTGGCTTAAGCTTCTTAGTGCTGTGCTTTAACCATCTGCGCCACAAGGGAGGGCCTAAATTGGAATTTTTAACCTACATTTTGCAAATTTTTCAACTGTATGTCAGTAAGTGTTGGACACTACTAAAAGAAAATGAACAAAAGTGCAATATTGCCAAGATCATATTATATTTAATTTAACTACTAGAAGTGATCAATTTAGGCTTTAATTCTACAATTTTGATATTTCAATTGTAATCTTAGGTGGAAGCAAAAAATACAGAATATGATGACTGCTACTTGTCAGCAACTGTATGCTAGTGAAATGTCAAGGCTTATACGCCCTCTGCAGGAATTAGGGAGAAAATTCAGTCTCCCAGGCCTTAAAGAGACAAACTTAAATAGACTAACCTTCTATTTGGTGTGTGAATACGTTTCATAGCACCCGGTCCCATATTAAACACCACTTCCTGGAGTGAAAAGTTCAGACCTTGAATGAATATTTATAATCATGCGATTTCTTCTTTTGTCAAAACAACAACAACAACAAATGTTGTACCACTATGTGTCCCCCATGATATGTTTTGGCTCTCTGGATCCACATTAAAAACAAAACAAAACAAAAACTCGGGCCCTCCCTGGTGGCGCAGCGGGTTAAAGCACAGCACTAAGAAGCTAAAGCCACTTCAGCATGAATTCGATCCCCCGCCTGCCCTGGAGGTGATCCCACATAATGTGGCAGACCTCTCCTGACCTGCCTACTGCTCCCCTCAGCAGTGTACTTCACCAGTCGGCCTGTTCAGCTCCCTACTTTCTCTGATGAATGCTCTCACCTCCCCCTGCACCTCTGGCCTGTATCCCATTTCTGTATGCAAAATAAATAAATTCTTTAAAAAAAAAAAACTCACTCTTAAATATGTGACACACTTTATTAAGTCACAGAGACACCTATTTTCTTGTAGAAAAAAATAGCCCAGTGATATATCTCAATAACTTTTCCACTTACTTGGAGCCATGATCCAGCTTTACTTCTCACTCCAAATCCTTCCTCACAGTTACCAACCTGGGCACTGAGCTTTCCTCCCACCCTTTTCTAATTAGTCCTCTTTGCATGAGAATGATTAGACTCAACTCAGGGATCTCTCTATAGGTAGGTGAGATTCGTAGATTGTAGATGAGTGAGTCAAAAGGAAGGACTTTTGGGGAGAATGTCTCAAAACACTTTTCCTCTTTATTGTAAGAGCTCAGTTCCCTAATCCAGTGTAAAATGTTTATAATTTTATTTACCTACTTAAAAAGACAAGACAAGTCAATCTCCAGAGAAACTGATGTGTACCTTTTCTTTCTAACTTATCTCCAAACTCTCAGACTAGATAATTCCAAAACATTCAGTGCAGTCCAAAATAATAGGAAGTGATTTTTCAATGTACCATGCCATTCTAAATTAGTACTTCACTTTCATTGTTCTTTATATTAGTCATAGATTAGCTTTTCCTTTTTTTTTCCAAAGCAAATTGTCTGTGTCATCATTTTTTGCAGGATAATTCTTTTATTAATAACTACCCAATAATTAAATCCATCATAGTTGGATTAAAGTGTAGAGGAAATAAATCTGTACATACAAAACCTAGAGCACAAATGAAGATGATTATTGTTGACACTATAACCAGCTATAGTTACTGGAGTTTGGATTTTCTCCCTTAGTAGACATGTACCACCAAACAAAACCTATCTAGGAGCACATAAAAAGTCAGCTTTTTTTTTTTTTTTTTTTGCACATAGCTAAGCAAGAAAAAAACTACTGGCCAGGCTTGAAGAATCAGGAACCCATCCGATAAATCTTTGGGGTGGAAAAGAGAAAGAGCTAGCTTATAGGCCACCTGGCTTATAGAGAGAAATATAGTGAGAGTCTACTGGCACAATTAAAATAATTTTTTTTAAAAAGATGACAAAAACACATGCCATCAAAAGAACTGAAAATAGTAAGCGAGCTAAGTAGGGATTTTCTGAGTGCAGTTCAGTGTGGTTTGACTTGAGGTAAGACTTGATACAGTCTTCCTTCCTTGCAGTTTCACGTATGATGGTGACACTTATCTACAGTCAACCACAGCCTAAAAATATTACAAACAATAAGATATTAAGAGAGAGAGAAAGAGATGCCACATTTATATAATTTTTGTGTAAAGTATATTGTTACAATTTTTCTTTTACTCCTTAATGTAGTTCATCTCTTACTGTGTCTAATTCAGAAATTAAATTTTATCACAGTTATGTATATAAATTGAATTGGAAAAAGTCAGGCTGACCTGTTAATTAGCTAAAGTCATGTTAAGACAAAACCTCAATGTAGACTGAAAGTTTCAGGGAAACTGAAATGTTTGCAAGGCCACATGCCTGACTTCTGCTCCCAGAAAATCACTTAGGAATCTCCTGCTTTTATGCTGCCTTTGCTATTAGAGTGCAAGTGTACCCCTGCTGAGACAATAAATACAGTCCTTGACTAATTGTTGGGGGCCCAGACTTTGGAGAAAGATCTCCTCTGGACCCAATGGCATAAATAAAGAGCTTCCCTCTTCCTCTGAGCTCTGCCTGGTTACCTGAGGGAATCCTGCCCTAACAAAAGGACACAGCATCCTATGTTTCCTGGGATATGAAAGTGACCCCTGCCCTACCCAGGGGGGTATCTTTTAAGATATCTCCCAAGCAAGGATTAGGTATCATTAGGTATTTATGATTCAATAAAAATGAACTCAATGTGTTTTCCTAACCAATGGCACATTATATTTTGAGACTTTCATTTCAACTGTGGAATGATAGACTCTGGCCACTCTTAAAAGAATTTCTTGCAGCAGGCAATGGGATGGATCAGAGACCTCTCATGGAACCTCTAAAATACTGCATGGCAAGTTGCTGTTTCAACAGAGTAAGTCCCAGATTCTCTTCTCAAGTCTTAAATTTACCATCAAAACATTCACCTTTGTGATAGGCATTTCTAAAACCCTAGAACAATTAGCAAAGCCAACCAAGTAACCAACCAACCAATCAAACAAACAAACAAAAACCAAACCTCCAAAAACTAAAACCCAAGGTTCTAGAAGTTGAAAGCTGAATAAAAGGGGAAAGGCACATATCTTTGAGGTTGAGGACTTGTATAATGTATGGTAAATACATGGGACTGAATTCCATGGCCAGGAAAGATTCAAATCTCCCTTTCCTTCCCTCTGTAGTTGTCAGCTGTTTTTTAACAGAACTCTGTTCTTTGCAATTTTCACATATTAAAAAAAATAATAAACAAGTACCCACCAACCAAATCTCTTGTTAATAAAAAAATGAAATCCTGCAGTTAGAGTTGCGTACTGCTATGATTTTTTCCCCCCATTTCTTTGACTCTATCCTCTTCTCTAGGCAGCCACTATGAAGAATATAGTGATTTGTTTCTTGTCCGTGTTTTTCTATTTTTATTACATATAAAAATATCCATAACATATGTGTATATATGCAACTTTGTGTGACTGAAACATTCAAATGGTATTCAAGTTTTATTTGGTGTTTTACTTTTTGATAAGCATCACAATTTTCTGCTTATTTATTTTCTTACATTGTTCATTTTTGTATAGTATTTGATTTCTCCCCTCAGATGTAGTTGCCATAGTTCTCCCTCCACCATAGTTTTTGTGATCCATCACTACAGTCTCTTGTACTTTCTCCTCCCCTGTTTTGACCCCTCTAAACATCACAATTTTGAGTTCTATAATTTAGCACAGATTGTTCCAGTTCACTTAAATTATCATAGTTTGTCAATTCATGAACATACCAAAATTCACTAATTCATTCCTGTACTGACTGGCATTTAGATTGTTCCCACAGACCTGACTATCAATAACTCTATCATGAACACTTTTGAATATCCTATTCTGCACACATATGAGAATGTCCCTAGAGAAAATCGGGTTTTTGTAGTTTCCCAGGATGGAACATTACGGGGTGCGAAGCAGAAAAACAACAATAACAACAACAAAAAACTGTTGTTTAAGAAAACTTGTTAAGAATAAAGATCCTGGATCCTAGAAGCTCTAAGCAGGAACTGGGCTCTATAATTTACAAGCTTATTGCCATTACAAGTTAGTTAAGCTCCCTTTTCCTCATATATCATCAAGGAAAATATTACCCACGTTGGAAAGTTGATGTGAGTGAAGGTGTTCAGAATGTTACCCCAAACGATGCCACTTTGGCACAATGGTTGCTTTGAATTAAAGTCAGTGCAAGAAGAACAACAACTCTCCTTCATTCTCCTGAGCGCCAGAGGGAAATCTCCCACGTGAGGGCACTTTCCCTGGGCCAGCAGGTTAGAAGACGTTCTTGCGACCAGACACAGGGAGTTTAGGCCAACAGGCTTTACAAACAAAGCCTGTTCAGTGAATCCACATCTTTCCAGTTACCTCTCTATTCATATATTAACCCCAGCCGAAGCCCTTTATCTAGTCAATTCTTCACAAATACATTTTTTCTTTGTCTAAAAGGTACAAAATTGTCCTGCTCTAGTGACTTCTTTGGGTTTCCCTTTTTTGGACCAACGTTCCCATGTATATATAAAAATTCATTAAAATCCTCTTGATTTCGCCTGTTTATTTGTCTGATATCAGTTGAATTCTTAGGTCCAGTCAGAAGGCCCAAAGAGGATAAAGGAGAATTTTCCTCCCCTTTTGAGGTTTCAATGAGCTAGTCCATCTAAAACAGCCCTGTGGCTAACACATAATCTAAATAAACATTAGCTATTGCTTATGATCACTATTAACATTTAAGGGGGGGGGAATATAAATGATCACCTTGTTGGATATATTTGCTAGCCCTGCATCTTAGCCTGTAAAGCCAATTCAAATTTACAGATGTTTAGACATGGAATCACACCCATTTAGGGCGGGGAGAGCTTCCCAGGGGAGCACTGTGACAACCAGGAAGCATTACCTGCCGCAGTTTGTTATCATCCAGAGCCAAGACCTCCAGGTTCTGCAGAGTACAGATCAGCTCGGGACAACGTTCCAGCAGGTTCCGGCTGACGTCCAGGAAGCGCAGGTTGCACAGCCGCTGGAAGGAGTGCGGTAGTGTCCGCAGACTGTTGCTGTTCACGTAGAGCAGGTGCAGCGAGGTCCACTTGCCCAAGAAGTGCGGCAGCTTCTCCAGGTGGTTCCCATTCAGTGAGATCTCCGTCATCTCCAAGAGCTCAACGAAGCAACGCGGAATGGAATGGAGGCGGTTGTGGGAAAAATCCAACACTGACAAGCGCCTGCATCTACTCAGAGACTCCGGTAGAAAAGGCAGGCTGTTCCGAGCCACAAAGAACTTCTTCAGACTATTTAGGTTTCCAATCTCTTCTGGGATGATAGTTAGCTTGTTCTCATCCAAGTCAATGATCTCCAGATTGGAGAGGTAACAGAGCTCCCCAGGGAAAACTTCAAATTGGTTTTGTTTCAGGTAGATCTCCCTGAGCTTGGTTTGGTTTACTATTTCGTGGGGCAGGGCTTTCAGAGAGTTTCCACTTAGTCCCAACAGCTCAAGGTGGTGAAGGTATTTGCAGATGATGGTGGGGAACTCCTTCAGGTCAATGTGGTAAAGCCGGAGCTCCCTCAAGGTGCCAAGGTTGCTGAGGACCTGCAAGGAGGTGGACTGGAGGGGATTGTGACTCAGATCCAAGCCCTCCAGGCTTCTCAGTTTCCCCAGCTGTGGACACAGCTTCCTCAGCTTGTTCTTGTTGAGATAAAGGATTCTGACATTCTTTAAATGTTGGATACCCTGGGGAATTTCTTCAATCTGGTTATTTTCCAGATGCACTTCTTCCAATTCTTTTAATATTAATATCTCCAAGGGAATTGTAGTAAAATTCTGATTAGAAGCATCAATGAAAAATGTTCTGTCAGAGACCTGCCGTGGATTCCTCTGACAAAATTCAGAAGGGCGTTCTACTGGTTTTTTTATGAAATTTGACATTATTTTGGTGCAAAGTTGGTATATTCAATGTCTGAAATATTGTGAAAAGGAAGACAAGTCAGACTCTACCTGCCACCAGACTTGGTATTCTTAAGAGAGAGTTTAAATTTAATTGATTAAATTTGGTGCCTGAAATTATGTCACAACATAAAATGTAGTTTTTTGTGCTTTATTTGGGGGAGAATTAAAGTATAGATTCCTCTCTCTCATAACAGGTTGATACATATGGGAAAAAGTGACTATTTTGGAGCGAGGAGATCAACATAACGGTGAAGTTTACCCATAAAAACAGCTGATAGGGAGAAATAACAGCAAGTTCCTGTGAGGAAACTGGGTGGGCTAGACAAACTGGGCAATGCCAGTGATTCTCCCAGACATAAGGGAAGGGAAGGGACAGAAAATCATCAGAACCCTTTTCCCCTCTCCCACCCACAAAGCTGGCCCATGTTGTCAAGCAGAAAATGAGAAAAAAGCTTGGAGATTAGATATAGAGAATCCTGAGACATCTGAGAGCTCCTGTTCAGACAGGTAGGCAAACAGAGTCTGGGGCAGGCACACAGTGCTGGGTGTGAGCCTCGTTGTTGTGGTGCTTCTCTCCCCTCCCTCATGGAGACTGGTGGGGCCATTTAACGGTCACAGTTATCAAAGGGAAAGACATCAGGGTGAGCCTCATAGGGTTGGTCCTGACATTGAGGGCCTCTTGCTACCCCAAGCACTCAGGTGGAAGAAGGACTCAGGAGCTCCATTACCCACCCAGTTACCTTGCAGGTCCAGAAAGAGTGATCATCCTCCCACACCAACAATAGCAATTAAATCCACACCTTTTTGTGTTTCTTTCTTTGAATCCTTCCTCAAGAAAGAGGGCCCTGAGAAGTTTATCCTACAGAGACTTGTGGTGTTCCCCAGCAAACTGGCTGTGTGGAGGGTCCTCAAACTATTCTAAAAATATGACCCAGCAATTCTACTGCTAGAAATCTACCCAAAGGACACAAAAGCAGAACACCGGCTCCCCTATGTTTTTCAGCACTATTTATCCATAGGTAAGCTATGGATACAGCCAATAAAGAAAATACATATGTAGTAAAAGACTTCATCATCCCACTTTCACTAATGGATAGGTCAATGAGCAAAAAATAAACAAGGACACTGGAACTCTAAATAAAGACCTAGGCTTTATGGGCTTAACAAACACCTATTGGGTACTTCAAATCTGAGTACACATTTTTTTCAAGTGCTCATGGATCATTCTCCAGGATCCATCACATACTAGGACACAAGACAAACATAAACCAATACACTAAGATCAAAATCATACCAACTATTTTCCCTGACCATAAAGGTATCAAAATAGAAATAAACCATGAAAAGAGAGCAAGGAACCCTTCTACCTCATGGAGATAGAAACCCACACTACTGGCAGAACAATGGATCAATGAAAAGATCAAAGAAGAAATTAAAAACTACCTTGAGATAATGAAAATCAGGACACAACTCTCCAGAAGGTATGGCACACAGAAAAAGTAGTTATAAGAGGAAAATATAGGCTCTTATCAATACAGGCTCATATCAAGAAACAAGAAATAACTCAAAGAAACAACCTCATCTCCCACCTTAAAGAACGGGAAAAAGAATAACAAAAAACCAAAAGCCAGTAGAAGAAAAGAAATAATAAAACTCAAAGCAGAAATAAATGAAACAAAAGTTAAAAAAAATCCATGGGCCCTCCCTGGTGGTGCAACTGGTTAAATTGCAGAACTATACAGCTAACATAGCCACTGCAGCACGAGCTCAATCCCCAGTAGGGAGGTGACCCACATGGAGTGACAGGCCTCTCCTGACCCACCCACTGCTGCTCCCACTGTTTCTGGTGAATCCTCTCACCCCCTGCATCTCTGGCCTGTACCCCAGTTCTGTATACATAAATAAATAAATCTTTAAAAAAAAATCCAAAAGGTCAATGAAACCAAAGTTGTTTCTTCAAAAAATAAACAAATAGACAAACCTCTAACCAGGCTCACAAAGAAAAAAATGAGAGAAAGTACAAATAAATAGGAACATAAATGAAAGAGGAGAAATTATAACAGACACATCAGAAATAAAAAGAATCATAGATTACTATGAACAGTTACATGTAAACAAGTTTAACAGTCTGGAAGAGATGGACAAATTCCTGAACCATACAATCATTTAAAGTTAGTAAAGAAGAAATAGAATGTATAAACAGACCAACAACAGGTAGTGAAATTTAAATTGTAATCAAAACCCTCCCCCAAAACAAAAGCCCAGGACTAAATGGCTTCACAAATGAATTCTACCAAATATTCAGAAATAAACTAGTGTCTATCCTACACAAATTCTTCCAAAAAACGGAGAAGGAAAAAATACTACTAAATATTTTTATGCAGTCAAAATTACATTAACACCAAGACAGAATAAGGACAACATACACAAAAGAAAACTACAGGCCAATATCTCTAATGAACACTGATGCAAAAGTCCTCAATAAAATCCCAACAGAATCCAACAATACATCAAAAAGATAATTCACCCAACTGCCCAAAAATGGATGACTGGGTCAAGAAGATGAGGTATATATACACAATGGAATATTATTCAGCAAACAAAAAGACAAACTCATGCCATTTGCAGCAACATGGATGGAGCTAGAAGGGATTATGTTCAAAGAAAAATATCGGATGGTCTCACTTATAGGAAGAATGTGGGGGAAACAAATAAGGGATCCAGAAAAATAAATAATTATAATAAATTAAAAAACAAAATTAACAGGCAATTACAAATCAGAGACATTCTGCAGGGGAAAGGGAGGGAGAGGGCTCAAAACGGGATAAGCACAAGGGACTATGGTGATGCTGTATGGGTGAATTAGTGGTGGGAATTCTACAGGGACTAAACCTGAGAGGAGAAAGCATACATTGTACAAAAAGGAAGAATAACATGAAATATGTACGTGTGTGTGTGTATAAATGTATAAACTATTTCTGGCTAGCACTCTTGCCCACCTGAGACTATGCAGGTGCTCCTATTTTTCTTTCTCCTTTCCTAATAAATTTGTCCTTTTAAAATACTTTTTTTTTGCCTTCCCTGATGGCGCAGCGTGTTGATGCACTGCAAAAAAAGCTTAAGCCACTTCCGCATGAGTTCGATCCCCGCCTGCCCCAGAGGAGATCCACAAAGGCGTGGCAGACCTCTCCTGACCAGCCCACTGCTCCCCTCAGTAGTGTACTTCGTTGATCTGCCTGTTCTGCTCCCAACTCTGTCCCTGGTGAATTCTCTCACCCTCTGCATCTCTGGCCTATATCCCAGTTCTCTATGCATAAATAAATAAATCTAAAAAAAAAAAAAGTACATTTTTAAAAAAAGATTTATTTATTTATGCATACAGAACTGGGATACAAGCTAGAGGCTCAGGGCAATGACAGGCTTCACCAGAGACAGAGTGGGAAGCAGAACAGGCAGATCGACGAGGTACACTGCTGAGGGGAACAGCGGGCGGGTCAGGAGAAGTCTGCCGCACCATGTGGTCACCTTCCAGGCAGGAGGGGATCGAACTCATGCGGAAGTGGCTTAAGCTTCTCAGTGCTGTGCTTTAACCCGTTGTGCCACCAGGGAGGGCCCTTAAAATACATTTTTTTAAAAAGTGACTATTTCCATTTATTCTATTTCCAGAAAGGACACCCCCTAATTGCCTTCATCCTAAAACTGAGACAACACTGGACCTTTTCCCTTAAAGCTACCAAAGAGTCATGGATGTAAGAAGGCTAAAGTAATTAAATTCTGGAGATGGAATAAACATTCTTAAATAGAGACTAGAAGACACTTTCATGCATACTGATATTTGCAAGTTTGGGGTCTGGCAGATAGAGAAGCAAACCTTCCATGGACAAAGGTATAAAGAAACTTCTTGGATAAAGAAAAAGTGAGCAAATTTTCACAACTGTGTGTGAGCTAGTATGGTGGCTTGGAGTCTAGAGGAACCTCAATCAAAGTCTGTACTCCCCACCAGCAGGTTCTCTCCCACCAGATTTGGGCTTTGACCTTTAAGTGTAGCTAAAATTCCTAAGCAAAACATTTGAAATTGCAGTGAATTGAGAGAAACTAAATCTGCAAGGAAAGAAGTTAAAGACCTAAATAGTCACAAATCATGCCCATGGGTGAATTCAATAGTGTTAAGATGTCACTGCTCTCCAAACTGATCTATTATTCCAATACAGTCCCAGTCCAAATCTCAGCAAGCTTTTTGTTTTTCTTTTCTGATATATTTACAAGCAAAGCAAGTTCTAAAACATGCAAAGGACCTACAACTGCAAACATTTCCTCTGTGAGTGTGGCATCTGGAAGCCTCTCCACTTCCATCTCAGGCCTGGATGATTGGCATACTGGGGCAGAAATCACTGATCATGCAATTGCTGAAGATCCAAAAATCATGAAATCCCAAACACTGAATCCCGAACACTGATTGCTAGAGATTGCTTCTGCAGTCCTTTATATTTCCTACCAGTCTCCGTTTTTTCCCTGCGGTTCTCCAGCCTCACCAGCAGCCCCCTCCAGGGGGCGCCACCTATAACGGTCTTTGGCTTCCGCCACTGATTACATTTCTATTTTCATTAGCCTCTAGCTACTTATTCATTTCTTCCTTAATTTCTTTCTGACCCAGCAGTAGTTCAGAAATATTTTGTTTAGTTTTGGGATTCTCTTAGTTGCTATTTTCTAGCTGGATGTCATTATTATCTGAGAAGATACTTGATATAATTTCTTGTTTCATATATTTTCTGAGAAATATTTTGTGTCCCAGCATATGATCTATTCTTCAGGATGTTCCAAGCGCACGTGAGAAGAATTTTTATTCATTTCTTTTGGGATTAAGAGGTCTGTAAACGCTTATTAAATTCCATCAGGTCCAACACTTCATTTAAAAACTTTATTTTCTTGTTAATTTTCTGTCTGGATGATCTACAGTGTAGTGAGATCTCTGATAATAACTGTGTTTAGTCAATATGTTGCTTTGGATTTGTTGATAGTTGCTTTATATAAAGTGGGTGCCCCTATGTTAAGTGCATAAATATTAATGTCATATTAGCTGGATAAATTTTTCTCTTGATCATTATTATAGTGTCGTTGGCCCTAATCACCTCCTCTCACTCAAAGTCTAGTTTATTTGATATGAAAGAAACAGTTCCTGCTTTTATTTCTGTGTTTTTGACTTAAGGACCATGGTCATACTTTCACTTTGAGTTTGCTTTTCTCTTTCAGTTTATTAAATGAATTTCTTACAAACAGTATGAATGGCTGAAAAATTTTAACCCAATTTGTCATTCTGTGCCTTTGGTGAATTTGGGTCATTGACCAAATGATTATTAATACACAAGTTACTTACTGTATTATTATTGTTATTATTGATGGTTTTACCTTTATTTCTTTTTCAATTTTTTTTCTCTCTACTCTTTGATTTGGATGACCATCCTAGTGTTGCTATCTATTTGTGTCTGGTTAGTGGACACCATGGGGGTTATCCCTAACCTACTGTCTAAAAAATTCTCTATGGGCAGGTGGCAACTTTCTAATATTTGATTATATATACTTCCTTCTCCTTAGTGTTTTGTTGTTAACTCATTCTTGGCCATGCTTCTATTTATTTATTTTTTTCAAATTCTTATTTTGCTCAGGGTTTTGTGTTTGTTTTTCTTTTTTTGTTATAGAAGAACTCCTTTCAACATTTCTTGTAGGTCAGGTCTGGAGATTATAAACTCCAATAACTGCTATTTGTCTGGGAAAGCCTATATTTCACTTTCACATTGAATGATAAGATTGCAGGAGAGAGTCCTCTTAAGTGCCAGTATTGCCTTGTAGGATTATGACCAATCTATTCCACTCACTTCAACCTGGAGATTGAGCAACAGAGAAAAGCCTCATTTGAATGCCTTTGTAAATGATCTCTTTTTTCTTACCTTATAAAAATTTTTTGCCCTAATTTTTGTGGGTTTTTTTTTTAAGACCTTTCAAAAACCTCTTGATTTGTTATCTAAAGGTGCAGATCCGCTGAAATAGACACCAAGGGGAGCAGTTGGCAAAACAGGACAGGTCTGCTGTGCCATGTGGGTCAGGTCCCTGGCTCGGCATCAAAGCCTGGCCTTGTGGTCGGTCTTCCCAGTGGTAGCACCAGGAAGGCCACTGGGAAGGCCCTGATTTGTATGATTTTTTTATTCTGATAACATTGGTTTACAACATTGTATATGATTTAGGGGGTTAAGTTCTCACTTCTGCAGATATGTTACCACAACACCCCTGCCACCTAGGCCCCAACAGTCCTCCACCATAGTCCACTGAGCCCCTGTGCCCACCCCCCTCTCCCTCTCTGGTAGTCTTCATTCTTTATGTTTTTCTTTTAATGATTTGCTTATGTATGCATACAAGAACGAGGGTGTAGGCCAGAGTTATGAGGATTCACCAGAGCCTGAGTGGGGAGCAGAACAGGCAGATCTACTGAAAGACACTGGTGAGGGGATTATATGGTATATCTATTTTTAATAGTTTGAGAAAGATCCATACTACTTACAGAAATCTTTCTAGCTTCCTTCTGGCACCCAGCCACCAGACTATAGATCTAGCAATTCATAGTCAAAATCTTTTCTTTTTCTTTAGAATTTGCTTTTTTAAGCTGTCACCTGCATAATAAGCAATAGTGTTTATTTATTATAATAGAGTCCACTACTAATCACTGGCATATTTTCTCATCTCATCAGAAAACAGTAAGTAAACTTTTCATTTTTATTGAATGTAAACATTTCCAACCCACTCTTCTTTTACCTACAGGCCACATCACTTTTTTTTTTTTTTTTTGTGCTAGAACTATCCTTTTGCCATCTTCATATTCTTAGACCACATGCCTGCATAAACACCACCAGAAATTACCACTTCCCCCAATCTCATATTCATAAGAAGTCTTAAGCAGGAATTTACTGTTTCAGCAGCTCAGTTGAGACAAATGATAGATAGAAAAAAAACTAGCAAATGGTTATGTTAAATATTATTTCCCTTAGGTCCTCAGTGTTCTTCCTCCATATTACCAGGAAACAACTTAGACCAATATTACCTGTGTTTCCTCAAGACATTACTTCCTTAAATCATAATTAAATAGCATGCCAGATGTTTTTTAAAATAGTTATGACAGGGCCCTTGCTGTACAGTGGGTTAAAGCACAGCACTAAGAAGCTAAAGCCACTTCAGCATGAATTCATGCCCCGCCCCGGGTTGCAGGGGAGAAGGGTGTGATCTACATGGTGTGGCAGACCTCTCCTGACATGCCTGCTGCTCCCCTCAGCAGTATACTTCGTCAACCATCCTGTTCTGCTCCCCACTCTGTCTCTGGTGAATCCTTTCTCTGTCCCTATACCTCTGGCCTGCACCCCAGTTCTGTATTCATAAATAATCTTTAAAAAAAATACTTATGGCAAAAGAAACAATCATTTGAATTTTTTTCTGGATTTTCTGCAAAACTATAATCTAAGACATGTCTATTAGTTTATATATGTAAAGGTACATTTACTAAACCTTCCTAATATGAGGTGCCAAAGAAAGTAAATAGTGCCCTTATCAGAGCATGAGTGCCACACACACACATTTTCTCTCTGGATCTGACTACCTAAATGTTCAGATTTAAGCTAATTGGCCAGTTGGGGTTCCAAGCACATAAGTAACCAGTGAACCCACTCAAGTCTCTTTGAAGGCAAGTCAGCAACATCTTCCTCTCTTATCTCACCGCTCCTCACCCCTCCTCCCTAAGTCAATGATTCTCAAGGGCAGGGGTCCTTTGTTCTAATTCCATCGGGAAATCATTGGGGGTAATGAGAAATGCATGGATGGAAATGAATTGTCCATGTAGTCAGTGCTTTCTGACCATCCTGGTAACAAGCATTTTGACATCACAGCTGTAGTTCTATGATTTTTGTTTCACATTTTTGTTTTGGACCTCCCTGGTGGCACAGGGGTTAAAGCACAGCACTATGAAGCTCTCCACAGCCACTGCAGCACAGGTTTGATCCCCAGCCAGGTAGCTGACCCACATGGCATGGCAGACCTCTCCTGTGTCCCCTGCTGCTCCTCTCAGCAGTGTACTTCAGCAGACTCACGTGTTCTGCTCCTCAGTCTCTTGTATGCATAAATAAATAAATCTTTAACAAAAAAATTTTTGTTTTAGTTTTTGTTCTAGGTGCTGTTTGTCTGGTTACAGTACCTCTTTTACATGCATTCTGTTCTGACCCTGTTTATTACACAAAACAAACATCAAATTCTGGGCTTCTTGCTCCCTTGGAAAAGTGTCCCAGCTTCCTCTGCGGCAGCTATTAATTAAACTTAAACGTCCCTTTATGTCTATCTTCTCAATTCCAATCACTTTTAAGGGAGGGATAGGGAAAGGCAGCAACTGAATTCTATTTAGACTCACATTTGCTTTCAAACCACCTCTCAACTTTGTTGGAAGCACATAGAGTAAAAGAATACGTAATTGTCTGTGTTCTAGCTTTATGTATTATACCTGAAGAAATTACATATCAAGTGATGCTTAAAATCTGTGAGCCAAGGCTTCAAGAGACCCCTGCTTTATCCAACACAACAATTTCTTGGCATTGAGCACTGCTCTGTAATTGTCTAGTGGGGTAGCACGATGCAGGGAGAAAGCAGACGTTATGCTTTTCATCTTCGAGTTGTGTTGAAATAAGTTGGTTTCACCATGGAAGCCTTTTTTCCATCTTCTGACAGGCAAGGAGTCTCAGGCTGCCTCCAGAGTCCTCAATACAGCCCTTCAATTTCCTTTTCTCTGGTTTATGGCAACCCCAAACAGAAGGTCCTTCCTTCTTTCCTATCCTCATGCGTGCAAGTAACAAACCCTGACCTTATCTCCCGGTAACTACCGCAAGGTTCTATATCATTTTCCCCACGTCCAGCCTTAGCGCTGACCCCTCTCCTGGATTACTGCAGCTACTTCAGACATCCACTCCTCTAGGTCGTGTCGAAACCATCAGCTATTTCCAGCACCCCGTCCTCTTAACAGTCGTGGTTCTCAAAGGATGTACAGCCTCCACATGGATCTGGTACTACTTGTCCCCCAATTCTGTATTCATCAAGGCAGCCCCAAGTACCTGCGCTTCTCCAGGGTGCACGGAGAAGACTTGTTCTCTGGCAGGCTCACTCAGGCTCACTCGGACTAGTCAGGATGTTATCTCCTCCAAGAAGTATTCCCTGATTTCCCCACCCCGCCACAAGTCGGATCTACTTGCCTCCCTTTTGCTACCTTAGTCCGTGTCCTCTCGGTGCTGGTACGATTATATGCCTCTAGGCTTGGTCCCAGCAGTCTGTGAATACTTTGGGGGGCAGGGGCCTGTGTCATAATCATCTTTGTAGACCGAGACCCCAGCCCATCAACAGCGCCCCCCGAACCGCGGTAATTTCTCCCCGCAGAGGATCAGGGCGTCCTCCCTCCCTTTAAGGTGCTTTTCTTCCAGGGCGGGGTGACCTGAATCCAAATGGGGCGACCAAGAAGGCCCCCTAGCAGGGGGGAATTACAGCTGCCGGGCCTGGCCTTCAGACCCAAGGAGAGTGTTGCTGGGGCTAGAGCAGTCAGCGGCAGCCCGGGATTGCAGTCACGCAGGCAGTCCGCGCCCCCACGCTGCGCGGCGCCCCACGTCGGCGGCCGGGGCGGGGCTTGGGGCAGCACGCGGTCGTCATAACAACGCCGCCGCCGGAGCCAGGGGTAAAGGGAGCATGCAGAGCACCCCTGACGAAGACACCGGGTCCAAGTCCGGAGCTCCTTGTCGCATCCCCCTTCCCACCCTTGCTCCCTCCTCAACCACAATTGATGATGGCGGTAAGAAATAGAATGTCCTTCGGTGCACGCCTGGTTGGGAGGAAACGCGTGAGGGGCGCCGGGGGCCGAGCTGTCCAGTAGCACCCTCAGTCCAGCGAGCGGTCTGCCGGGCAGTCGGTGGGACGGGAGGGTGTCCTGGGAACCGCAGCTGTTGCCTCAACTTGGGAGGGGCCCCAGAGGTGGCCTGAAGGGGACACCCAAGTTCTGCTGCTGATCAGTCCTTCATGGAAAGTTTGTTCTCTGCTCCCTTGCTCTTTGGGTTTCGGAGGAGTCAGGGGGCTCATCTCGACCTGCTCTTGGCAGCAACTACTGAAAGCGGGATCCTGATGAGCAAGTCTTGAGATCTTTCTGACCTTGCCACCTCTGCGTGGCATACTTCTGCGCCCATAAATTATCTCTAGCAAATGAAATGTAGCCTGTCGGTACCTGCTCTTTAGCCTCGACTCCCGACCCTTGTTTTTCATTTTGGATGCTTGCTTTACAGTGTGTGCTTCTAGATGAGGAAAAGTGCCAGAAGCCGGTCCTCGCTGCACGCACGACTCAGGCAGTGAGTCCTCTCTTTAGCCTAAGAGGGAGTTTAAGTATCTTTTTCAATCATACAAATAATTCTGGAGACGCACCAAGTCTGACTCTCCACCCTTGGAATTTTTGGTACTCGAGTAGGAGAGCATAGGGAACAGCCCCCCAAAAGAACCCTTTCTCTAAATATTTTGAAATGTTACTAGGTGAAAATTACTTGGAATCCAGAGAATTGGTGTAGATGAAAAAATGAAATTTGGGGGCAAGTCTAGACATTTTTTCCCCGCATAGCTAGCTTTTGCAAAATGAAGACTGGTTTATTATTTTTCTTTTATATGAATACCATATAGGAAATAAATATTTGTGCATACAATAATATTTAACTGAATTTTAAATATAAGAGAGCAACAGAAAAACAAATAATTTTAATATTTTCTAGTCACTCTGCCTTTGGATTGGTGAGTTCAGTCCAGTTGCATTTAGGGTGAAAACTGACATATGAGGATTTGCTACTACCATTCTGTCACTATATTTTTGATTCTAGCCATTTCCTGTTTCATCAGATGTTTTTGATTTTCTTCTCTTTAAATTAGGTAGAAGAGCACTTTCAATGTTTCTTGTTGGGGAGGCTTTTAGTAGTTTGTGTTGGCAGGTTACCTCAACTTCAGTTTGTCTGGTAAAACATTATTTTGCCCTCATAGCTGAAGGTGATTCTTGTAGGATATAATATTCTTGGTTGGCTGACAATTTTTGTCTTTAATTTTTTAGTATGTTATTCCATTCTCTCTTTGTCCACAGAGTTTCTGCATAGATATCTGATGTAAGCCTGACAGGAATTCCTCTATTGGTAAACCTAATTTTTTCCATCGTCATTTTTAGTATTTTTTTCCATCGTCATTTTTAGTATTTTTTTCTTGGTCTTGAATTCTTGGAAGCTTCATGACTGTTTCTTTATGGATCTCATTATACTGAGCTAGCCATATGGTCTTTCTTTTTGCTTCATGGACTTGTATATTTATTTCTTTCTCCAGGTTAGGAAAGTTTATCTTTATAATTTCTTTGAATAAGTTCTCTGTTTACTTCTTGTTTTCTTCTCCATTCAGGAATACCCATTATCCTTTTGTTCCCTTTTCAAATGGAGTCTGATAATTCTCTCTAGAGTACATTTTTTTAAAGTTCATAGTTCTCTTTCTTCTTCCTGATTCATTTGTGAATTATTATTTTCACATAGCAGCTGCAAGATTTGATCCTCAATTTGGTATAGCATGCTTCCATAGTTTTTGCAGAATTTAGCTCCTCTCTTAGTCTTCTTAAATCTTCCCTTATTTTCTCATTTAAATCTTCAATTTGTATGTACTGTTGATTAATTGTATTTCTTTTTAAAAATATTTACTTATTTATGCATACAGAACTGGGGTATAGGCCAGAGGTGCAGGGGCAGTGAGAAGATTCAACAAGACAGAGTGGGAAGCAGAACAGGCAGATTGCCTAAGTTACACTTGCTTAGGGGAGCAGGGGCAGGTCAGGAGAGGTCTGCAGCTCCATGCGGTTACCTCCAGGGCTCAGGATGGAACTGCACTGAGGCAGTGGCCAGCTTGCAGTGCTGTGTCCTAACCCGTTACACCACCAGGGAGGACCTGATTAATTGTATTTCTAAGGACTTTACGTGTTTTTCTGAGTTTTGTTATATCTCTCTGCTTAGCTTTTAAAGTCCTTTTTTATGCCTTTGACTGATTTTTCTTCACTTTATCCCAATTCTTTGAATTTCTTTATCATGGTGATTTTGTACTCTACCTTTAGGAAGATAAAATCTTTCACAGTATGCGGTTGCATTATGGCAGTTGTCGTCTGCCCGAGGTGTCTAAAGTTGCCATGTGTTGTGGTTTTTGCTGTGTTAGATCTTGCTGTTTTAGATCTCAAAGTCTTGAACTACTATTACTTTCCAATAGTTGGCATTCTGATTTTTATGTAATTTTAGATGTTTTGCCTTTTGGGGCTTCCATAGATATGACACCTAATCTTGCAGCTGCTGAGTTGGTATGGGGGAGGAGTGAAGAGGGGTCGAGTCGTGGTGTGAATGGGTTGCAGCAGGTTCTTATTTGTGGCACTTATGATAGCCCTCCCCTCTGGGATTTCAGATCCAACGCTACTGTCTGTGTGTTCTCAGTACCAATTCCAAGGTGTGGGGTGGGTGTGAGTCCAGCACATTGTCACTGTTCCTTCCACTGGGGACCTGGTCTGCTGGGATGGCTCCATCCCAGCTCCTCTATACGAATTTTCCCTCAGTCTAGGTTATGTGCTTCCACATGTCATTCTCTCATCACCGGGGCCACTAGCTGAGTGTGCCACAGTTTGTACCATAGCCTCCTAGCCTGGACTACAACTTCCAAGTGTCTCTTTGCACCCATCCCTTATTTATTGAGGCATAAGTGTATCTTGTGTCCTCTCTAGTGCTGTTGGCCTGTTCTCCAGTTCTGCCCCAACACAGTGGTGTAATATTCCACCAGTTAACCTAGAAACACTCTGAGGAGCTACACAAGGAACTTCCTCTGAAGCCATCTTGGATTCTCTACACCACACGGATCTTTTTGAGTTATTTTATTTCCTCAAGATAAATACACAGAAGTAGAATTAAAGGGTTGTATTTTCTTTTTGATATTGAAATTTCCAAAGGTTTAAGCTTAAGTATATCTTAAATTTAACTTAAAGCTTATTTTAAAAGACTATAAAGTTTGAGGGCTCTTCCTAATGGTGTAATGGGTTAAAGAACCATATTATGAAGCTCTCCAAAGCCACTGCAGCACAAGTTCGATCCCTCGCCTGGGAGCTGACCCACATGGCATGGCAGACCTCTTCTGACCCGCCCGCTGCTCCCCTCAGCAGTGTATTTCAGTAGATCTGCCTGTTCTGCTCCCCACTCTGGTGAATCTTCTCGCCTATCACACCTCTGGTCTGTGCCCCAGTTCTGTAAGCATAAATAAATAAATCTTAAAAAAAAAACTATAATTTTCCTCATCTTAAATCTTGCTTTGCAAATTTGTTTTATAGTCTGTCTTATTTTATATGTTATAGAAATCACTCAGCAAAGTGTATATCTGAAATGGAGAGAGTAAGAGAAAATCTCTGCATACAGATATTTAAAGGTCATTTCCAAAAGATAGGACAGAGAACAAATACAGACAGTGGTATATGGTTCTAAGAAAAGTAACAGCTTAGCTTCCACTCCCATCTCACTAAAAGACTAGGCCTTACAAAGATGTTTTGAATTCATGTTGAAAACAGTAAGACCATTAAGGAAATTTGCAAGTACGTGTAATAGAGGAAGAGTTCAACTCCTACTTTGTTTCTGTCTTTTCCATTAAGCGCTGACAAAAAAAAAAGTCTATTTTAGAAAGAGAAAATGGAAGATCAGGCTATGTGAAGAGTTTCTGTGAGCCAGATCTCAGTTTGGCATTAGGAAGGACAAAGGGAGCTCTGTTCACATACTCTTCTGATGCTAAGAACTTGGATGGGACAAAGTGCCCCCAAGAAGCCTGTGGGACTTGGTGGTCTTTCAGATTCCCTTTGGGTTTATATTCTCAGAAAAAGTTGTGCTTATTTGAAGCCCTTTAAGAAACCTTGTTCCTGTAACCAGGAATGGCATTTTAGAAAGAGGTTTTGGAGTTCAATTTGATTCTGTACTCTAACCTTGTTAGATTCATGGACAAAATATTAAATTTTCTGTGTGGACATCATTATTATCGGTCAGCAAGCCTGTGACCTATTAGAGGTTAGTTGTTGTTTTGTGTCACAAGTGAGGGTCTGTACACCCTCACCGGGTTCTTCTGTGGCCCTACTTTTCAAACAGGGTTTTTACTCTCTCCTATTCTCATTTCTATTTCTCTTCTTCCTCTAACTTTGATTGTCTCTTTTTCTTCTGCACCTTGACTGACTTCTTTCTTTGAAAGAAATGTAACTTTCTTTTGAAAAAAGAAATCTTCTGGAATAACTGATACATGATTAAGGGTATTGTTTTTTGTTTCAGAAAATCCTACACCTATGGGCAATCTCCAAGGACTTTATTCTAATCAATGCATAGAGTTGTCCCAGAAAACCAATCCTTACATATTGCATATACTCAAAGAAGTGGATGAAGAAATTAAAAAGGGGTAAGAAAGACAAAAATATGCTTGCATCAGTAATATTCACCAACATGTGTTTGTGTGAAAATCCTGGAATGCTGAGTGCTTTTTATTTGAAAATGTTTGTTTAAGTGAACATATCTTTTGGATCAGAGCAGTAGATAAGTAACACTGTTAGCAGGTCTTACTATTGGAAAAAACATAGCACCTCCACATTTGCATTCTAGATTTGTCCTTAATTCCTATGAGATGGATTGATTTGTGCAAATCATTGAAGTCATCACTGTCATTATCTCTAAAATGAGGATAGTTTATTTTTTGTGTGAGAAGTAGTATGTATTAAAGCACTTTGCAAAATCTGTGAAATAGTCAGTAGTTTTAATTTATCTGCTATAAATATATTGCGGTACATACTTGATTTCAGTGAATGCAATCCATGATGTTATTATTTCCACTTGAATAAATTAATAAAATACTTTTGTTTTTTACTAGATTTCTTTGTACTCCAGGATTTTTTTTTTTTTTAATTTTAACAGCCTGGAAGGAATCATATTAAACATTGCTGGTAACAATCGCTTAATACCAGTAGAAAGAGTAACAGGTGAAGATTTTTGGATTCTTTCTAGAATTTTAAAGAAGAACCCATGTATTACTGGTATGGATCCTTCAGAATGATTATCTCCTGCCTTTTTTCTCCCTGGTTTTAAATATTCCTTTAAGCAATATCAGCTTTTATTTCTCTATGTTCTTCAGGCTTGGATGCTAGATATAACGTGATAAGTGATGTTGGTGCATTCTATGCTGCAAAACTCCTTCAGGTATTTCACTACAAAATGTTCTCAAGTTCTTTCTTTCCCCTCCCAGGAGCTAGTTCTTTGGAACATGCAGGGTTTGAGCATCCAAAGCCTGCTAAGTTAAACTTTTACTGCAGATTTTACTTTGGAGACACCCAATCTAAATATGATGCATTATGGTTCCCTTTTATCCTGGTAGTATGCTCAATCAATCAGAATAGATGTAATTAAAGAAAAACTCTTTCTTTTTCACTCTCGAGAGATTGGCAAACATTTGTATTTACTTTCAATTGAAATACATAAAGCCATATGTAGTTTTTTTTTTTCTCCTTTAAGCTGTTTTTTAAATTTTCCAACTAAGGATGTCCCAAATCTGCTAAAAATACTTCTAATGAATTAAAATGCTCTTAAAATCCTTATATCCTTCAAATTGTTCTCAGCATCAGGACAAAGTGAAAATTTAAAACATATGAAGTAGGGCCCTCCCCAGTGGTGCAATAGGTAAGGATACAGCACTGCAAGCTGGCCACAGCCACTGCATTGCAAGTTCGATCCCCTACCATAGAGGTGATTAACATGGCCTGGCAGATCTCTCCTGACCCTCTCTCTGCTCCTTTAGCAGTGTACTTCATCAATCTGCCAGTTCTACTCCCCACTCAGTCTCTGGGGAATCCTCTCACCGCCTCTGCAACTCTGGCTTGTAACCCCAGTTCTGTATGCCCAAATAAATAAATCTTAAAAAATAAATTAGTAAATAGTGAATTTCAAAAAAAAAAAAAAGAAGTAACTAAGTTATTCTCAGCAATGATAAATTAATGCATGCAAAATCATGATCATTGACTTATTCTAAGTTCTGTGTAAAGTGAAACTACTTAATCTTAGTGGCTAATGGCAAGCAGGCAAAACACTCCTTTTGCCCAAAGGAGTCCTGACTCTGGAATATGTTTATAACAGTTGAAATACACAGAAACCCATTTGTGTAGCTGATCTCGGTAGAGCTAGATAAAGCATATCCATATTTTGAATTATCGGTCAAGATGAAATATAGTATTTTCCTTTCATTTGTATTAAAATTATTTATGTTTAATGGGAGTGGAAATTTCTTCCTTACCCCCAACTGTACTTTTGCTTACATGAAATAATAAAAGATAAATGCTGGCCTTTGCCCTCAGTCCTTGACTCCTGCAACCCTCGTTAATTCTTACGTGAGGAGAGCATGAAGGGCACCTTTTGTACTATTGAGGTGACTCTGATTGGGCTCCTGAATGTGAAGTGGTCAACAGAGAGACCAAGTCATATTTAAAAGCTTGGAATTTTCATTCATCCCAACCCATCCCCTCTGCCTTGCCCAAGAGGGTGAAAGGATGGACAGTGTAGTTAATAACTGAAAATGCCGAAGTGAGCATGTCTCCATGAAAATCTTAAAAGAGCAGGATTCAAAGAACTTCCAGATTGGTGAATATATCAAAATCTAGAGACAGAGCTTATACCTGGACCCCTCCCAGATGGCACCTTATGTGTTTTCATTTGACTGTTCTTTTAGCCACTCTAACAAATTAATCATACCTGGGGAGAAGGTTGTGGGGACCTCTGTTTATAGCCTATTGGTGAGAAGCACAGGCATCAAACTGGGCCTACAACCAGCATCTAAGTAGGGTGGGAATAGCCTTATGGGGCTGAGCCTGTAATCTGTGGGAGCTGACTCAGTCTCCAGGTACATCTTACAGGTACATTGTACAAGTCCAGGCACATGGATTAGAGTTAAATTAGAGCACCCAACTGGTGTAGCAGAGAATTGTTTGGTGGAGGGAACCGGAAGTGTGAGTGTGGAAGTAGTGTAAGAGTAAAAGAGAAATGCAAGAGTAGGACTTTTCCCCAGAACACCTGACCTTTAAGATTTTTCAGGTTGTAGGTTTTTTTTTTCTGAAAGCAAACACTTTTGCTTAACTAAAGTGACTCAAATATATGTATTTTTGATTGACTTCTAATAATATATGTTTATTAACTTCTCTCCTTATAGAAACAAACTAATCTCACTTACTTAAACCTTATGTTTAATGATATTGGACCTGAAGGTGGAGAACTGATTGCTAAAGCACTACATGTAAGCATTTATGTACCTTAAGCCAACAACTTGGGAATTTTCTGATAGAGCCAACAGAATCAAATAATATGAACTTATGTTATTTTCAGTAAATGGAAGTGCACATTTTATGCACTTTAATATTAAAATACAGATATGAGCACTTTTGAACTCATAAAAATAAACATTATTAAGAGATGATTCATATACATAAAATACAAATTTAATTTTAAATTTATTCCTAATATTGGTCTTCTAAGTTTTGATTTTTTCTTTGCTAGTGCATAGAAATGAGGACTTCATCTATGCCTTGTTTGCTGCCTATTGCATATATGAGCTGTGCATTGAGCTGAGCTACACAAAGTAACTCACCATAGAGTACTCATTCTAGAGTAATCATTAGTGTTCTCTGCTTCCTCTCCCACTCTGTCTTAATTTCCATAATTTTCTCAGAATAATGTATTGAATTGTGCTTCATTTACTGATCATTGACTGGACCTCTGTTTCCTGGCCATTGTATATTAAACTTCTAAAGATTTTTACCTATTCTGGAAATTAAATTGTTACCTTTAAGGAATATAGCCTATTTTCATTAAACATGGTAAGATGATCCCTTAATTCAAATGCTATAAAGAGGATTCTGTGGATTGAAAACTTAATCTAGTTTGTTTCCTGATTTTTCAGAAGAATGAAACTCTGAAATATCTCAGAATGACGGGAAACAAGATTGAAAATAATGGAGGAATGTTTTTTGCTTCGATGCTACAAATTAACTCATCCTTAGAGAAATTAGATCTGGGTGACTGTGACCTGGTGAGTAAATTAGTTCTTAAGCAATCACCCACATACTGGATCTTTTACTCTGGAAACATCATAGAGAATTATGTAAGAGATTAGCTAATGGCAGCCTTATGAATGATCAAGCTTGCCACTAATGTCTAATTCATATCAGAGATAAAGATTTTTTTCCCTCTAAACATAGTGCTGTTACTAAAATCAGACTGAATAAATCTGTACAATACCTTCTATTATAAACACACCTCCAAGCTTTCAGCCATAACACTTCTTAACATGAATGGGGCCTTTTGGGGGGTGGGGTGGGAAATGGTGTTCATTTTAAACACTTCATTATATAATGATGTATTTTATTTTGGAAAAAATTTGCAGTGAGTAGTTACATTGTAACAAAAAACTAATATTGATGCTGAAAGCTGCTTTGAGTTAAAGAAAAAATAATGAAGCTAAGGAAACATCTAGTTTTCTATAAAGGAAAACCAATTTGGCTAGCATCAAACTTCTCTGAAGAAATATTGTGGGCAAGAAGAGAATGGAGTGATGTATTAAATAAACCCCAAGACAAAGATTGCCAGCCAAGAATACTTTATCCTGTAAAGCTTTCCTTCTTATATGAGGAAAAAATAAGAATCTTCTCATACAAACAAAATCTTCAAAAATTCACTACTAAATCCCCACACCAAGAAATATTACAAAAAGACTTAGGATGTAAGTCAATAGAGAAATGAACACAAAGCACTGAACAAGAAATTGACTAGAACCATAAAACAATGAACAAATGGCAGCAATACACTTCCATGTATTAATAACCACCCTAAACATTAATGGACCAAACTCATCAATAAAAAGACGGAGTAGCAGGCTGGATTACAAACAAGCACCCTACCTTCTGCTGCCTCCACGAAGAACATTTAAATTTCAAAGATAATCATAGATTGAAAGTAAAGGGTTGGAAAACAATTCTACAAACAAATGGCACCCAAAAGAAGGCTGGGCAGAATAGCTATACTTAGAGTAGCCCCAACTTAAAAAGGTCACAAAAGCCATAGATAGACATGCCATATTGATGAAGGGAACAATATACCAGAAAGACATAACATCAATATGTACTCACCAAAAGAGGAAGCATCCTTATAATACATTAGATAATTACTAGCATTTCTGAAAACAAACATTGGAGAAAATACATATATGATAGAAAACTTCAACACCCCACTCCAATGGACAGAACAATGAGAAAGAAAATAAAGATACAATAAACTTAAACAAAGATATAGAACACATGGGTGTTAACAAACATATATTGGATACTATATCCTCAAATAAATGAATTTTTCTCAAGTGCACATGGGTCATTCTTTAGGATAGACCACGTACTGGGTCACAAGACAAACATCAACAAGTATATAAAGATCAGCATAACACCAAGTGTCTTCTCTGACCATGAAAGTATAGAACTAGAAATCAACCGGAAAAAGAAAGCAAGGAGATCTTCTCTTATGTGGAGACTGAACAACATGCCAAATGGAAATACTACTGGATTACTAGGAAATCAAAGGAGAAATAAATACATGCCTTGAGACAAGTGATAATGAAAACACAACCTTCCAAGACGTGTTGACACAGCAAAGGCAATTTTAAGAGAAAAGTATATATCACTAGAGGCCCTCATCAAAAAGCAAAGAACCCAAAGTCTTCCATTTTGAAGAACTAGAAAAAACAAAAACAAACAAAACAACCTAAGCAACAGTGGAAAAAATAAAAGTTAAAGCAGAAATAAATGAAATAGAAATAAGACAGCCCAAAAGATCAAGGAAAACAGAACCTGATTCTTTAAACAAAATAGTCAAATCTCCAGCCAAGCTTATAAGGAAAAGAGAGAGAAAACTCAGATAAATTGGGCCATATATGAAAAAGAAATTACAACAGACACAGCAGAAATAGAGGGAATAATTAGAGACTATTATGAACTTAATATGCAAACAAGTTCAACAGTGAGAGTGACAAATTCTTAGAATTATACAAACACCCAAGGCTGAATAAAGAATAGAAAACTTGAACAAACCAATTTCATGCAGTGAAACAGTAACCAAAAAAAACAAAAGCCCAGGACCAAATGTTTTCAAAAACTGAGCTAATACTTAATGCAAAAGTATTAGGTAAATTGTAACACTGTTAGTGCAGTAAGGCAAAAATCCTGAGGAAAGTACTCAGTAATAAAATAATGAGTCTGACTGGTTTAAGAACTCAAAAGTCAAAGTGAAGATGGAGACATTCAAAGCATTCGGTGTGGATTATGGGTATGGTCTTGGACCACTGGAAGGGGGAACTGTTGAAAATGAAATAGAACTCATGGAAAGGTTTTAACTTGAGGAGTGACGTGATGTGATGGGTGTCTTTAAAAAGTTACTGGTTTTCCTGTAGGGAATTGGCGGGTGGCAGAGGAAGTCACTACTTTGAAGATTGGGGGTGTGGAGGTGGCCATAGAGAGGAACTAATTTGAGGCAAAATCTATGATTTACTGGTCAACTTGGTGAGACAGGTAAGAGGAAGACCCATGTATTCTGGAATAATAGCTGACTGTGTGTGGTGGGAAAGAATTAGGCCCTTCCATGACAAAGATGGAAGCCTGTAGAATACTGAAAATTGCATTACTAACCTTTTCCCACCACACTCACACAGCTAAAGCACAAGTACAAATATGAAGAAATGGTTGCACAAATCCATGTATTTGAAGCAGCGTTGAGCCCATGCTGGGGTCCGTGCATGTATCTGTGTATCTGAGGGCTGCATAATATAGAATGTCAAAGGCTAGAAACTCTAGAGGCAGACATCCTAGGAAATGGATGCTGAAGATTTTAAGAAATTCCCAATGTGTGTTGTACATAGATTTTTAGGGCAGGGAGAAAAGAAGACATCAACAATTCATTTCTGACTTTTTTAAAAATTATAATTCAGAGTAGGAAATGATTACATTTTCAAAACACCATTTTGTTGGCATCCTAATTACTGACTTGGAAATTTTTAGGGAGATTAATCTTTGTACATAGTTTATTAATGAATTTGCCTGTTTTTAGGGAATGCAAAGTGTGATAGCATTTGCTACTGTTCTAACCCAAAACCAAACAATTATGGGAATAAACCTAAACCGGCCTATACTGTATGGTGAACAGGTATGTATCCAAAGGGGTAACAGTTAATATTACATGTGAATAAAATGAAGGTACTACTGAAGGTTATGCCAAGGTTCATGAATACCTTTTATTTTTAAGAATTGTACTAATATTTACATAGAAAAATTTGTATGGAAAGTTACTTTCGATAGGACTTTTATAACTAAATATATTAGCTATTGCTTATTTAAACTGTAAATAAGCCATCTGTTTTTCTTAGGAACTCAAATTCTCAGTGAAATAAATGTGTGAGGAGCAAGTAAAGATGAAAGCATAAATAATTAAAGTTTAAAAAGGTGGCATATAAGAACCCACTGTAAAATATTGTCTTTGGGGGGAGTTGTTTCTTATATTGATTTGACTGAAACTTTCCATCTTGAAGTGTGAGTAATAATGGCAAAATGTGTATAGGTGGCAGAACAGACCCTGCAGTTGGCCCTGCTGGTAGGCTGCATGCTGGACAGAGAAAGATGAAAGAAAATGTGACTTCTGTGTACTGCTTCTTAGTTCTTTAACATTTTCTTAGGTGATTTTCCTCTCATTAGCTGCAAACAGCCAGGGAATAAAAACTCACTTACTCTAAATAAAGACACATATCTGGTAAAAGAAAAAGATGAAAATACTTTACATGTCTGGTGGTCAGGAGCACATCAGCACAAACCCGGGGACATGTTTGAGGGATGAGTCGTGAAGCAGGATTGCACAGGCAGACTCTGCTGCTCAGAAAGCAGAACTCTTGGCTTTTTATTAGCAGAAATACACAAGCACGATGGATTATGTGACAATGGCAGGAGAAACAGGGTCCAGGGGAAACAAAGGGTTTTCATCTTCTTGGAGAACAGGACTTCAAAGGGATCAAAGGATAATCAGCTTTTTAAAAAATGTCTTTATTTATGCATACGGGGGTACAGACCAGAACTGGGGACAAGCCAGAGGCGTGGGAGGGGTATGTGTGAGAGGATTCACCAGAGACAGAGTGGAAAGCAGAACAGGCAGATCTACAAAGTTCACTGCTGAGGGGAGCAGCAGGCGAGATAGGAGAGGTCTGCTGTGTCAAACGGGCCACCTCCCTGGCTAGGGGTTAACTCCTGGTGTAATGGCTACTCATAGCTTCATAGTACTGTGCTTTAACCCATTGTGTCACCAGGGAGGACCAAAGGGTAATCAAGTTTATGGGGAGCAGGAAGGGGCATGCCCTCCTGCATACAGGGAGGACTTCCTGCACAGAGACTTGGTATAATTTCCGAGCTACTCCCAGACCACCTCAGGTTGTACCCACACAATCAGTCAACGGTAACCTAGGGTCCCTGGCCACCTTGCGATGTGAGTCTCAAGGAAGTCAGCCATGCAGGAGAGACTTATCCAATTCTTTCACACTCACATAGGTGCATAGAGAGGCCATGCGCACACAAGTGCAGAGGCCTCAAGGCCACAATATACTCAAAATCTACCTAACTGTTGCCCATTAGTATGAGAAATTGAGAATTAACTGTCAATAAAGCCTGTGGTCCTTGTCTTCATGGAGCTTCCAGTCTACTTTCAGGGAGATGGATAAGTCTGGAGAGTGATGGTTCAGTGGGCCTCGGGAGCCTGAGGAAGGGTGTCTAAAAATGCAGGAAGAAGAAAGGTGTTTTCAGACAACAATTCAATTTGAAGCCTAAATCAAACTTTTCTGGTTTGAACCTCTGAGGAAGTAAGTATTTCACATGTTACCATATGAAACATTAAAAGTACACTTCCTCATTTAAATGAGGTGTCAGCTTGGTGTCATTTCCCCCAAACTCATCTGAATGGTTATTTTATTTTTTTGTATAGAACTAAAGTGTAGGTCAGAGGTACAGGGGATTGAGAGGATCCACCAGACTGTGAAGAGTAAAACAAGCAGATTTATTGAAAAACACTGCTGAGGGGAACAGTGGGAAAGACAGGAGAGGTCATCTGTGCCATGTGGGTCACCTCCCTGGCTGGGGATGGAACTCTGGCCATAGTGGTGACAGTAATGAGATTTAACCTCTAGGCCTGCAGGAAGGCCCCTGAGTGGTTATTAGAAGCCCAGTGTCGGCCCTCCCTGGTGGCACAGTGGGTTAAAGCACAGCACTGAGAAGCTAAAGCGCTTCCACATGAGTTCAATCCCCACCTGCCCCAGAGGTGACCACATGGCGCGGCAGACCCTTCCTGACCCGCCCGCTGCTCCCCTCAGCAGTGTACTTCGTCAATCTGCCTGTTCTGCTCCCCACTCTGTCTCTGGTGAATCCTCTCACCCTCCGCATGTCTGGCCTGTACCCCAGTTCTGTACGAATGAATAAATAAATCTTAAAAAAAAAAAAAAGCCCAGTGCCTTTTTTCACAGCCAGACTTTACCTCAGCTTGGTATTTCTGCCAGCAAGCTAAACTCCAGCTTGCTTTCTACTCCTCTCTAATGCAGCTACCACCCACTCTACTGCTAAGGGCACTCATTCTCCTCTTAAATGGCTAAGAACCACTTGTGCATCCTCATACTTTGCTGTTTTGAAATATAACCCACAAACCTATTTCACTCAAGAGTTTTATTGTTCCTTGAAGGAAGAAGAAATAAAATTAAAAAAAAAAAAAGCTGTTAACTATTGGAGTTCACCTTTGATGGCTCATTGGCATTATCTGCAGAGCTTGGAAAAATACCGGTAGCAGGTGTCACTCGTGCAAAATTAAGTCACAAACTCAGTGAATGGAGCTACATCCTTTAGAGTTTCTTCACTAGTTCCTTCTGTTAATAAGGATGGTCCTTTCAAACTCCTTGATGGTCCTTTCAAAATGCAATCAAGGCATTAAACTCAAACATGTATTGAGATGTTCAGACTGACAGAACAAGCTGGACCTAAACAATCAGTTTGCATTTACAATCCCCGACTATATCTTGCCTTTGTGTGTATCTTTCAAAGCAATAACTTAAACAAATCACATATAGGATATAGATCAATAAATAGTAAATTTCTTTCAGTCTTCTATAGAATGCTTTTTTGTTGTGCCAGTTGCTTTTGTTGACTTAATTCTGTGAGGGAAGTATAATTTCCCAGAAAAGGAAAATGACCTTAGCTAGGTGAAATGATGTACACAGCTAGCAAAGTGTAAGCTAGCATTCAGATCTTTTTTGATTACTACAAAGTTTATTATAAAACTCATATATGCAACTGCTTAGGTTTTATTTCATGTTCCAAGTTTGTCTCAAAGTATTTACATAAGATCATGTATATTCAAGTTGATGATCATAACTTAGCCTTAACACAACAATCAGGTGAGAGAACTTTCTACCATAAAATATTGTGGCCCATTCAAGACAGACTTTGATTTTGTTAAACATTTAAAGTGTTGGTTGGTACTTAGAACCTTACTAAGGTTGTGAAGCAGCCAGACTTTGAAATTCAAGCCTTTTGTTGGTCAAAAAACAAGAGTAAAGCATATTTCAAACTCCAGAATAATTATAAAAGAGAGGCATCAGATACATCACTGGGTTAATGAGCTTTTTTTTTTTTTTAATAAAATCGAGATTGGGAAATGTCTATGTATTTTGTCTCAAAAATATCGAGTGGCTACTAAAAGCAAAGTTCAGGAACATAGAGGGTGTAAGAAAGGCTGAGAAACATGAGAGAATAGCGTGGACCTTAAACACTGGAACCAGTTTTTTTTAACTTATTTTTTAACTTATTTTAACTTATAATTGTTTCTCTAAAACTATTAGCAGGCCTACCCACTTTCACCACTTAGTTACTACATCTTATAAGTGTCTACAATATCATATGTGGCAAAGATATTTTTATTGTTAAAACCAGGCCAAACATATGTAGACTTGCAGACTTGTCTTAACTGATATGACCTTGAAAAGTTAATTTAACAGCCCATTTGCAATAAACATATTGCTTCAAAGTTATATTTTAGAAAAAAGATTTTATATATTTTTAGGAAGAGTCTACATTTCATCTCAGCCACATGTTGAAAGAAAATCAATACCTTGTTGAGCTACACATGTGTAAGCACAGTATTAAAAACTGTGGTATGAAACAGCTATGTGACGCACTGTATCTGAACAGCAGTCTACGTTACCTTGATGTCAGCTGGTAAGTGACTACCTGTTTAATAGTTCAAGTTAAGCATGGGAATAATCTATGTATTCAATGTACACAGAATACTGTTATATTGATTTAATTGTCAACTTTTCACTCTAAGTCTCAGTATTTAGTTTATACTGATAGCTCCTAATACTTGAGATAGCAGTTTAATTACATAAACCAGGATGAAAGCAATATTTTATGGCAATTTATTGCTAACTTTGTTGAGTAATTAGCATCTTCACTAAGAAATTACTGCTTATGACAGAATTTCAAACATGTTTTCAATATGAATAAAAGAATAAAACTTCATATTTTCAAATATAATTTTTTCTTTTCCCAGCAATAAAATAACTCGAGATGGAATGGTGTTTTTGGCTGATGTACTGAAAAGCAATACTACTCTGGAAGTAATAGATCTTTCTTTCAACAGAATAGAAAATGCAGGAGCAAACTATCTCAGTGAAACGCTCACATCACACAACAGGAGTCTTAAAGCGTTAGTATGGTTTTATATTTATTCAAAATGATAGTTAAAATTTTTGATTGCTAGAATACTAACTTTAAACCACGTAACTCTTAAAATTCATGATAATTAAAACAACTAACAACAAATGTTGGTGAGGATGCAGAGAAAAAGGTACTCTCCTGCACTGCTGGTGGGAATGCAAACTAGTACAACCACTATGGAAAACTGTATGGAGGTTTCTCAAAATGCTAAACACGGAGCTTCCATATGACCCAACAATCTCACTCCTAGGTATTTACCCAAAAGACACAAAAACACTGATTCAAAAAGACACCTGCACCCCATGTTTATTGCTATTCTAGCTGCAGTATGAAAGACATGGACTCAACCCAAATGCCCAAAAGTAGATGACTGGATTAAAAAGATGTGGTACATGTACACAAAAAGACAAACTTATGCCTTTTGTAGCAACATGGATGCAGTTGAAAGGAATCATGCTTAGTGAAGTAAGCCAGAAAGAAAAAGAAAAATACTAGATGGTTTCACTCATAGCAGGAGCATAAAGGACCAGGGTGGAGGGGAATAATAACAATAAACAACTATATACCAGAGATATTTTATGGGGGTGGAGTAGGGAATGGGATAAAAAATGGTGTTGGGTGGGGAGTGCACAGGTCTATGGTGCTGGCACAATGGTGATTTGGTGATGGGAAACCCATGGGGATTGCAACTGAGATAGAAAAAAGACACAACATGATGTAAAAATAAACTTATAATAAAAAAATTCATGATGAAATATGGAGACTCAGTACTAGTAAGTTACAGTTAAACACTTCAATTTCTTGTTTTTAAAATTAATATTTAAAAATTAGATTAATTCTAACTGCTTAAGGTTAATGAGAACATTTTTATTGCTTTTATCATTTATACTGAGTTCTAATAGAAAAATCATAATCAGTACAATCAAAGACTTAAATAAAACCTATTTGGATGACTTTATCCTGAAAAGTACTGCAATTTACCTCAAACAATGACTAAATAATATAAAACAACTGTCAGTATCTAAAATGTAGGTAATTCTACTAGGTACAGGAAGCATCCAGTTAGGAAATTTAAGTTTTTTGGGCTTTAGGAATGACATGGTCAGTATTTGATGACTACATTCAACATCCTTGATGAAGAATTTTTGCACAATAAATATTTTAACACTTGCTGCTAGCTATGCATTCTCTTCACAGAACTGTCAGTTTCCAGGGTTATTTTTGTTTTTCCCTAGGTTGTCAGTTGTCAGCAACAGCATAGAAGGAGAAGGGCTTGTTGCACTTTCACAGTCGATGAAAACAAATCCCATATTCTCTCATATTTATATTTGGGGAAACAAGTTTGATGAGGCTACATGTGTGGTAAGTGTTTTTCTTCCTGAGGATTTTTCTGAGAATGTCTTTATAACACTAGGCTTTATTTACATTCAGAAATATTTACAAAGTAACCAAAGCTGTAGTTTTGATAATTTAAACATAAGCCCTAAAAATTAGCTACTAGAAAATTTTGTGTTGAAATAGAAGAAGATACCAGATTTCACATAGTAGTGTAAAGACTGTGAATTAAACAGCCCCAATTCCTCCAATCTTAAAAATCCACGATTGTTGATGTATTATCAATTTGATGTGTCCAAATCTCCATTCTGTTCCCCAATAATTAAACCACAACACAGAATTTGGAGATATAGCACAAAATGTTAGACTATTTGCTATTTTACATAAGTACAGAGAGCACTTCATTCTGCTTTCATAACTAGCAAAACAATACATAATTTCATTTAGAAAGAATGAAGAAAAAAATTGATGTTAGTGTTCAACATTTGCAAAATGACAATTTCTACTCCTAAAAAGAGTAGTTCACTACTGTTTAAAAATAATTTTAGAAAAACATCCATATCTTCTAGTAGTTCCAATTACAAGCTAAAATAGAAAGCAACTCTTATTTTAAATCCTTGTCTAAATTTCTACCTTCCTGTATAGTCACAACTTTACTGACAAATCAGTGCAACGTTTGTAAAACACCCTTCCACAGATAACAAATAAGACATACAAAGAAAATTCTAGTGGTGAAATTCGCCAGGCTAGCACCTTACACTCTAGGAATTTTCTTGCTAGATTAGCTTCCAGGGACTCTGAAACGCCATACAAGTGTATACCAAAGTCTGAGACTGTATTTTTCTGAGGAATGGGTCCCTACATATCATCAGAACTTTAAAGGGACCTATAGATATTCCCTTTCATTTAAGAATCCCTGTAGGACTGGAAAATTTTAACCATAAGAACTTCTTGTCTAAAAATAGTTGTTAACTCTGGGAGTCATAAACAAAACATGCTTAATCATTAAAACAGAAAATTTCAAATTAAAATTTCATTGCATGGAATTAAAAGAAAACCTATCTAAATCTGGAAAACATTAAAATTCAGCAATACTCAGAATATTTTACTTTATTATTATTAAAGATTTATTTATACACACAGAACTGGGGTACAGGCCAAAGGTATGGGGCATGATTCACCAGAGTGGGAGCAGAACAGGCAGATTGACTGAAATACACTGCTGAGGAGAGCAGCAGGCAGGTCAGGAGAGGTCTGCCGCGCCATGTGGTCCCCTCTGGGGCAGGGATTGAACCTTTGCTGCGGTGGCGCTTCCATAGCTTCATAGTGCTATGCTTTCACCCAATGCACCACCAGGGAGGGCCCAGAATATTTTATTTTAAAAACAGCAAATTAGTGTGGCTAATTTGAATATCAAGATAATTTTAAGAACTATGAAATGAATATACTATTTCCTTAATGACATGGTTTCTCTTTTCTAAAAAATTCTAGGCGTATTCAGACTTAATTGCAATGGGCCATCTAAAACCAGACAATACAGATGTGGAGCCATATGTGGTAGATGGACATGTGTATCTTGCAGAAGTATCTAATGGTCTTAAAAAACACTACTACTGGACACCACCTTATGGAACACCCTGTAGCCACTCATCTAATAATGCAGGTTTCACTCTTGTACCAGTAGGTGAACATCTGTGAAAAACATCTTGGAGAGTTTTTGCATATTTGTATAACCACTTTCATAGACATTAATACAGTTTATCACTTGTTAAGATTTTTTTTCATAAACTAAGACAAGTTACTCTTTTCAAATGTGTACAAAATATGACTATATTAAACTTTATATAATTGTTCACTGTGAAAACTGAGTAGTCTAATTTTTAAAAGAAATTTTATAAAATAGGCTAAAATTTTAACCCTAAAGAAGTTAAGGAATTAACTTCTTTTTATAATGAAACAATAATCAAGTAGTGAAACAGGATACAAGGGTATTATATGTATCTTAACCTAAAGTTGTCATGATTTTATATATCCAGTATGACAAATAGGAATCGATGCAAATAAACATATATATACACACATATTCACAAACACATATAAACAAATGTATATTTTCCAAACAAGTTCAGTACTGCTGGAAAAATTTTTAAAAATAGTTCCCTTTTGGAGAAGCCAGTAACATTTTAATGATTTGATGGAAAATTAATAGTCATCATGGCCAATCTTGTTTTCAAATTAATTTTCCTATGAAGCAGTAGTTGTTATGGTCCTTTAATTACAGGCCTATATTCACAAACATTTTATTCATATATGTCAAGAATGGTTTATTACTGCTCAAGTCAGGCAAAGTGTGAAAAAAAATACGTGGGCAATTTAAAAATTTTACTTTAAATGAAGATACAAGTCTAAAATACCATCTATCTACATTTTGGAAAGTGAGGACACAGAATAAAGGTGGTGGTCAGCTGTAGAGTTGGTCAGCTGTAGAGTTGGTTAGCTGTAGAGTTGTCAAAGTACTGTAGCAATTCTAAAAAATTAACATTACAGAAAGTTACATCTGCCACTGTCCATTATTTTATTAGATTAAGCAATTAAGACAAATAACCCTCACTCACCATTATATGATTTAAAAAAGCTTAACAGAGTTTTCCTTATAGTCAGCACATACCTTTCCTTGCACCTTGGGTTGGGGAAGAGGGTGCACAGATTGTTGTGGGAGAGCATCTGAAATAACTGTATGAAGCTTTATTTTCACTTTTATATAGGCATTGAGCCAGCAAAGACCTAAGTGACTTACCAATCCATTTGCATGCTCTCAGAGATGAATTTGAATCACCCAGCACAGATGGGTCTGTGCTGAAAAACAAAACCTTAAAACAGTTGGGAGTGGCGGAAAAATACAAGGTTCACGCTAATCAAAATATGTGAAATGGATTTCAAGGTTGTTTTTAGATAAATCTTGTTTATATGTAACTAAAAACTACTACAATTTATGATGCAAGTTTAGAAATAATGACCTTCCATTGATGCAAAAATGTTACTGAAAAATTTGTTGTCAATAAATGTTTACGGTGGGGAAAAGGTTTATAAGCGACAGAATGCTACATGGAACTTCAAGTACTCTGACATTTATAAGGGTTGATTTTACCAGTTACTGATTTTACTTAGTTTTTGTTTTTATCAAAATTTACTTGGTAATGTTCTTCTCCATGTTGCAAGTCTTATTTTCTTTTTAAGATCTTTCCTCTGCAAATATAAATGACTTTTTTCTCTTTCTTACCAACATCTTTTAAATTATTTCTTGATGAATGTATCTATAACTAAATCTATATCTAAAAAGGTTAAACATCCCAGGAAAGTTAAGTGTCTATGTATTGTTAGAAATGCAATAAAAAAAGAGTACTTCTTTTGTCTTTTAATAAAGTTTTAGAATATCAAATGATGCAATAGAACCATGGTACAGAAAAAAATGTTTTTAAACAGTTGTCATTACATTTGGAAAACATTTAGCTGGTGAAGAAATGCTACTCCTAGCAATTGGTCTCAATAATCTAGACTTTTATAACAATGTGACAAATGTCTTATATTTGCTACAAATGCTAAATCAGCTTTGTTTCAAGTGTGAAACATGAGCCTCACCTGGGCAAATGGTTAAAAATAAATCTTTTTAGATTGATACCTACTGAATCAAAATTTCTGAGAGTCTGGGGAATTTGCATCTTAATAATCCAGGTTGCTAAAAAAAAATAAAATAATCCAGGTTGCTTAATCTTAGTCTATTAAAGAATCAATGCTTTTTCTTAATCAAATTACACTCACACACATAACACACACTTAAGTGGAGATGTAAGCATTCAGAAATACACAAATCTGAAGTGGATGAGAGGAATAAACACAAGCTACCCACTGTATGTGCTGTCTGTACATGCCCCGGTAAATGCCACAGTAGTTCCTCCAGTTCTCATCCAATACAACCTACTATCCTGACCTCTACCATCACCAAGTAATGTTTGCCTATTTTCACCTTTAATACAAAATTTTTGTTATGACTTTTGTTCAACATTATATGATTCATTTAAAGGAGTCCATTCTTCCTTCATTGCTTTCAAGTATTGCACAATATGCAGAGTAGCAGAGGAGTCTCCAGGATTCTGGGAAGAGCTTCAGGCCCTCAACCTAGTACACAGCCTCATCAAGGTAAACCTTAGTAATGTGGTTTGCTTTCCTAGCTTGTTCTTATCCTGTGAAAAGAAACTGAGGGTTCCTATAGTCTCCAAAAGATTCATAAGGGAGCTAAGGGAGAAGTCAATAAGCTGACCTTGAGCTTCCAGTGAGATGACATATGTTAAACCCACACCCTGACCTTTGCTGGAGTTTGAGCACAGCTGCAGAAGGGTCAGTTTTCTGTGCCCAATACACTGAGGTGAGACCAGCTGAACCAAGAACTACTGGACTATGGTGAGGAAATACCTGATCATATACTTTATGAGTTGTTACCTTCTGCATCAGAGGCCAGAGGATGGGAGGCCTGAAGACAGATTTCTACAATTCCATATAAGCCCTCTGCTATATGTATTTGGACACTTTTTTTTTTTAAGAATACAATGGGCAGAAACAAGCAATTTTTCAAAAGTTTGAGCTTTACTTTGAGATAATATAATCTAGAGCCTCTTTATATTACAGGTCTTAAACTGGCTAAGATTAAAGCTAACTTTTTCCAGACTTTTCACTGGGTAATAGGAGACCCAAGAAAGATGTTTTGTAGGAAAACTCCACCTCTTTTACATTATCTGAACATAAATGTCCTACTCTATGTATCTAGTTTCCATTTTCCCCTTAAAAATCATTCCTTAATATCCAGCTCAGTTTCATATTAGCAGTTGCAGATCACACTGCATCATTTTACAATGTTTCATATTTGAAGGCAAAAAAAAAATAGCTTATACTTTTCAGATATTTGTCTGTCTTACATAGTCTGCTTTTCACTAAACAACATTATATTTTAGTATCTACTATCATATCCATCTGGTTTCTACTGCTATTCACAGCTGCCTTCTCAAAGGATCATTTCTTTTGGTCTTCATGCATTTCAACACTTCAACCTCATCTTTTTTTCTTCATCATCTCCCAGGGCTGCTTTAATCATTTCTGTTAATTACTAGCCTAACTTGCAAGGTCTCTATCTCTAGTGCTTAAAATTTACTGTTTCAGGCTCCAACTACTGCTAGACATTTTGATGTGATTACCTTACACCAAATTCAGTATACCCACAAACCTCAACTTGTCACCTCTGTCACCATGGCACCACCATTTTCATCACCAAGGATGAAAACACTGGTGTCTAAGATATGGTCTAATTGCAGACAACAAAAACTGACTGAAACCTGTCTAAGGGCGATTTACAATAAGGTGAAAATCAGGTGGCACCCACAGACAACAAAATGAAACATACTATGACATCTCAAAAATGGGATTGCAAAACCCAAACTCAGGCCACTCCTGTTTCTCATTAGGGTTTCAGTTGCTTGGCCTATTAAACAGTTGCTTGGTCTATTAAGACAGATTTCTCCAATGCCAGGATGCCACATAAGCCCTTTTAAACCTGCTTCATACCCTTAGATCTGTTAAGTCAGTGTTTACTGTTTATTCAACATTTCCTTCAGACTTTGGCTTTTTTCATTGACTCTGGGCCTGTAGAAAGATCTGCCTGATTGGCTCAGTCTGTGCTGAAGAAGAATTCTATTTCTCTGTTAAAATGTCTGGTTGCAAGATCATAAGTATGGAATCATGTGTTACAAATGTGTCTGTCTAATCTGACTTCTCTAGCATTCGACTGGGTGTGTGAGATCTTGAGTTCTAAACCTGGCTCTCCAAGCCCACTCCTTTAGCACAGACTAAGGGCACAGGACCATGGGCATGGTCCTGTGGGCATAATCCTGGACATATCTTTGACTCCTATCTTCTTCCCATTTTGTCTTTTCAAATCAGCCTATCTCAGTCAGCTGTGTCTAATATCTCCTATTAGCCATCTCATTTGCCTACCTATGGGAACAAAGGCCCTTTCTCTATCCATTCAACATCCCTTGACTGCTCCAATGCATCCCATCATGCCTTCCTGCATGACAACGCTGAAAATTCTGGCTTGTTTTATTGCTAGTTAAATTTAGGCCTTGTAGGCCCTCCCTGGTGGCGCAGCGGGTTAAAGCACAGCACTAAGAAGCTTAAGCCACTTCTGCATGAGTTCGATTCCCGCCTGCCCACCCCGGAGGAGATCCACATGGTATGGCAGACCTCTCCTGACCCGCCCGCTGCTCCCCTCAGCAGTGTACTTCGCCGATCTGCCTGTTCTGTGAATCCTCTCACCCTCCGCATCTCTGGCCTGTACCCCAGTTCTGTATGAATAAATAAATCTTAAAAAAAAAAATGAGGCCTTGTCTTTCCCACCAATGGTAAACTTAAGAGTGCAGTTTATCTTTGTAGCTTTATGTATTCTTATTTCAATACTTTTTCAGTATTTAAAATCCTGACAAGGCATTTTAATTCAAATATCTGTTCACATCCATGCAATTTTATTTTAGTATCTATTAGTCTTCAAGTTAAGTACCCTATTTTGTATAGTGGCTATTTTTACCTGATAATTATCTAATTCCTTACACAAATAAACTAAATCTCTCATGTGAATGGGGCAAAGATCCACTGAGGACAGATGAGTAGACCATGTATCACTGTTACAAGAAATTAATGGTCCATTAATATTAACATTGTTCATGAGTAAAAATGAAAATTTAAAGCAACTGAATTCAAATACAATATTCTTACTAGGTAGTATTTCTAGCTAAGCTCTGATGATTGAAATCCAGAGTAAAAGATGGAAAGTAATAAATGGGCTCATGTTTCCAAAAGGTAGAAAACCAAAAAATGTCCAGAATAGTTTTCAATTTTGATATACATTAAAATCACCTAGAGTTTGAGTAAGCAGGCCTTAGGAAGAACTTGGATATTGGTATTTTTAAACTGTTTCAGATATACAACAAATGTTGGAACTATTACACAAAAATGAGTGCACGTACATAGTCTATGTATGAGTACACTTCAACTACTCTCATCTGTACCACATCTGAAATATAAAATGCACTGTTGCAACATTTTCTTTTGAAAAAAAGATTCTAAAATTTATCTATCAAAATCATCCTATGAATTAAAACAAACATCATTTAAAAACAGCAAGTAATCATTTCTGTATAGTCTGTGGTTTTCTTATGTTAAAAAACTTATAACTTATCAGTACAGTAGAATATATCTAATACAAATACAAATTGAATTTAGAAAATAAATTCTTTCTCAGTAAGATCCTCAGCATCCTAGCACCTTTCAAAAAATTCTGTAATACTTAAATGATTAAGAATAGATCTTTTCCAAAACATTGCATTGTAACAAGTAACTTCAAGTTGGATTTAAAATGATTAGTGTTAGAATGACACCAGAGACAATTAAAATTATGCACTGTATAATAAAGAATAGTAAGTACTAGAAGAGTGACAAGACAGAATACTCAGTCTTTAAGTTTTGTTTACTTGTCATTCAGGGAGAGCATCAAGCCATGTCAATTTAAAATTATTTTAGCTAAGTAGCAGATAATGTGAAGAAATGCATAGTAGTAACTCAATCTTAGCTACTCCAATCCAATAATAAACACAATAAATCTGAAGGTTAATCTCTACAAAGGCAAACACTTAATCACCATCCTTAGTAGAGCAAATTTGGTAGCTACTGTCTTCATATTATGACATCACTATAGCAGATTTAAAAAAGAAATTTTGTTTAGCAGATGCTTGGGTTAATGAAGATGTGAATTATATATAAACCTCTCCATTTCAGCAGGCCTCTTAAAGAAGCTGAGTCTTAAAATTTCTTTACATTCCAACAATTTCCTATTGAATTTAAGCCAGAGTAAACATTTTAACTTTATAAATTGAATTTAAACCCAGTATATTAAATTAACATACACACATAATTAGATCTCGTAGATAAATAAATACTAAGTATTCTGTATATTATATTAAGGCAGTATTTCAAACTTCATTAAGTCAATACCCATGGTGGCAATTTATTATGAAAATGTGGCGTATGCTGTAAAATAGGGACAATCTCTAGAGTTCACAAGGATTACGTAGTTTTATTATGTCTACTAAGTGATTCCTACAACTATGATTCCAGAGAAAATACAATTAATGAAATCAATGCCAATGGAAAGTACATTAATTTTATTCAGGTAATGTTTAAAACCAGAAAACAAGCCATGACTAAATGCATGGCAGAAATAAGAAATATTGTCAACACAGTGGTTTGATCCACTATGGGAACTGACTTTATGGAAATAATGTCCAAAGATCAGGTGGTAAAAAATATACCAATAGGTGGGAAAAGTAGAATGGGGAAGAGTAGCAATAAATATCAGAATAGTACTGAATTTTCTAATTTATCAGGAAGCAAAAGGACTACTGTGAAACTACGATAACAAAATGCTGTGATTTAATTTATAAAATTTAAAAACTCAAAACTTATAGAAATCTCAAATATAAAATGTTTAACAAACTGGCTTTCGGATAACTCAAATGCTTGCGTATACCTGAAGTTAATTTCTTAACTGTGTAATATAATGTATCAAATTCAGAAGCTATGTAATTTATATTTATAGTATGCTTTAGGTTTATACTTAGAAAATTCTTTTAAGAATTCAGTATTTTAAAAAGTGCATAATGTGTGAGGTTTATCAAAAATTCTCAAAATTCAGTATAGTTTACTGATCTTCAGTAATATAGAAACCTATTAAGACATAACCTGAATCAAAATTTTAAACTGTCTTTTAAGGAGATAAAACCATCACATACCTATCTAAAAGTCATACTGAAAACACAGCCTAAAGTAACTTCCAGGTACTGACTATTGATTTTCTCCAGAAAACTGAGCTCTAAATGAACAAAAATCTATCTACAGTCTTCTAATTTTTAAGAGAAACACTTCTTTTTTTTTTCCATTAGAAAAAATTAACTCCAATGGAACATACTAATAGAAAACTAGCACAATTCTTATTTGGTACCTACATTTTCTTAGGCTGAAATATGAAATTTCATTTCTCTCCCCTAATTTAGGTATTTATCTATGCTTAGTAACAGTATCTTATGTTGATACTATCATAGATTTTGCTTAAATCTTGAGGGGAGGAAAATTGAACATCCAACAGGTCAAATTAAATCATATAAATGGAAAGATTCCAATTTAATAAATGAAAGGTGACTTCATCCAAAATACAAAATAAAAATGGAATTAAGCCAGCTAAAAAAGCTAAAAAAAGAAAATTAAAAATCCCACCTCTAAGCCTAAGAAGTGCCACTGTAGAACAAACCCATTTCTTAAAAAGCTGTGTATAATCTACAAATCAGTCAAAAGTCAAATCAAAAATAAGCATTGCACAGTAATGATGTAGCATCAGGTGCTTTTACTTCAGTGAATGACAAATAATGATCACAACTCAAACAAATGGCAATTTAATATGAATATATGCACCTTACCAAAAATGTTTGTTTACTACCAGAAACATCTTATATTCCTTATAAAGTCAGTATAATTGTTGTAAAAAAATCAATTGTGGTTCTGAATACCCATTCACAGTTGACCTTAACAATGTATCTGATGCAGGAGACTGATTATCTGTGACAGGCAGAAGCATGTGGTGATCCTCAGTCCCAAGAGGAAGAGCTAGTGGTAAAGTCATATCAGAAGGCTTCACATCTAGAGTTTCTGATAAAGGACTCTTTTGTTTGGAATCTTGTTCACCCGTGGTATGATCCTCTGCACTAGAATCTAGAATTTTATCTGCACCTGAAATAGAAGGGGAAAAAAATCCATACAATCTATTATAAAAACAAAACCAAACTTCTCTAACAGACCAAACCTATGCAGCATTCTCAAAACTTCCAACTTCTACACCTTAATTAATGTTGCTTCTCTTTTGCAAATTTGCCTTCCTCATTATCTAAACATATCCAACATGGGTCTCAAAACTAGGTTGAAACACCAACTCCATTATAAAAATGGAACTGTTCTACATAATTTCTATCACTTATTTCTCAATTTTTCATTTACTACCTTGTGATATCTTTCTTTTATTGCTATTTACTATTCTAGTTAGGTACGTTTTGAATCCTCATATAGACTGCAAATTCTGAGGTTAAATGCCAAGTTCTAGTTTTCTAACTCTTTCAAAGTACTTAATAGTGTTACAAATGTATAAATACTCTCAACTGTTCACAATGTATTATTAAGTATTTGATGAGTTCAAGTTCAGAGGTATGGTACTTTCATGTATTTTCTACTCAAGGAAGTAATTACTAGGCTCACTAAAAATATACTTTTGCCTTCAGGTTTTCCATCGTTTCACCATGCTTGTCTCTCCAAAGTACTCACAGAATTCCAATCTCACTAACCATGTTAATCATAAACTTTGATGAAATTGTAATTCTGCTTTTGTCAGCTTATTCTTCAAGCTAATATAGCCTACACTTTTTGGTATTGATGATTCTCTTCACAATGTTCTCTCTGCCAGGAATGAATCCCCCTTTCCTCATCTCCATCCACATTGTATGGAATTAAATCTTTTTAAAACTTAACTTCAGAAGGACAATCTCTTTTAGCATTTTTGGATCTCTATCATATCCTCTATTTTGTCTTATACTGACAGTTACTTACTAACCAGTACCAGATTTTCAGTTTCTTTAAGACTGGGGCTGATTATGCCTTATTCAACTTCATACATTTTGTGCAGTTATGAGTACTTAAGAGATATTTAATAAATGTCTGTTGAATTAGTGACTCACTGCTGTCTTTAGATGTTACCATTGCTACTCATCTCTATATAATGAAAGAGCCTAGTGTTTTGTTTCTAGGCAATGATGGTAAGCACAGTGAACCTTTTTTAAGAATTCAAGCAGCAATTTTAAAATTTTGTAGTTTGGCTTCCCATTTTTATATTATTATAACAATTCTTTGCTACCTGTTTCCTTTATTTTCTCATATATTTCTGAACTAGTGCTCCCAAATCCCCTTTCTTTACAACAGCCACAGTAAAGCCTATGTAACTCAGACTCTCATAGTAAGGAAACTAGTACATAATTTGCTTATAGATACCTTCATTCTTGAAATTGTTCATAAATTATGTTTTTAAGGAAGGAAATATTTCAAGTGTAATATATTAGATCAATATGAAAAGAAATACAGAGTGAACTTAACACTGAATCATAAAGCTGTCTTCCTCATAGTACATACCTAGTTTTTAAAAATATACATCTAATTTATTTACAATGTGCACCTGACCACTTTACGGGCTAGCACCAAGGAAAGCATACATTTTTATTTTAAAAACACAAGCATTTACCAGAATGGACTTTTGTTTTATGCTTCTTTAAATTTTTAATGTCAGTGTACGAATTTCCACATAATTCACAGATAAAGGGTCTCTCTCCTGAAAAACAAGTAAAAAAAATTAAGATCTCCGTATTTTAAAAGCTACTAGCTAAGACAAAAATAGCAATGCTTATGAACACAAAGAAGCAACTATTATACTGTTTAAATTTAGTTTCAAATTATTGATATAATCACTTGGTTCTAATATAGTGAAACAAAAGCTTCTATATCCATAGGCACTCCTTTATACAAAGCATACCCATTTGAAGAGAAAATGAGCATTTTTATTAACAAAAATTTAAAACTAAAAGTTGAAAACAAACAATAAAACCTCTTATTTCTATCAGACACTTACTGAATGCTAATTAAATGCCAGACCTTGCCTGAGAGAGCAAAAAGAGAAAAAGTTGCATAATTATGGTTTCTGTCTTCAGGTAGTTTTTATTAAGTAGAAAACCCTTTAAAAATAAATGTTACAAATTAATTATTTTGAAATAAGACTGTGTATTGCCTTATAATGTAAACTAAGGTGTGTGAGACTATAGAGGTTGCCAATAAATTTATTAAATGTCTACTAGGTGTTCATATTCTAAATAGGGATTATGAGAAATAACTTTTAAAAAGAAAAAGACATCAGTATATTTCATTCATGTTTTTGTTTAAAATTTTTTTACATTCAATATTTCTTATACTACTAACAGATTACTTTTAGAATAAACTTTTCAATATTAAAATTTATTCCTAAAACTTGCAAACCAGATATAAGAAAGTTTAATGTTATTAAATCCTTTTCATTTCTTGGCTTATCTATACAATTTAACCAAAGAGTTTAAAAACTATTATCTGGCATATTTCTTAGAAAGTCTATGCAGTTCTTGAGCAAATTTACTTCACATTACAAACATCTAAAAGTACCAAAATATATAAACAAAAAAATACATTAAAATAATATCTACAGGTAAGAGTATGATTAGATACCATATAGTCCATAATGGCTTAAAAGTCAAGGTTTACATAAAAAGAAATTATAGAGAGAACAAAAAATAATGCGTTCTCCCTAAACACAGACCTGTATGGGATCGAAAGTGTTTGTTGAGCTCTCCTGAGGAAATAAAACTTTTCCCACAAATACCACATATGTATGGTTTTTCACCTAGATGGAAAATAAAAGATAGCGAAGTGGTGTACTATACCAATATAATATTTATCAATTACAATAATCTAAAGTTAAGTTGTTCTAAAATATTTAAATTAAAACCTCTTTGTATTGTTTGAGGTATTCTCAGTGTGATTCAACTTAAATATTAATAATTATCTTACACTATTACGTAAATTGATGCTTTTCAAATAATAAAACTTTATTTCTGCAAATGTTCTAGTACAGAGGATTTAGGCAATTCAATTTTTATGTGACTTAAAAAACATGTAAATTTGAATTAAGAATTGACTATAAAGAGGAGAGAGGAAGAAGGTGTTTCACTGCCAGATTATTGTGAAAAGAGTACAGAGAACAGCACTGGACCAGAGGATCCTGTGACTTGAGATGAAACTACAGCATATCTCAGACATCAGAGACAATGTTGAATTGTGGAAATTCAACTCCATACAATAAAAGATGGATGTAAAGAGGCACTTAGGGTTTGCAGGTAGGAGGGAACTTTCCTGCCATGAAAATTTTGGAGCTATACTCCTGATTTGGTTGGTGGCCCAGGGGAAGGGTGAACTATGTGGCCCTTTATATATAATGCACCTATTAATGAACTTGAAAACATACACTGGCAGGAACATGATAGTTGTAGGGGGAATTCAAGCTCCCACTTTCACCAATGGTCAGTTCAACAAAAGAGAAAATAAATAGCCTTAAACAAAAATTATACCACATATGCTTAACAGACATTATTTATAGAGCACTGTACCTCCAAAGTGGAATAAATCTTCTCATATCCATATTGGATATTTGCAAGGATAGACCACATACTGGGTCATAAAACAAGTATCAATAAATTAATTAAAACTGAAATGAAGGGTCCCCTCTGATCACAATGGTATCAAAGGCGAAATTAACAGAAAAGTAAGTTGAAAACACATTACAGAACAAATACTAGTTTAATAAAAAAAAAAAAATCAAAGGAGAAATAAGAAATACCTGGAGAAAATGAAAAATGAGGACACAACCTACCAGAACCTACGGGACAGAGTAAACGCAGTAATACTAAGGGAAGGATATAGCAGTACAGGCTCTCTTCAACAAACAAGAACTCAAATGAATAATTTTATCTATCACCTTAAGGAACTAGAAAGAGAGGAACAAACAAAACAAAAACCGGTAGAAGTTAATGATAAAACTTAGAGCAGAAATAAATGAAATAGAAATAAAAAAGACAATCCAAAATATTAATAAAACCAAAAGCTAGTTCTTGGAAAAAAATCAAAAAAGACAAACCCCTAGTCAGACTTACAAAGGAAATGGGAGCAAACTCATAAAAGAGAAAGAAATGAAAGTGAAATTTCTGACATGTCAGAAATTCAGAGAATCATAAGAGATTACTATGAAAATTTGCATGTTGAAAACTGAAAACACACAAGAGATGGACAAATTCTTCGAAATATACAACCACTGTAGACTGAATCAAGAAGAAACAGAAAACCTAAACATACCAATTATAAGTTGGGAATGTGAAAAATAATCAAGTCTCCCAAAATATAAATGTCCAGGACAAGATGATTTCACTAATGAGTTCTATCAAATCTTCAAAGATGAATTAAAACCTCTCCTTCTCAAATTCTTCTAAAAATTTGAGAGGGACTACTTCTAAACCTAGACCAACATGATCCTAATGTAAAAACCAGAAAGCGACATCACAAAAAAAGAAATATAGAAAGCAATTTCCCTGATGAACAGAGATGCAAATAACCTCAAGAAAATCTAAGCAAACTGAATTTCACAATCCATTAAAAGGATCACACGCCTTTTTCAATTGGGAAATATCCATTCTAGGGGGGCAAAGATGGTTCAGTATCTGAAAAATCAACATAACTATCCATAGCAACAAAAAGGAAAGATTAAAACATCATATAATAATATTAATAGACACAGAGAAAGCATTTGGTAAGATACATCTATTAGGATAAAAACCACCAAAAAAATGGAATTGATGGAACATACCTCAATGTAATAAAGGTCGTCTATGACAAACCCATAGCTAACCTCTTTCTCAATAAGAGAAACTGAAAACTTTTGATCTAAAAGTTGATATAAGACAAAGCCGTCAACTTTCACTACAATTCAACATAGTATTTGAAATCCTAGCTAGAGCAATCAGGAAAGAAACATAAAAGGAATCCAAACTGGGAAGTAGTAAAATTACAACTATCTGAAGATGATATAATATACATAGAAAAGGTAAAGATTCCACTAAAAAGCTAACTGAAACAACCAGTATTGCAAAGTGACAGGTTACAAAATCAATGTACCAAAATTTGTTGCTTTCCTATATGCAAACTATGTGCTAGAAGAGAAAGAAGTCAAGAAAAACAGTCCACTTTACACTGTATCAAAAAGAATAGAATGTGCAGGAGGAAACTTAAAACAGGAGGTATAGAAACTGTATAATGAAAAGTGTAAGGCATTATTAAAATAGAGGAAGTCACAAAGATACAGAAAGATATTCCCTGCCTATGGTTTGGAGTAATTATCATGGCCATCTAACCTAAAGCATCAATGTAGTCTCTATCAAAGTTTAAATGGTATCCTTCCATGAAATAGAACAGACACTACTGAAATTTCTATGGAACCACAAAAGACCCTGAATAGGCAGAGAAAACTGACAGAGTGGTCACATCACATTGCAGACTTCAAACTCTACTACAAGCTATGGTCTGGAACAAAAACAAATACAGTATAATGGAATCCAGAGTCCAGAAAAAAGCCCACAAGTATATGGATAATTATTCTATGACAGAGGAGCCAAGAGTACACACTGGAGAAAGGAAAGTCTCTTCAACAAGCGATTTTGGGGAAAGTGGACACATTGAGAAATATTCAACCTACACCACTACCTCACACCATACACAAAAAGTAACGCAAAATGGATAAACACAAGTATCTGAAACCTAAAACCACAAAATACATGGACGAAAACACCAAAAACTCCATGACAGAAGTTTCAGTGATATCTTTTGTATCTATCTCCAATAGCAAAAAGAGAGAATATAAACTAAAAAGCTGTACAATGAAACTATCAGCAAAAAAGAAAAGACACCCTACAGAATAGAAGAAAATATGGTGTATAAAACACATGTGATGAAGGGCTACAAAGAACTGATATAACTCAATAAAATGAAGACAAATAACCCAATCAAAAAATGGGCAAAAGAGTTAAAAAGGCATATCTTTAAAGAACACATACAGATGGCTATCAGACACATGAAGTGATCACTTATTGATATGAAAATAAAGTCAAAATCACAATGAGATACAACCTTACTCCTGAGAGAATGGCCCATACCAAAATAGCCTGTTGGCCAGGATGTGCAGACAAAGGATTCTTCACATAATTCTGATGGAAATGTAGACTGGTCCAGCTCCAATGGAAAATAGCATGGATAGTTCTCAAAATCTTAGATTTACCATATGATATAGCAACTCTACTCCTAGGTATCTACCCAAAGAATACAAAAACACAAGGGACATATGACTCCTATGTTCATCACAGCACCATTTGTAACAACCAAGTTATGGAGGCACTCTAAATAGCCAAAGACAGATGAGTAGACTAGGAAGATATGGTATATACATGAAAGAATACTATTTAATCATAAAAAAGAGAAATTGTTGTCATTTGCGAGAACATGAATGGAAGTGGAGGAGCTTATGCTAAGTAAATTAGTCAGAAGGAGAAAGACACAGAGTGATGTCATTTGTATATGGAATATAGAGAAAATCCACATAAAGGGCCAGATAAAGTCTGACCTCAAGAAAACAGTAAGAACCCTCAAAATCTGACTGTAGAAATGTGGGGTGAGGAAGGGTGAGTAGAACAGAGTGGGGAAGGAGCACAATGGACTATAGTGGATGATCATGGTGCTTTGGTTTTGTGTGTGGTTGATAACATACACCTGAAGGGTATGATCATATAGCAATGTTATCTCTATTAAAAAAATAAAATAAAAATGTTTAGATTCACCAATATACATTTCAAATCTTCCCACCTATTATAATATTGAAAGGGGAATAATATCATTCAGGAAAGTCTATTTAAAACATGCATCCTACAAAAAAAAAAATCAAAATCTATGAACAAATGAATTTGCTTTAAAACAGAACTCTGCACTTACAGCATGTTTAATTTTCAAATCTGAATATCTGTGTAGAATTGAGTCCTAATTAACTATAAAATCAACGTTCTATCTAAACCTATCCCTACCCCTTAACTTCACTCTACAATTTTATACAGGGTAAATGAAGCCATAAAATGTCTCCTGTAAAATTTATACATATTATTAAAATTACCTGATTTTAAGGAGTAGCAGTGATATGACAAAAATTTCACCTATTATGTAATAGCCTAGAAAATAACGCTGTTTATGTATTTAGTATTTATGTGAGAATCGTAAGCAAAAAAAGCTTCAAAGCACAAACACAACAGATACATAACTAAAAGTCTATAATCTACTTTCTGCAAAGGTTTAACTTCCCTTTTACTTTTATTTACAACTTTCCTTATTTTAAGCAGACTCTTCATATCAAATTCTTACCTGTATGTTTTCGAGAATGAGTGATAAGAGAACTAGAGACAGCAAATGCCTTTCCACAGGTATCACACACATAAGGCTTTTCTCCAGTGTGCCTGCGAACATGATAGGTCAGTGTGCTGGCTTGGGCAAATCTTTGTCCACATCTATCACAGACATATGGCTTCTCTCCACTATGTTTCCTATTGGTAAATAAAGACAGTTATATACTGATAAGGCAAACAATTTGGGATCATACAATTTAACAAGCAGTTTTCACACAATTATACATTAGTTATTTTATTTCATCTTTATAGACCGAGAGTATGTATTTAAGATCAACAGTTTAAGTGTAAATATTATAAAAAGTAAATTGTCTAGATCTAAACATTAGTTGTAAGATTAGTTCAAAAGTTTGGCCATCATCTCTGTCAAATGTACCCCCAATACTGCAGGCAATAATTTTTGCTTATCCATTCACTCACTCTTCAAAACTTTTTCCCAAACCTCAAGCACCTCTTTATCCATCCTCACTTGTGGCTAATTACCTTGTTTCCCATTCCACTGAGAGGCAAGCAATTAGAAGAAAACTTTCACTGTAACAACTCTCTACTATAGGCACCCTTACAGTTTGCTCTCCTTTCCTTCTTATTAACTGTAACGAGGGTGTCAGTTCATCTGAATCCAACTACTTTAGTTTGTATAGTTAAAAGATACTGTCATCCTCACCTATTGAATGTTCTCACTCCTACAATTTCTTCATCCTACATGATCTATTTTTCCCACCTCACTGGATCAAAGCACATAAATATAGTCATCTTTAAAAAACCCAAAACTCGAGTTCACTTGCTAATGAAATTCTCTGCCTCTGTCCTTTACCAAAAACTTGCTTCTCCAACTGTTCTACTTCTATTTATTCTTTTACTAATCTCTTTTCTTACTATGTTCTCCTAACACTGCTCTTATCAACTTTACTATATCGACAGTCATTTCTCCGTCTTCATCACCCTATAACAGGAATATGACACACTCCCACCTGGAATCATTTCCTTCACTTGAATTCCAAAGTCTTTTCCCACCTATTCTAATTGTTCCTTCCTGTTCCATTTCTGCTAGTTTTGCCCATCTCTGAGAAACCTTAGAGTGCTTCATGACTCCTTATTTTCTATCCATATTTGCTTTTTTGTGTGACTTTACCCAGTGAGGTAGCTTTTAAAATTATCTAATATGCTGATAACAACCAAATTTATATCTTCAGCTCAACCAGTCCCCTGAACCCCACACTTAACTGTCTCCATATCCACTCCAAAGTACATGTAAGTCAACTCAAATTTAACATGCTCAGAGATCTACTTGCCTGTACTCCTGCTTAAACTCCATCCATAAATCTCTTATCTCAGCTAAAGTAAGTCCATTTTTTTAGATGCTCAGGTCCAAAAAAATCATCTTTGGTTTTAACTCTCCCTTTCCTTCCCCTTTCATATACCATCTCCAAATCTGCAGCAAATTCTGTCTGCTCTACTTCTGAAACATATTCAGAATGATTACTACTTATCTCTTTCACTGCTATCACTCTGGCCTGAATTATCATCACTCTCACTTGGGTTTTATTTACAGCTTCCTAAATGGTCATGTTGCTTTCACTTCTGCAATCCTGCTATCTTTTTCTAATATAGCGGCCAGGATGATCCTTTTAAAATGCAAACAAGACTACTTATTTCTCAATCTCAAGTAAAAATTTTATAATGGCCTACAAAACCTCATACTATCTAGATGCCCAATAATCATTCTGATCTTATTTTCTAGTACGTTTCTCCCAATCTTATTCCCCCCTAGTCACCATGGCTTCTTTGTGGTTCCTTAAGTGTGTAATGGTAGAATCAATTAGAATTCAACTGTACTGAATACCAATACAGTCATCTATTGATAAGGCTACAGTGAATAATGTCACCAAAGATAAATTTGTTTCGTCTTTTACCTTGCATGAATCTTGAGATTGCTAGAAGTTGCAAATTGTAAATTGCAAACATCACATTTATAAGGTTTCTCCTCACCATGATGCATACGACTATGGAAGACTAGCTGACATTTCTGAGCAAATCCTTTATCACACAATTCACATTTGTATGGCTTCTCACCTAATGGAACAAGTAAACAAAATGCTTATCTATTTAGAAGGAACAGTTTGTTTTAGTTGCTTATGCATATAAGTTTTCAAAAACATTCATCAATAGCACTTTTCTATTATTCAGAAAATGCAAACTGCTTCAAGTAGTAAAGCAGAGAGGTTCCCTTTTATTGAGATTATTATGAAAACACTGTTAAAAGAAAAAGAAAGTGTTTCTCAATTCATAACTGTGAAAAGTGATCAATGAGAAAAATGCATATTGCATCTTAAAAAGTACACAACAGGGCCCTCCCTGGTGGCGCAGCAGGCTAAAGCACTGCATGAAGAAGCTTAAGGCCTCTTCCGCATGAGTTCAATGCCCGCCTGCCCGCCGGAGGAGATCCACATGGCGTGGTAGACCTCTCCTGACCCGCCCGCTGCTCCCCTCAGCAGTGTACTTCGTCGATCTGCCTGTTCTGCTTCCCACTCTTTCTGTGGTGAATCCTCTCACCCTCCACATCTCTGGCCTGTACCCTGTTCTGTATAAATAAATAAATCTTTAAAAAAAAAAGAAAAGTACACAACAAAGTTTCTTAAATAAAGGTAAATATAGAGTCCAAGGAAGAAGTATATGGCTCATTCTGATAAACAAGTTCAGAAGTTGACAAAATAGAAGAAGCAAGTGATGAGATATGTTGGCAAAATCTGAGATTTAGCCTGAGGTGTAGTTATTTTTCTTTACAGTTTTAGTTATCATCATTTCTGCTAATTATTTGGCAAACTAGAACCAAGTTTATTATTATTTTAACTATTCAGGAAAAATGGGATAAAGAAGCCACACATTAGGACTTCAGAGTATCAGGATAAGACAAATTGCCCTTAATTATTTGGTCACAATTACAAAGAAACTTTCAACAGACTAACATAATACTTTTATAAATACAAGTATGTGTCAAATTTTGATCACAAACAGTAAACACTGTTGTTATTCTTTTTGAAAAAATTAGAAAAACAATTTTATCTCCCCACAAACCAGTCTTACCTGTATGAGTTCTTACATGTGTTTTCAATTGGTTACACTGGGTAAATGCTTTTCCACACAAGTGGCAAACATAAGGTTTGACACCTTTATGTATTCTCATGTGTCTTCTCAAGCTGCTGGCTTCTGAAAAGACTTTCCCACATGTGTTGCACACTGGCTTGGCCTTGGAGTATCTCTGATCCAGCTCTTCCCCAGAGCTCTCCAGCTCATAAGAGTTCTTGACACTGGCTATATTAGACATAGAATGTTCTTTCAGAGCACAGTTTGGCTGTGATTTTCCACGTTTCCGTTTTGCTGTAACAGTTTGTACAATGTCTTGTACTGGAAAAGTATTTTCCATGACTGATGTCAACTCTAGTTCAGAATTATCATTTCTTTGTACAACTTGTTCTATGACAGGTGTGGACAATTTATTTGCATCTAAGAATATTTCAACAGATGCATTCTCTAAAATGTCACTGGGATAGTGCACTGCTTTATTTTGCCCTGCTTTCTGGGAGTTGAAGACTTTCTTCTTCTTTTTAGTTTGAGATGACTTCTTTGCTAATGTCCCTTGCTTATGATTTGCCTGAACTAAATCTGCAGATACTTCCGATTTTTCTCTACTGTTATAATCTCGCAGTGTTAGGAGACAAGTCTGTTGATTTAATTCAATGTTTCCAGTAATACTAGATATCTCTGTAGAAGAGGGATTAGCAATAAATGCAAAATCTTCCATCTTTATTTTACATTTGGTGACCACTTCTTCCACTTTCAGATAATCAGCAGCCTGATGAATTTCTTTAACATTCCAACTGTAAGGAAACAAGGCTAAATGACAATATTCTGATCAAAGAAAAACTGCTTTTTTAAACAAAGCATCACTATTGTTTAAAGACATACTGATGCCTAGTGAGGAAAAAGGCAAAATTAAGAAAAAATTAATTCACTCACATTATCATTTAAGCAAAATTCTCCAGTTTTTCATACACTTCTAAGTCAATGTTACCTCAATTTAAAAAAAAAGAAAAGAAAAACAGGGCCTCCCTGGTGGTGCAGCTGGTAAAGCACAGCAGTAAGAAGCTAAAGCCACTTCTGATGAGTTCCACCCCTGGCCCCAGAGATGACCCACATGGCGTGGCAGACCTCTCCTGACCGCCTGCTGCTCCCCTCTGCAGTGTACTTCGTCAATCTGCCTGTTCTGCTCCCCACTCTTGTCTCTGTTGAATCTTCTCACTGCCCTAGAGCCTCTGGCATATACCCCAGTTCTGTATGCACAAATAAATCTTTAAAAAAAGAAAAGAAAAGAAAAACAAACTCCTGTGTACTGTTATAGAAAAATAAAACATTAAATTTATTAACACTTGGCATACAACAATAGTCACTGATAACATATTTCTCCTTTCCATCATTCATCCTAAGGCCTCTTAAAATAGTAACTTTTATATATTGCAACTGAAAGAGTCTTTAAAAAATTATTTCCTATTGTATTCCTTTGCTCCCCTGTGGGGAATTTTTAACCTGCTACTCCACCAGGGAGGGCCTCCCCTGTGGGGAATTTTTAACCTGCTACGCCACCAGGGAGGGCCTCCCCTGTGGGGAATTTTAACTGGGCTTCTCAAACTTTTTGCACAAGTGAATTATTTGGGAATTTTGTTAAATATTATGCAGATTAAGTATGTGGTGGGGACAGTCTGCATTTCTAACATACTCCCTGTTGATGCCAATGCGGTTGGACCCTAGATTACAATGGAAGGGACAGAATTTTGGATCCGGGGCCAGGATCCAATTCGGACCTAGGCAGCTATGGCTAGCTTGCAGTGCTGCGCCCTAACCCTTTTTGCCACCAGGGAGGGCCTAACTTTTTTAAAAAACAAATTAAGGAAGGTCAAAGGAGGATTTCATTTACATATCCTACAAAATTTAATTCCTCTTTCATTATAAGTCTTCTTCCACACACCCCCTATCAGCCCACCTTCCCTCTTGCCACTTAAATATTACTTAAGTCCAGAGGAAAAAAAATTATCTACCCATTCCTCCTTTGATTATATATATGAGCAAGAGAGGGTTTTAATTATTTTAGCTGATAATTTAAACATACCACTTTTTTAAAAGTAAAATGTGGAATAAAATTGAAAGTAACTAGAGACATGAACCTTTCAGGTCTTTAGTAGTACACTACAGCAGCTACAAATCTCATTTTCTCATCATTTAATTTAATTAAACCTGCTTTGCATCAAATACCACCAGTATGTTTCCTGTTTTTAAATTTAACATTAGGAAAGGCTTTTAAAAATTATCTTATTAGGGGTCTCCCTGGTGGCTCAAGGGGTTGGGATGTAGCACTAAGAAGCAACCCACAGCCACTGCATGTCATGAGTTTGATTCTTGGTCAGGGAGTTGACCCATGTAGCTCTCCTGTCTTGCCTGCTGCTCCCCTCAGCAATCATTTCTCTCTGGTCAATCCTCTTATTCCCTCTCTCCCCTCCTTCGCCCCCCCCCCATCTCTGGCCTGCACCCCAGCTCTTGTATACATGAATAAATCTTTTTTAAAAATACTCATAATAATTCTTTGATTATAAGTCAAGAAAAATTAGATTATACCCATTATAGATTAAGAACATTTATAAGGTCTGAAAACCTAACCATTAGTATAGGAAACATTTTATTCTCTGGGAAAACCCATTCCAAGTTTTTTTTTGTTTGTTTTTTTGAAGAACTTGGAGTACAGGCCAGAGGTGCAGGGGGTGAGAATATTCACCAGAGACACAGCGGGGAGCAGAACAGACAGCTCAATTGGAATACACTGCTGAAGAGAGCAGTGGGTGAGAAATGAGAAGTCTGCTGAACCATGTGGGTCACCTCCCTGACCAGGGATCAAACTCATGCTGCATTGGTCGCAGATAGCTTCATAGTTGTGTGCATTAAACCATACCCTGCACTATGAGGGAGGCCCAATTTCCACACTGTTAAGCATATTACAAATACACTTTTAGAATATTGTCTGTTGGGCTCTCCCTGGTAGTGCAATGGTTTAAAGCATCACATTATGAAGTTCTCCAAAGCCACTGCAGTACAGTAAGAGTACACCTCCCTCACCAGGGAGGTGACCCACATGGGGCAGCAGACCTCTTCTGGCCCTCCCACTGCTCCCCTCAGTAGTGTACTTTTAATCTGCCTGTTTTGCTTCCCATTCTGTCTCTGGTGAATCCTCTCACATACCACACCTCTGGCCTGTATCCCAGTTCTGTAAGCATAAATAATTAAATCTTTAAAAAAAAAAAAAAGAAAAAGAATATAATCTATTGGCAAATTGAATCTTTCCCCCATATAAAAAAAATTACAGGTGCTATTTTCGTATGGCCCTTGGTTATAATTTTGAAATAAATAAGGAATGATTCTCTAATTCTCTATTTGCAAAGATAAAGCATAAATATCTCATAAATACAATCTTATCTTTTATGTAAAAATTTCCAATTGCATATAGCATTGTTACTCTCTAAAAAGTCTCTTAACCATTTTCATTGTTTCATTAATCTATTATTAAGCTATAATTATTAAGAGAAATCACTAATGGCCCTCCCTGGTGGTGTAATGGGTTAAAACACAGCATTATGAATCTAGCCACAGCTGCTTCAGCATGAGTTCTATCCCCAGTGACCCACATGGTGCAGGAGACTTCTCTCCTTTCTCTTTCGCTGCTCCCCTCAGCAGTGTACTTAGTCAATCTGCCCATTCTGCTCTCTACTCTGTGTCTGGTAAATCCTTGCACCGCACTGCACCTCTGGCCTGTATCCCAGTTCTACGTGCATAAATAAATAAATCTTTAAGAAAAAAAAGAGAAATCACTAAAAGCTAATTATTTTAGAATTATACTTGTGCTTAGTGCTACATAAAATGAACCATCAAACAGACAGTCAGGCAGTCTTTAAAGCCAATACAAACTAACATTAAATAACACACTAATTGTTCAATACTAAAATAGTAATTCATATACAAATTATGGCTTTCATAAACAGTTTATATTCTTAGTCAGTTAAGAGAACCAATCAACATTTGCTTTGGGCAATAACTGACAGGCTTCTGTTCATAAGCATAAATTTACAGTGCTTGTAAACTTGCTTTCACTTTTGGATAGTTTCTAGAGTCATATTGTCAGGTATAAGGCCAAGTTCTTCATATGACTTCATTTAATCTTCATGACATGCCTAGCAAATCTATCATAATCCCTGTTTCATAAATGATCAAAGATACAAAAAGAAATTAAGGAATCAGTCCAAGATCAGAGTACTAGGGTAATATCTGATCAAGGTAATCTGGCTCCTGAGTCCGGATTACTTAGTTCTGTATTTATTCTGCCTGTTTTCTTAAGCACTAAATTGCAGAAATTTTCTATTTTGGGTATAAGTCTTCTCTAACATTTGTGGCTGGGCTCAACACTTAGTTCCCAGGAAAAATATGTTCATGTCAAAAAGGGTTAAACAAAACTCCTGGCTCTTCACAATAACTATTAGCATGAGACTCTTGAGTCAGTTCAAATCAATTCAAGATTTTCCCAGCAAAGTTACTTAAGAAAGGGAAAAAACTAAAGATCAACCAAAATTCATTAATTGTGTGGTTATTTTATATTACCTATTTTATACCAGAAGCACTTGCAAGCAAACTATTCAGTAAATCTAAATATGATGCCAGATTAATCTATGACATTATTCTATTTCTTTATTTGACTTATACAAAGCAAATTCAAATGAAGTAATTTACATGCCAATTAAGTTATTTTCCTGAATCAAGGAAGGTCCTAAATACTGCTATTTATGACTGAAAATAGAGGAGTACTATTAAATAAACACAGAGGCTCTTCCTTTTATTCTCCTCTACCCAAAACACTTTAAGGGGTAAGGAAGAATCGGGGAGAGAGACAACTAAAGAACACTAGGAGAAAAGTAAAAAGCACGGGAAACTGGAATTCACTTCGAATTCAATGTATTTGATGCTCACATTTACAAAACAGAAATTATAGGCTTTACTTCAGTAGATAAAATAAATGCCAGAAACAACATTTTGTTCACATTTGTGCTTTTTTGTATTTAAGAAATGTAGCATCCTCCCTGGTGGTATATCTGGTTGCTTCAGCGCCAGTTGGATCCCCAACCAGGGTGGGTGACCCAGATGGTGCAGCAGACCGCTCCTGTCCCTCCCGCAGGTCCCCTCAGCAGTTTATTTGAGTCATTCTGCCTGTTCTGCTCCCTGCTCTGTTTCTGGTGAATCCCCTCAGCACCCTTGCACTTCTGGCCTGTACCCCAGTTTTGTATGCATAAATAAATAAATCTTTAAAAAAGAAAGAAATGTATGTTTATCCCAAATCAATGACACCAAATGACCAGAGGGGCAAAGAAGCTATTTTAAAAACCAACATTGTACATATCGCTATCCTCAGGACAAAAAAACAACATAGTTTATTCTAAAGACTATTCACTAACCTTAAAAAGTAAAAATAAAAATTTATGGGGGTGGAGTGAGGAATGGGATCAAAAACAGTAGGGGAAGGGAAGTGCACTGGACTATGGTGATGGCACATGGGTGATTTGGTGATGGGAATCCCATGGGGATTACAAATGAGATTAAAAAAAATGTACAAAGTGATGTAAAAATAAACTATTATATGCAAAATGATGTAAAAATAAACTTTTTAATAAAAAAATAGAAAAAAAATAAACTATTATATTATGTAAAAATAAAAAGTTCTAAAAACATTCTCCTCTTGATACTTCTTCAGATCTCTATATTGTTGTGAAGTTTCCCATGTACATGTAAAAATTTAACAAAATTTGTATATATGTTTCCAGTTTATCTTGTATCTGTTTAATTTGTAATTCTGATTAATAACCCAAAGAGAGTAACATTTCCCCCTAAAAAAAGTAAAAATAAAATATGTACTTTACCTGTCAAGATTTAAAGTCCCTGTGTATATAAACTCCAACAGTTTCTGAAATCCATCAGCCTTCACTTGACTCTGATCAAGAAAAACATTGTTCTCTGAAGTGCTTCTGTAGATCGCACCAAAATACTCACTAAATGATGCAAGCACATTCCTGTGGGCTTTAAACTGGAATTCTCCAATCACTATGGTGCAGTCACAAAGAAAACCTGCTTCGCGTTGTTTATTCAGTCTCTCTAACAGGTGCTCACAGTGGTGGGAATACTGCATTTTGATATCAGAGTAGAATTTTACCCTTGCTCTAAAAGACAGAAAGAAAGAAATCAGTAACGCTAAGGTGTCATCAAATGTCTATTCCAAAGGATTGTTGAAAGAAAAAGGAAAACATGAACAAGAATAAAATAATCTCTCATTTTTTATCCCCTCAAGACAATTCTTTGGGCACATATGGGACGATGAGTGAAAATACTTTTTAAAAAGCACCACAAATTTCCATTACTTTACCTCCAGGCTTTTGAGCCCAGTAGCCATAAACACATTAAAAATATATATATATAACACTAAAAATGACTCTTTGAGGTAGACAGGGAAAGAACAAGGTATGAATTCTTTAAGGTTAACTCTTAAATCATCGAAACCTGTTAGCTTAGAGAGGGCATCCAGTGGCTTTAAAGGCGAGGCGGGTGCCCAGTGTGGAGAATGAGCAGTGTTAAGAGTTGTCAAAGACTCCGTCACTCGCCCCATAAGGACCACACCCCTCCCTTCTCCTCTTCCACTCCCGGCTGCGACGGAGAGTGACAACCAAAGCCGGTGCCTCGCAGCTTCTGCCGTCCTGCCCTTCGTCCAATTCCCAGTCCCGCCAATCCCTAGCTCAGAGGTTGTGGCCAAGGCCATTACTAGGGCTACCTAGCCCAAGTTCCCCACATTAACATCTTTCCCCCGGCCTAAGCTCGTACTCCAAGGAGTCTGGTCCCCAAAAGCCCAGAGTCTGGAGAAAGCGGAGAAGTAGGGCTTGGGTGGTCAAGCGAGAACTCACCTATAGTAACCCAAAGGGGGACACAGTTTCCTCACTCTCTTTCTGCCATCTTGGAAGGACGTCACCACGCCGCGCTCCACCTCTCCCTTCTTCTTCCACGGGGACGTCACGTCCGGCTTCTGGCGTTCAGTGGTAACGCAGGAGGCGCTAGGACCGTGCAGGTCTGACACCAGCCGGGGCTGAATGAGCTGACCCGCAGAGTCCCCACATCCTAGCATGCCAAGGGCTCGTGGAAGCAGCGGGCGTCGAGAATACGAGAGCTAAGGGCACGCTCACACGTCCCGCCTGTCTTCCTCCTTTGGACAATTTGGTGGGCCGAGGTGCCGCATCTAGGCCCGGATTCTGTGCCAAGGCCAGACAGCACTGCGCGGCGGACCTCTTCCCAGGAGCCAGCTTGCGCACTGCATGCTGGGGCTTGTAGTCGCTCATCTTCTCCCATCACCCTCCTCTTCCTCGGGTCCTCTAGAGTGACAACAGCTGCTTTGTGTACTTGGGCTCTCGCTATGGGGAATTTGGAGGCCGAGACTGATCGCCCCTTTTCTGTTTACGTACCCGAAAGCTCTTGGGAAATCTTGGGTATTGTTTGCGTCAGCCAACAGTAGCCCAGTTTCAGGATATCCTTATCTGGTGAAAGAAGTCTGAGATGCTCAAAGGCGGAGCACAGCTGTAGGGCACACTGGGCATGCGCAACTTTGGAGGTAGGTGGGCTTTATACCGGAAAAGGTTCTCCTGCATCAGGGCTGGAAATTTTTTAGCATAATTATTTACATTGGTTTCAGATTTTGTATAATGAGAGGAACGGATGCCAATCATCAACGTAATATACAAAAGGCGAAGAGACAGTAAGATACGTCGTGTTGACTTTCAGGGTATATTCCTCATTGGTATCCGTGGCCATTAAGTCTCAGAAAACCAAAACTTAAACTTACTTGTTCAAACTGTGTCAATACCCGTGAAGTTTACTTGCGGCTTTATTTTAAAGGAAAGTCTTAGCTTGAGTTTTTTTCTTTTCTGAAATTCTCCCTGAAGTTTTCCCACTTCAATTATGTTTGCTCGAGGTAAGAATTATGTTCATAAATAAAACTACAACAGATAAATTGACAAGTTTGAGACTGTTCTTTCTTGATTTCATCTGAGTACATATATTTTTTCTGATTCCACGTTTACTCTTGTAGGAACATTTTTCTTTAGTTTATTCAGAAATATAAGTTCCTGCTAGATGTACAATAGGACGCTAAGTATATAGAGTAAGAATAAAACATGATTTCCTAGCATTTACAGAATCTCCCATCTCAAGGTGAAACAAGTGGAAAAGCGTACAGGAGTCACAATTTATAATCTCTTAGGTCTTCCTTCTAGGCTATACAGCGTTGTGAGTTGAATTAAAACTTTTTTTAATTGGGAACACATCTTCCTGTTAGCAAGCCAAGTCAGTAATACAAACATCTGGTGAATAAATAAAGTTCGGATTCTTAAGGTCCTGAAAGGTTACAAAGCTGTGTTTTTTAAGGTTATGATATCAAGTCGGCCCTTTAGAAGAAGGAAAAGTTACACTAACAATTTAAGTGTGACTTTCAAGATTTTAATTCTTGGATCATTTCTTTAGAAGGGCTAAGAAAACTTGTTTCCGCCCGGTTTCGAACCGGGGACCTTTCGCGTGTTAGGCGAACGTGATAACCACTACACTACGGAAACCGTGGCGGTAGATGCTGTTGAGAAAGTCCCTGATGTCTATGTAATAGCATGTAGGTCCTTCCTGAGATTAGCATTGATGTATATTTTAACGGTACGAGGAAAGGGAGCAATGACTATGTCTGAGTGTACCAAAGTTATTTTAAAAATTGGAATCTTTTAGCACTACCTGTCAAAGAGCCCCATGTACCACTGTAGGCATCCGTTAGTTGCATTTCCTTTTGTTACCCTTGGATTTTTGTAAGAAAGTGTTTTATTCGCCCGGCTTTTCCTCCGCTGGGTGCCAGTGGGAGTCCAGGGCGAGTTGAACGGCTTTCCGCAAAAAGGGCAGTTGGTTCGTGGGTCCCAGAATCCTGCTCCCAAGCACCGTGCAAGATGAGAAGAGTGACTCTCTCAGCCTCTGCTGGAGGAAAGTGTAAATTGCTTAGAATTTTCTCCCTTGCTTCTGTATACAGATTCTAACTGCGCACTTGTTTTAAAATCCTCCACTGGGTGTGCAAAATTGAGGAGGTAAAATTATCAGACATTACGATACACCTTTGGATGCGCAATATATTTAAAATATCCTAAGCTTGAACTTACTATAACCTGCAAATAAGCAGACACATGTTAGGTCTAAAACCCCAGAAATTTGGGGGGATAACAATGAACTTCCATATTACACCGTGGGCTAATACGATGAGATTGCTAAACAAGTAAGATTCTACCACTTTGGGCTTGACTACATTTTACTGATTACCACAGGGGGAAAACACACCCACACACAGAGCAAAAAATTTGGTCAGTATTTAGAAACAATAAAAGGAACTTCTATTTTTTTTAAATAAAATTTCATATAAAATCTACTATTTCTTCCCTTCTTTTAGAAATTGGGGACGTTTCAGAAATACATCTACCTCCTGTGACAACTCTCCCCTTCCAAATCGCTCTACTTTTCCAAGTTTCCAAGGCACATTCTAGAGTTGCCTACAGGTCCCTGGGCCAACACTTACTAATCTGAATTCAATGGGTTTGGAAAATAAGACTTATTTTTTAATTTAGTTAACATTGGTTTACTGTATATGTTTTGTTGGTATCGGTTCACACCCCACACACAACCAAAACACCCATTGTCCTCCATCCTGGGCCACTCGGTCCTTTGCTACCCAGCTTCCATCTTCGCCCTCTAGTAGAATCAATTCTACAGATTTGCTGGACTTGTTTTGATTTTTCATGAGGTGTTGGATAAAGCCATTTGTGAAGGTTGAGATTTGTATTTTGGGGGGCAGAGTCCGGTTTTCCTGACATTGATATTCCGATATTCCAGTGGGTGGGCAGTCACCTAATCCTCGAGAGACGCCAACGCGTTCGGAGTGGACCCGGTACCCTACAGGTCTCAGGCGCTGACCAGCCCGGCTCCAGCCACACCAGTCGGGCTCGGCCTCTGTGACGCGGCGTTCCGTGCCCCCTGTCTCCTGCGCATCACTGGGGTCAGCGCCCGTCGCGCACTTTCCGCTCGCCAGGCGTAGCCCGCACCCGCAGCAGCCGGCTGGGCCGGGCGACAGGACGCGGCGGCAGCATGAGCAGCTATCAGCTACCGGTGGTGATCGACAACGGCTCCGGGGTGCTCAAGGCAGGCCTGGCTGGGTCGCGCGAGCCCCAATTTATCTACCCGAACATCATTGGCCGCTCCAAAAGTCACACCTGGTCTGCGGAGAAGTCGCTGGAAACGTGCGTGGGTGACCAAGCGCAACGTCGAAGAAGCTCATTGTCCATCAGGTACCGCCTTCTCCCAGCAGAAAGGCTGCACCGGCGTCGAGAACCCGCAGGGAGAGCCCAGATGAGGGGCGCGAGGGTGAGAGAAAGGGTCGGGAAGTCTCAGCCAGCCGGCCTCATGGCAGACGCATGGGCTACAAGTCTGGGAGGGTACCAGACATCTCAAGTGATCATTACTTGCTGTTTCTGCACAAATGTCTTACCACGTCTAAAGTTATTGCTAACATCGCTAACAAAAAGTCAAGTTTAAGAATGTTATTTAATTCATGGTCTCTTTGACATTTGGGTTATTTTCTTCAATTAACTGATATTAAAATTACAGTGAGAAATTCCCAATTTCTTTTTGGTTTCAAAAGTCTTCCAAAGGACGGAAAAAATGGGAAGCAACAAAAATTGCAGCGGAAGGTAGTTGTGCTAACTTTTGCTGACAATTATCTGCTGAAAGCTCTTAGCAATCACTGCCCAGAAAGGGAAACTGGTAATAGATGTGGGAATTAACACAGGTTTGATGAGAGTAAAAACTGTGATAAAATTAAAAGCTGCCATTTATCTTATTGCTGTTCTTACAGCTACCCAGTGGAGCGTGGTCTCATTAATTCCTGGGCGGACATGGAAAGCATGTGGAAGCACATATATGATTATAACCTGAAAGTAAAGCCCTGTGAACGCCCAGTTCTGATTACCGAACCAGCACTGAATCCTTTGGCCAATCGGCAACAAATCATCGAAGTGTTTTTTGAGCGCCTGGAAGTTCCTGCCTTCTACATGTCCATCCAGGGGGTGCTGGCTCTCTTTGCTGCTGGCTTTACAACTGGCTTTGTGCTGAATTCAGGTGCTGGCATTACTCAGAGTGTACCCATCTTTGAGGGGTACTGTCTGCCTCATGGTGTACAGCAGCTAGATCTGGCAGGCCTTGACCTCACCAACTACCTTATGAAGCTGATGAAGGACCATGGCATCATGCTGTTCAGTTCTGAGGACAGAAAGGTTGTTGCAGACATCAAGGAAACCTTTTGTTATGTAGCAATGAACTATGAAGAGGAGATGGCCAAGACACGTGACTCTATAGAAAAAGTCTACCAATTACCTGATGGGAAGATGATCACGCTCCATGACCAGCTCTTTCGCTGTCCAGAGGCCCTTTTCACTCCTAGTCTCATGAACCTTAGTTCTCCTGGTATTGATAAGATGTGCTTCAACAGCATAATGAAGTGTGATACAGATCTGAGGAATGCCTTCTTCTCCAATATTGTTCTTGCTGGGGGATCAACTTCTTTCCCTGGTTTAGACAAGAGGCTAGTTAAAGATGTAGCAAAGTTGGTACCTGCCAATACCCCTGTGCAAGTTATAGCTCTTCCTGAAAGAAAAATACTGGTATGGATGGGAGGTTCTATTCTTGCATCCTTGTCTGCCTTCCAGGACATGTGGATCACTGCTGCGGAATTTAAAGAAGTTGGACCCAATATAGTACACCAAAGATGCTTCTGAAAACAGAAAACAGATCAGTGGTTAGAAGAAAACGTTTTGAGCATACGTGACAGAAAACGTTGGATATTATGTTTCTGGGAGAACAAGAAATATTTCAATTACTGGAAAGTTCATGTCTCAGCTGCATTTCTATACTGGGGGGAAATAGTGATGAGGCAGTCAAACAAGATGCTTGTTGAGTCAAAGTAAATGCTCGAGGAAACATTTTTCTTGATCTTGGACATCTTACATTTCGTTTGGAGAGAGGACAATTTGTGGTACAACAAGATAAGTGCTGACTGCCAATTTTAAAGAAAGAAGGTTGCTATGAAGAGGAGAAATTTCATAGCAAAGATAATGCCATCATGGAAGGGGTATCATTAGGATGGGTAGGAGGAGGAGAAAGAGGGAAAATATCTAGAACAGCATAAAGGAAATGAGTAAGGGGCTAGAGATGAGAATGAGTAAAGTATATTCAAGGCATATTTAGTAGGCTGGTTTTATTACAATGACAAAGCTCAAATGGAACAGATTCAGAGCTTTGACTGGGAAGGTAAATTAAGATAAGGGACTAGATGTCTTAGTGTTAACTGTCCCATAAGCAAAGGAAAACAAAAATTTAAAAGCAGGGAGTATAGGAAGTTAAATTAACTTAAATGTGGCTGTAGTTTGGAAGATAAATTGGACTGGCCCTGGGGATTTAGTGAGCAGTTTTAAAAAATCATTATAAAGTGGTGAAATTTTATTTCCAAGTTTATAAGCAATAGGAACCCAAAAAATTATGAAAAAATGACAAGTCTTGGTGACTGCTTGGATGACTAAAGAGGAAAGAAGAGTCTGAGATGATTTGAGTGTTTGAGAGAATGATGGCAATATCGACATAAGTCAATGCTATTAGTATCTGCTATTTGCAAAGCATGGTGTTAAGAGTGATCAGTGCTAAACCAGATCCTATCCTTAGGAAGCCAGGAGTCTGAGTTGAAATTCATACATAAATTATAAGGACACAGGTAGAGAGTGATTTTATGCACTAAGGGAAGTATAAAATGCTTAGAGTTCAAAGGAAAATATTCTACAGGGGCTCAAAGAAGAATTTTTGGTAGATTTGGGCCAGAGTTTCAGGGACAGCTAGAATCAGCCTGAGAGAGTACCTTCCTTCTGAATTTAGGGAGAGCATATGTGGGTTTAGGTACAGGCCCAGTTACCTGATCTAAGATATTGCACAAGCAGTTTGACAATGTCTTCATAAAGTAGGGTTGCTAGTCTCTATTTGAGTCATTGTGAAGTTCAAATGAGATAATGTTCCTAAAGATATTTTTAAAATATAGTTTGTTTTTGCTTATGGAATTAGAAATATATAGGTCCAGCTCATATTTCATATACTGCTTTCTCCATGGAGACAAAATTGAGTCTTCCCATACATTATGTTATTTGTACTTCTATCAACCAACCACTGTATTTGTACAGACTTGATTTGCTTGTCTTTCTTACTAGAAGTGTTTTTAGAAGACAGGAAGTGTGGGCTTTTCCTTTTCATCTCTGTTCCCCTCTGATGCCTTTGCTATACTCCATTAGATATGTAGATATACAGAACGTACCAGAAGTACATCTCTGGCAGAGGGACTAGTAGGCAAAGACTGCAAGGTGTAAAAATCATTGGCATGTGCAAGCAGGCGGCAACTGGCCTGAGTTAAGCATTTCATTTGAAGAAGTACCTTTCATTCCTTAACATGTGTCTCCTATTTTAATAATTGTAAGCAAGACTTGGTAAGGTGTAGAAAATTATCTGAGAGTAGTTTGATGCAGAACTCGCTAAACTCACAAGGATGGTAGAAATAACCCCAAACCTCACTCCAGAATTTGGAATGACTTTTTCTTAAATAGGGCTAAATGTATCTAATTTAAGCTTGGACATCCCAGAGAGATGAGCAAGATAAATAGCACTCCTATTTTATAAATTAAGTTTACATTTAAAGAAAAGATTTAAATTTAAAGCAATCAGATGTAGCTTGCTGAGCCACATGGGCACCAGATCCTTAACTGGTGTCTTGTGCGGTTAACCTGACAACCAACCTGGAATATTCTATACTCTATATTCTACCCTCTCCCACTAATTACAGGGATCCTTTTCAGCTAATACAGGGAAAGGTAATAAAATGTAAAAATTCCGCTTTGTTTTATTTTCCCAGTCCACTCCCAACCTCCAATATTTTACCGTTAGATTGTGGGACCAGTAAGGGGCAACTCCGCGGAGTTTCACTCAATACAAGTCCAACTTTTAGATCAGTTATATGTAAAACATCATTACACCAACTATTATAAAAACTACTTACGGATGGACCTTTACTTTTTAAGCTAATCATGACAACATTCAGATTCATGATTGAAAAGGTTAGATTTCCTGATAAAAGGGGTGGGGGGTTCAGCATTTACAGGTAGGACTAAGAATGAAAAAGTCATCCTCTGAAGAAAAGTTGAAGGAAAGGCATTCTAACAAGAGGAAGAGTAGAAAAATCAGAGCATTCCTGCGAGCAGAGCCAAGATTCTAGTTTAGTTGGTGCTTTCCAGCATTCATTTGAATTTCCTTAATCAACTGTGGTTAAGAGTGAAGAATCACTGTTTTGTATTCACAGCCGAAAATTTTTCTACAAACTCTTTTTTTTTAAAAAATGTAGGTAAGAGCACTGGAATTGGTCTTTCGGGGACAAAAAACGAAGTTTACAAGCTCTCGGTTTTCACTGGAAAGTACAAGGAAAGTGAAAGTTTTCCCTCAGGAACTTGGCGGCGGTGCAGACACTGTGCCCCAGGCAGAAAAACGTAACCAGAAAAAAAAGCTTTTAGGTCAGATATCGCGAGACCTGTGGTTGTAGGTGCGCAGCCAATGGGCGCGGGCGGCGATCTCTCCCTTTAAAAGGAGCCGCGGTCGACCTCCGCAGCGGGTCGTGGTGGGTGGGCCCGGGAGCAGCGGCGGCCATCTTTGCCCTAACCCTAAACGAGACTGGCGTAGGCTGTATGCTTTTGCTCCCTGCGCGCTGTTTTTCTCGCTGACTTTCAGCGGGCGGAAAAGCCTAAGCCTATCGCCGTTTAGTCCACCGTCTTTTCCAGAACAAACAAAAAATGTCAGCTGCTGGCTCGCCCCTCCCGGGAACCCGCGGTGGCTCGCCCGTCTAGCCCCCGTGTCCCGCCAAGAGGCCGCGATCGGTCGGGGCTTCTCCAGAAGTACCCATTGCCGTCGCGAAGAGTTAGGCTCTGTTAGCCGCGGGACCTTGGGTGGCCAAGTCGAGGCTCTGACCGCTGGGAGAGTAACGGAGTAACGTCCTCGCGCGCGGTGCGTTTCCCTGAGCTGTGGGACTAGCACTTGGGACTGAGCTCATACACTTAGTACTGCCTTCCGTGGGGGTCGGGGACCGGGTATTCTGCTTTTCTACTGAAAGGGGGAACTCGTACACCCCCAAACTTGCAGGTTGGACCATGCTGCGTGCAAGTTGATAAACGACCTGTGAAGGCGCCTAAAATTAGGCCCAAATGGCAATATGGCTGTTTGCCAACAGGCAGTCCCTAGAGTTGGTTTGTGTTTTCTTTGTTCTTTACTTCCTCCTCATACCTCCTCTGCGCCTCCTCCCCCCCCTCACCTCCCCCTCTTTTGTTGCCTGTTTGCTCTTGTAGCTTTTTTTTTTTAAATAATAGTTTATTTTTACATTATTTTGTACCCTTTTTCATCTCAGTTTAATCCCCGTGGGTTTCCCATCACCAAATCACTCTTGTGCCATCACCATAGTCCAATGCATTTCCCTCCCCCCATTGTTTTTGATCCCATTCCTTACGTAAATTCTTAATGATGAAATGAAATGAAATTCAGCTCTAAGTAGAGGGTTTTGCTTTGGCTGTCTTTTTTTTTTTTTTTTTAAATAAGATGTATTTATTTCTGCATATAAGATCAGAGGTGTGAGATGGGGTTGGTGAAGGGACTCACCACAGACAACAGGCAGATTTGAGATAACTCTGCTGAGGGGAAGCAGTGGGCGAGACAGGACAGAGGTCTTACTGCACCATGTGGTTCAGCTCCCTGGCTTCATAGTGCTAAAACTTAAAATCAGCATGTTGTGTACCCTGCTATGTCGCTGGTGAATCCTCACACTCTCTCCACCCGCCATCTCTTGGTCTGCATCCCAGTTCTATATGCATAAATAAATAAATAATAGTGCTGCTACTTAACCCCTTGATCCACCAGGGAGGCCCTACCATTATGTTTTTAGGTAGTTTCTGTTTTAAGCACTTAGCTGAGGTTTTCTCCTTTCCCAAAATAGATTTCTTCCTGTCCTCAGATGTGGAAGCAGTGATTTTTTTAAAAAGATTAATAAACATTTAATAATTTGGTTAACTAGAATTAGTTTGTTCTCAAAGCGGTGCTAATTATGTTTCTAAAGAGTTGTTGCTTTTCTTTTTTTTTTTTTTTTTGACTTCCTCTGAATCCAAAGTTTTCAGCAGTGAACAGAAAAGGACTTTACAAAGAAATACAATAACCCCTACTTAATGTCACGAATAGGTTCTAGTAACTAGGTTCTAGTAACGAAGGTATTAGCAGTTATAAGGACCTACTTATTTAGAAAAGAAGTTGATAGACAACTAGGTTAAAGGAAACAACCACGGAGCACTCATGCCCAAAACTTGTCTGCAAGCTCTTGGGTGGATTCATTCCACATCGGCCTTTACTTTCCTAATACAACTATTTGGGGACATTTACTGGGAGACTAGCAGTCAGGGGCCTGCATTATAAAGGCAAACTGTATAGGTGAATCAAGATAGGACAATTGAAAGGTGAGTCAGGAATCCCAAATTTGTGCAGGTACACATTGTCTAGGCCTAAAGTAGACCTCAGCCTCCTCTAACAAAAATATTTCTTAGCCTCATTACAGTTAGAAAGGGGGAGTTGGTAACTTTCTGGTAATTTTTTTTTTTTAAGATTTATTTATTCGTACAGAACTGGGGTACAGGCCAGAGAGGGTGAGAGGATTCACCAGAGACAGAGTGGGGAGCAGAACAGGCAGATGGAGCAGGGGAGCAGCAGGCTGGTCAGGAGAGGTCTGCCTCGCCATGTGGTCACCTCTGGGGTAGTCAGGGATCAAACTCATGCGGAAGTGGCTTAAGCTTCTTTGTGCT